AGAACAAATTTCCTTCTCTTTCTAAAATAGTTGATTTATTTTAAGCAAGAAACAAACATACCCTTGCAGTATTTAAAACGAATCGATTCATGGAAACATATTTTTTTATTAAGACTCTGATCCTTACGATGTTAGAGATAAAGTGTTCTGTTTCCTGATTTTCTAGTTATATTTAATTTTCTATTATTTTAAAATTTGATTTATTTTAGGTATGTAATAGTATAGTAGTCCTAACTTTGACTTAACTTAAATTTGTTATGGTTTTGCCGGCTGTTTTAATTCGAGTCAGAATCATGCAACGCAGTAAAATAACCCAACACGTATATATTCCAGGTCAGTATTACTATTCAAGTCGATCTAGACATCTTTCTCTCAATCTTATAGCTATTTCGCTAGAAGACATAACTTTAGTGTATTAAGATTTGTCCTTACAAAAAATGAATGCTATAGGATAAGGGAAGCACCAAAAGTATATATAGTCTTGATCAGAATCATCAGACGTGTTAATCTCCGTCTTTCTGCATGTCCGTGTGAACTTCGAAAACTTGGGAACTAAAGAGCTATAATGTTGGGAATAAAAATATAGATTCTTGTTATTCTTATGCAGCGCAAAATAATTTAATTTTTTGTGACACGCCCTCTATTACGCCCACAAGCTGAGAAAATCTGTGGCCTCCACAATTTTAATGTTACAAAAATTTAAGATATATGCGCATTTCAAGACTGCCTCTCTGTTTGATGGTCAATATCTTGAAAACTGCTGGAGCAAAAATATTGGCAATAATCATATAGATACATACCGATTCTTGTGGTGATTATGCGCCTAAAGAAGTTTTAAGAAAAGTACCACCCCCTCTTTAAGGCCCACGAGACCAAAAACTCTGTGGTGCTACAATTTTGATGGCTCAGTAATTTTAACTGATAATTTTAATTTCAGAAATATGTTTCAGTATTTTACTATATTTCCCTGTTATTGAATTTCGGATTAAATTTTATCAAACTCGGACAACTCTATCATATGGCTGCCATAGGAGAGATCGAAAATTATATATTGAATTAATGGAAATAAATTGATAACATCGTTGTTTTTTATCCCACGAGCATGATTTTTTGAATATCAAGTTTTTTAACAACCCTTAAATTGAAAAAAAAGTTTCATAAAAATCGGACAACTATATCTTATAGCTGGCATAGGAAAGATCGAAAAATCTATATAGAAATAACGGAAATAAAATTATAACATCGTTGTTTTTTATCAGATAAGCATGATTTTTTGAATATAAAGTTTTTTAACAACTCTTGAATTACGAATTAAATTTGATCAAAATCGGACAACTATATCATATAGCTCCCATATGATCTATAGTCGAAAATATGGAAAATGAATAGAAAAATCGTCTTAGCTTCGACGTTGTTTAGCCTTTATGTATTTTGTTCGACATATTTGATGACTGCAAGGGTATATAAGTTTCGGTTTGCCGAAGCTAGCTTCCTTTCTTGTATTTCTGTTATTTCTATATAGGGTTTTCGATCTTTCCTATGGCAACTGTAAGAGTAGTTAGATTTTTATGAAACTTTTTCTCGATTCAAGGGTATTAAAAAAACTTGATGTTTTAAAAATCATGTTCGTGGGATTAAAAACAATGACGTTATAATTTTTTTTATATTATTTATAAATATTTATACCCTTGCAGAGCAAAAGGGTATTACTATTTCAGTCAGAAGTGCAACGCAGTGAAGGAGACACCTCAGACCCCACAAAGTATATATACCTATTCTTGATCAGCGTCACCATCTGAATCGAAATACATCTGTACGTCTGTCCGTCTGTCCGTTCCTCTTCAAACTAGTCTCTCGGTTTTAAAGTTATCTGGCTGAAACTTTACCAAAAGTTGTGTGGTTATTGCACGCAGTATATATGTATGTACGTCGGAACGGGCCGGATCGGGGTAACCCAAAATTTTAAAAGTTGGCAGTTAGAAGAACTTCTTTTTGCACAAAATTATATTGTTTAAAAGCAATTGCTGGTTATGGGTTAGGAAATTGAAAGATCTGTCTTTTGAAATTTGGCTTCCCTGTGGGTCAAACTGTTTTGCCAAAATTTTTATTAATTTGTTTTTAATAAACCTCACTTTTGAATTTATTAATCTACATATGTCAATTTTTTCCATATATGTATATGTACATATATTGTTTTTTTTTGTTTTTTTCCAAAGTTATTCAATATTTTCATATAGAAGCTCGAGATGGCGCACCCTGTACAAAAATTCAATTTGTGAATTTCGACAGCATTAAGTATGATATATATGTATGTAGTACATACTATGTACTTTCTTGTTAAGGATCACCATCTCAGTCAATCAAGACACGTCCGTCAATCCGCTTTTACGCTAACATGACTCTCGATTTTAAAGCTATCTCGCTAAAACTTTAATTTTTGGAGCTGTTGCAGGTAAATCAAGATCGGAGGATTTTATCATATAGCTTCCATTGAATAGATTACAAAATATAAAAAACATGACGTTTTTGAAAATGTTGAGTTTTTTAACAACTCTTTGACTACAAAAAAGAAACAAATCCAATAAAAAAATAAAATTTATAGAATAATCGGCATAACTACTAATTTGACATTTATCAAGAGAGCTACAACAAAAAGAAAATTTTTCTCCAAAGATTGGACAACTATATCAGACAGCTGCTTTTAAAAGGCTTATTGCGCTGTCTGAAGCTAACTTGAATTAATTAAGGAACACATACGGAAACTGTTCCCAGTTTATACACATCTAATAATTACGTTCCATAAAAATACATTTGCGCCGTAAAGTATGCATCACTTATTTGTCTAGGTTAAATTTTTAATGAAGTTACATCCATGAAATATCTAAGAGCAAAGATATGAAAAACTGTTCCTTCAGAAACTTGAGACTTTACCGATTAGAAAAGATTCTTGTAGACAGTTTTCACATTGCGCAAATCAGCAGCTAGCGCAACAAGTAAACATATGACACCTATAAGGTTTAATAATCAGACCACAATTTTATATATAATAGAGGTGCAAAAAAAATCCCTTTAATAATGAAATTAAAATTAACTTTCAACCAGAAGTTTTATTGACTGCTGGGATTACCATACATTTTTTAAAGTACAAACTTATTTTCTTTTCTGTACATAATTTGTTTAAATACAAAAGTTTTATTTTGACCTTTTAAATTTTTTGCAACCCGGTTTTACATTTTTGTACTTTTTTTTTTTTAAGTTTAGGAATTCACCTGTTTTATAGCTTACGATCTATGTACCTTCAGGATCAGAAATATATATTTTTCTGCGAATTTTGAATTAGTTTAGTTATCGGTGCTCAACCGACTCAACTCCTTAGTGACGCTCTGAAAAAAATATGAAGTCCTTATAAACCATATCCTCTTTAATTTGAATACAAGAAACCAGATTCTGATAAGCTGGCTATAGTGTCAATGTCACAAACAGATGTTTAAAGCTTTAATAGCCAAGCAATCGCGATACGTGAACAAATAGGACACAATTTAGGACTAACTCAAAAAGCAGCCGATAGATGGCGCCGACCAGGTCGGACCCAACACCCCCCACCCCACTGACCACACGCACCCGCATTTGCCTAGCGCCGAAGCCATTTCCAAAGCGTCGCCCTTCACATTTCCGGCCAAGGCGTTCGGCTGTGGTGGATTTCGGTGATGTCCGCTCACCATGCGAAGTGGTAGAAGAGTCTCGTCGGTGTCCAAATCGTTCGGGGGCAGTCCTTTAAGGTTCGGGTCTGTCGTCTCTTCGGGTTCTCATAATGAATTTAACCGATTGGGAAAACGTTGTCAAACCAATTGGGAAAATATTGTCCAACGGTATTTAACCGATTGTTAAGTTTGAATAACCATCATAGATAACAACCGATGGTGGGGTGATTGACTAAGGCCAAGCTGGAGTTTCCAAGCCCTGTCTTAAATTCAAAAGATTTCCTCTACCCGATTACAGCTCAGTTTGGGACACATTTCAAAGAGGCTATTTCAAACCTACTCAATTCTAAAACTAAATTTATTATTACGATAAATGATAAAAACGAACCTTATTAGATGATAAATTACTTAAAAATAATATTAACATCAGTTTTATTTAAAAGGATCTGTGCTGTGAAAAAAAACTCTTGAGAAGTACTTAAGTACTCGGTACACCTGAATTTTGGCACAAGGCTGCCTGGTATCCTTTTGTAAGCGGTCAAAATTTCAAACGCGTCTATCTGAAGACATCATTTTTTAAGTTGGCCGAAAACATTTTTAACCGATTGAATTGAAATGCTGAGTATATCTTGAAAAATATATTGTCTATGGAAGTACAAAGGATTGTTTTAATTTGTTACTTACAATTATCGGATGATTTCTTAGTCAAATATTTTATTTTTCACTTTGGAAGTGCGCCTTTAAAAAACACGATAAAACAACACGTATTTCTGTAGCAGTTTTTAAATAAAATTAAATAAAATATATATTCAAACGCGCGCGTATATATTAGTATTAATACAATTAAAAATTTAAAAAAGCGTCATTGCAAAAACGCTGTACATTTTTTAGTGAAAAAAATATAATATATAGTCAATGATATTTGTAATAAATACTATTATTTGTCATCTGATTTTATTTTGTAGTATTTCTAAAAAAAGAACAAATTGCGGTCGCGGTCTTTAGAGGACTTGACTATATGCTGTTCGAACTGAAAGATTCGTGCGCACGTTTTTTTTACAATAACCCTTGTGTGAAAACAAAAAAATACTTGTTGCAGTTATTGCAAAAAGCGCGTTAAACAATAAATTATAAACAATCTTAAAACCCCACGCACCGCATAAGGGTTGCTCTATTACTATTTCTATCGCACTTATTCAAAAACTCACTGTTCACTCGCACTTATTGCAGTGATTGGGTCCGTCGGGCCCGACGAGACTACCTTATACTTATTCTACCATGCATCAGTCCGCGTTTAGACGTCATCGGTGGAGCACCAGGCTAGCTCGGTCCGCTCCAGTCTCGGTCTCGGTCTCCGCATCGGTTTCGGTATTGGTCTTGGGCTCGTGAGGTGCTCGATTCGAACCACACACTCGCCCACACGCGTCCGGCGAAAGAAAAGCCTACAGCAGTCGATTGTAAAATGATCTGGTAGTAATTTTCCGAAAACCCCAACAAACCAAGGCTCCAGTGAAGGGCCCGATGGATTAGTCGGGCTGGCCAAGTGAACTCAAGCTCTCCGACCGAATCCTCACATGTTTTCCAAGGCAACGGTTTCTTCTGTATCTGTTTTCCACTGAAATCCAACTACCGCCTGCAATTACGGGTCCGTAAATCCGTTAAGAGCGAACCTCGAGCAGCGCCACTAGGCACCAGTGAAAATGGTAAATAGTGATTATGAAATGGGCCGCAAGGTGCAGGCCTAATACGCTGAGCCTTGTTTATCCCCATCCTTTGGCTTAATGCAAATTGCAAGTCAATTGTCGGCACCCGTCCCTTGTCGTAGGAATAGAGCACAAAGCAGTGCCTTTGCTTTTCCATGCCCCATTGTTTTGCGCCGTCGAAGGAAAATACGGTCGCGTATGATGTAAGCCGAGCCACCGAGCCCCTCTTGTCGCCGTCACTTTCTCTTCGCCTATTTAGTTAGCACAGCCATTTATTTTTATAAGATGACGCCGTCATCGTGGATTCTCACCACCCCCTCCCATTTCCATCCCCTCTCCCTGCCCCTTGTCCCTTGTCCTTCCCGCGAGGCAACAACAGCATCAGCAGTAACAACAACGGTAACTAACGGCAAAAGTCAAGCGAAAAACACTACGCCATCCCTCTCTCGCAACCTTACCCAACGGCGCGCGAGACCGAGGGAACGGAGGCAGTGGCAGTGGCTGGAGCGGGAACTTGAGCGGGGTGGGGGCGTAACGGTAAATCGATATTTTGCGGCATGACCGAGTGGCCCGAAAGGGGGGCACTGGGCTTACGGACTGGTGTGGTGGTTTCGTTAGTCACTCAGTCAGACAGACGCCGCGGAGGTCTTTGCATCTCTCCCCACTCCATAGATCCAAACCGTCGCCCACCACGATGCTATCCTGTATCCCAGGGCCGTTCGTATTTTGTGGTAAAAGTCCCCACTTGCTCTCGACGCTTCCTCGCTCTCTTTCCCTCTCTTCAGAGAGAGAGAGACCTATCGCTCAGGCAGTTGCTCCAAATTTGCGCTGTTATCACACCAAGAGCACCAGCTGCAACAACAAATACGACAATCGAAATTGTCCACAACAAAGCATTGTTGCTCGAATTTATTCAAAGGCATCTATGGTTTCTGTTGCTCCAGAATTGTCGGTTCGCCTCGGGAATGAAGGAGACTGCTGATAATGGTCCATACTGCGTCAAGCATTACATTCAAAACGGATATAAAATGTGATTTGAAACTGCTCCTAGTTGCTGCCACTGGAATCGATTTGACTTAAACGATATTCCCTGGCTGGTGCCTTGGGATCTATCTCTCAGTTGTTTGGCGTAAGCTTATCTGTACCGCGGTCAAGAAGGTGCCCTCGATGGAAATGATCTATACATAAACACAAGAGAACTAACACGAAAGTTTTGTCTACGCAGTTGCTGTTGACCCTTACGATTTTACACTAAGTGTCGAAAATTAAAATCTGCCGTGAAAGCAGGAGACAAATTGGATCTGTCGGCCATATAAAGTGCGAGTGACTTAATCGTAAAGGTGTCCACAGCTTTACTTGTTTGTATATAAACAAACTGCGGAAACCTTTGTCCAGAGCAGTGCACATGTTTCCTTCCGATATTTTAATAGTTTTATTTAGAAATAAAAAAAAGGTTCAGAAGGAATAATGCGTAAATGTATGTATGTTCATGAAGTTATCTAGAAATACTATTATAGCTACATTGGAAAAACAGATAGTTCTTAACGGATACAATTCTTAATTCTATACCTTTGCAGTCCTCAGAAATGTCGAGCAACATTGAAGCTCATTGATAATCGTCAGATTGTCATAAAATTAAAGTCAAAATTTAAGGGTTGTTAGATAAATTCATATCATGCTTGTGAAATAAAGATCAACAATGTTATAATTTAATTTTGTATAGATTTTGATCTTTTCTATGGAGTACGATTTCAAAGAAATTTTTCCATGATTCAATCGTAGGTAAAAACAAGAAAGGAAGCTAGCTTCGGCAAACCGAAGCTTATATACCCTTGCAGTCATCAAATATGTCGAACAAAACGCATAAAGGAAAAACAACATCGAAGCTAAGACGATTTTTCTATTCATTTTCCATGTTTTCGACTATAGATCATATGGGAGCTATAGTTGTCCGATTTTACTCAAATTTAATTCGTAACTCAAGAGTCGTTAGAAAACTTTATATTTCAAAAATCATGCTTATCCGATAAAAAACAACGATGTTATCAATTTATGTCCTTTAATTCTATATATATTTTTCGATCTCTCCTATGGCAGCTATATGATAGAGTTATCCGATTTTTATAAAATTTAATTCAAAATTCAATAGTAGTTAGAAAACGCCATCTGGAAGAAATAAAATCGATCTGATCAAAAACAGCTGTCTAAGAACTTTTTATTTTGTTCTCCGCTATAGTCGGCCGATCCGGCTCGTCCCGACTTATATACTGCGTTAAATAACTACACACCTTTAAAACTAAGAGACTAGTTTACATAGAAACCGACAGCCGGCGGACAGACGGATGGACGTACAGACGTATTTGGATTCTGATCGTGATGCTGATCAAGAACATATATGCTTTATCGGGTCTGAGGTGTCTCTTTCACTGCTTTGCAAACTTCTGACTGAAATTATAATACCCTTTTCCGATTATCCATATGACAGCTATATGATTTAGTCATCCGTGTTTACTGATTTAAAACACTATCTACAAAATAATCATGATTATATGATACAAAATCTATATGATATCCGATATAGTCGAACCTGCCTGTTCCGACATTTATACTGCGTGCAATAATAGCACAACTTTTGGTAAAACTAATAGACTTGTGATTTTAATCGAGAATACATATAAAAACTTTGTTGGTAAATACTTCTCCCCAAAATGAACAACCAAATATTAATTAAGTATTAAGTATTTATTATAAAAAGCATTTTTTTTTATTTTACGTATCTAGTAAAAAAGACTCTGGTTTTTACCAATACCAGCTACCACAAGCTTATTTTTCTTTCCATCTACTTAACTTAACATTACTCCCTGGCTACCATTGAACTTTGGGTAAGACGTTTGTCGGGTTGACTAGCCCTTGCAGTTTAGTTGGGGTGTCCGGTTTCCACAAGCAAACTGGCAGACAAAGCCGGTACGCGCCACAAAGCCACACCGCGGCGAACTGCATGTTTTACCTATTATTGTCGTTTTCTTACACAGTGAACATTTTTCGTATCTAAGTTAGTTTTCGGCTCGGTTTGTTTGGAGCGGTGGTAGAACAAGTACAAGTACTAAGCCAAACTTTTTGTGCTTCCCACCTAAAAAAGATCCAGCTCTTAAAGTTAACCCAACTTGCTGATGAATTATACAACGAGGCTCGGAGATGATTTTCTAAAGTCCGAAATGTCTAATATAATGGTTGTTGTCTCTGCCCTTACCTAACTCTTCGAAAAAAAAAATAGTTTTGATCTTTAGAATAAGAACTTGTTTTCTATTTTTTCTTAATTAACCTTAATTAACTTAAACTTATTAAATCCATTCTTGTCAATGTTGTTTTAATTATTTTCGGGCTGACAGCAAAAAGTGAACTTTAAGCGTTTTGCCTAAGTTGTTCCTGCTGGAGTTTTCCGACTGCCGCTAGCTGAATATGAAAGGAAGCTAGCATCGGGAAGCCGAAGCTGATATATCAAATATTATTATTTTATTTAAATTCAAAATTCAAGAAATTCGAAATTCGAAATTCAAGAGTCATTAGAAAACGTTTACTTGTATAATAAAAACAACGACGCTTTAATTTTGTCTTATTGATTTTATATAAATTTTACGATCTTTCCTATGGCAGGTGTACGATACAGATGTCATATTTTAAACAATTTTTTTCTTCTTACACCAAATAAAGATTCAGGGGTAGCTAAAAAGCTCGATATTCTAAAAATCATGATTGCGTGATAAAAAAAAACAACTGAGTTATAGTTTTTTCGATTATTTATACATATTTTGTATCTTTCTTATGGCAGCTAGAAGGTATAATCATCCGATTTGGATAAAATCTTATTCTAATCTTATCTTCTTCTCTGCGTTGCAAGCTTCTGACTGAAATTAAAATTAAAATACCCTCTGCAAGTGTATAAAAACTTTAAAATCATTGTGTGTAATGGAGTAAATTTAAATCATAATATTGTAATTATTAAAGATTCGATAATACTGTTTGATTACAATTCAACATTTTTTTTTTTCGAGTTAAACGATTTTATGAGGACTTGCCTTTTACTGACATAAATATCTTAAGATTCCACAGCGATTGTTGTTTATTATGTGGATCAGATATTTTGTATAGTGATCTAATGTTTTATTTAACTCTGATTATTTGTTTCACACCACTGTGGGGTAGATGGCCTGACGAATTTGTATTTCCCTTATTCATTCCTTTATTCTCCTTTAGTGTAATTACCTAGATTTTGTAACAAGTACAGACCAGTTGATGTAGATTTTAAAATGGTATTAAATTAAATTGACACTGAAAAAAAATTCAAAATTTTTACATTTTACATTCGAAAAATCGATATAGAAGTAACGGAAATAAAGTGATAACATCGTTGTTTTTCATCAGACAATCATGTTTTTTGGAATATACATATTTTTAACGACACTTGAATTTAATTTTAATAAAATTAAATTTCATCAAAATCGGACGGTTATATCATATAGCTGTCATATGAACAAAAGTCGAAAATATTGAAAATTAATAGAAAAACGGATTTAGCTCCGATGTTGTTTAGCCTTTTTGTATTTTTTCGACATATTTGAAGTTAGCAAGTGTATAGTATATAAGCTTTTAACTATTATTTATTGGATCTCATCTTTACAGAAACTAACAATTAGTTTTAAAACTTTAATCTAAGTCTATTTATTTAGTTTAAACAAAATATTTGTGGTACAGCCCAAACTTTTTAATGCTGGGTGGGGCGATCTAAAGAATGTACAAGTCTGCTGTAGTTCAGTTTTAATAAACTGCATTCAGGTGATGCTGACCAATAGTTTCTATAATTGATGGGTCGGTGGTATCTTCTTCACTACCTTCAAAAATCTGACTACAACTTTAACACCCTCTGCGAGGGTAAAAAAAATAAAAACTATATATCCTAGCAGTTACAACTTAAGTGAAAATTTTTTTTTTATGATAACAAGGTGTTCGTACCAGTTTATAAAGTAAAAGGTCAAAGACAACACGTGTGACCTCGTTAGGTATATATATTCGTAATCAGGATCATCGGACGAATCTGTGTATGTTTGTCTCTTCGTATAACATCGAGATCTAATTAGCTAGGATTAAAAACGAAGATTCTTATCTGTACGCAGCGCAGGAAAGACAGACGATGGATCCGTCAGATGATTCTTATTAATAATATATATGCTAATCGAAGTCAGAAGTACGTTAAAGTACTTCCTTTAACCTGCTAAATTCTTTTCACAAATACGGAATTCTCGTTGACTCCAGCAGTAACTAGCAGTACCTAGTAAATAAGAGTAACTCAAAATGTTTTAATATGTATGTATCTTAGAAAGAAACAGAAGTGTTCATTTTCCCCCTTGTAGTTCGCTGATCTGATTTTTCTATATTTGCATGCAGATTGTACGCCGCCGATCCCGCCGCGCCCGCATGTGGAACATGGGGCTGCTCTTCCTAATATACTACTGCGTCAGCATCTACTCAGCCAAGGGGGACACCAAGGAGGGTCAACCCTTGCCCCTGGACGTGGGCAGCCTGGCCGAGGACGCCGGCGACGCGGAGGCCAACGGAGAGGTCAACACAGAGAGCAGCTCCGTGCTGGAAACCACACCGGCTTTTGAGGTGAGTAGTGTAGAGTAGGAGCCCCAAAAGCTGCCGGATCCTGAGACCAGGTACCTGTTCCAGGCCCAATCGACTACGCAGTCCACCCCAATACATGGCGCCGTTCCCACCTGGCGCCCCAAGCGCGACAACTGCACGCCGCCGGCCATCGAGCAGTTCCCCCAGCCGCTGATGAACAAGTGGGCGAGACAGCACGGCGGCCTCATCCTGCACATCCTGGTGGCCATCTTCACCTTCTTCGGCCTGGCCATCGTGTGCGACGAGTACTTCGTGGCCAGTCTGGATCGGCTGTGCGAGGGTGAGCTTGGGAACTGGAGTTACACTAAGAGTTTAGGGCCACCAATTCTCATTGATTTTATTAACAATCAAAAAGTAACTTAAGCCAGCTTCTTTTCCTTATTGCCTTGTTCAAAAAGAGATAAATAACTAACGCACGATAGGTTTAATTATAATATTGATGTATTTATTTTGAGCTGCATCTTGTTCGTTCTGTGATTTATTTTATTTATTATTTTATATAGTATTACTAATGCAGCTTGGCTGAATACATAACATAGAAAACAGATGAGATAACAAAAATAACATAAGAGTATCTGAGAGCGGATGAGAGATTTGCAGGTGCAACGGTACAGCTATGCGCACCTGATTAGGTGCTGGCGGTCTATATTTTTTCAAGCTTTAAAATGTTTAAAAATAGTACACTGGCTGCTAACGTATTCTTTCGAATAAATTTTAATATTTAGGCTCCCCGAGAAAAAGAAACTGTCTCTTTTTCCAAATCTTCATCATTTCTATGCTCTATCCCTCACTTAACAATAGTAACAAATTTCGGCTCCCCGGACCCGCACACCCCCCTCGTCCACGTTACTATGGACCCAACAATAGAACTTTCGTCACTCCTAGATGGCGCCAGGTGGAAACCCCACCGCTAGGATAAGTCGCTACTGGCTTATCACCAGTACGATCGAAAATCAAAGATAAATGAATCCTCTACAAAAATTGTAGGGGCTCTATGCTCCCGGGTGGAGTTAAAGAATGTAATTTTTTTCTGATTTAGGCATGGACAAAGGTCATTGTTCTTCAAAATCCAATCCAATTCTAATCGCAATAGGATTTGTAATCGTTTCGATATGCTATTTATTACAACTTGGAAGACCTTACATACTAGATTGGGCCGCAATTTTGATTTGGAATGCATTTAACATAGAAAACTTTCTAGCGTAATCTAGATTAGGGGGTACGGTAAGCTATTCAGTATGTTCTGGTCATGAGGTACACATTATTCACTGGTCCCCAGGAACGCAATTAACTCCCATTTGCTTGCAGAGCTAAAGCTTTCGCCGGACGTAGCAGGAGCCACGTTTATGGCTGCCGGAAGCTCCGCCCCGGAGCTGGCCACCGTGGTAATAGGAGTGTTCTTCGCCCAGGACGACATCGGCATAAGCGGGGTCATCGGCTCGGCCGTGTTCAACATCATGTTCGTGATCTCCGTCTGCGCCCTGTGCTCGGGCACCGTTTGCCAGCTGAACTGGTGGCCATTGGTCAGGGACTGCTTCTTCTACTGCGTCTCGATCCTGGTGATGCTGATCATCATCTTCAACGACGTCATATCCTGCGTAAGTTGCGAGCACCACCCAGCGACCGTCCCCTAACCTCTCGCCCTGCCCCTTTCCTTCAGTTCGAGTCCGTGGTGATGCTCCTGTGCTACGTCGGCTACTGCGTGGCCCTCCACTTCAACACGGAGCTGGAGCGGTGGGCTCTGGGCCTAAACCTGCCCTTCAAGCTGCCCAGCAAGGAGGAGCAGTCGGCGCTAGTGACCTACAAGAACGTGCCGGACAGCTCCTACACCCAGGGAACTGCCGCCCAGGGCCAGCAGCCCGCTAAGGAACCCCCCAGCGAGAGCCGCCAGCCGGAGCCGCAAAGCGACTACCAGAATTACAGCGACCCCAACGCCAGCTGGGACCCGAACGCCGCCTGGGGAGAGGAAGGCCAGCCGCAGCCGCAGCCGGTGGCCAAGGCCCCGCCGGTCGACGACTGGGGCATGGGCCAGGTCGGGCAGGAGAACATGGGCTACCACGCCGATCAGCCAGAGTCCGTGGTCACCGGGGAGTCGGCGGCGGCAGCAGCGGCGGCGGTCGCCAAGAGCGGAGGCCAGGTGGTGTCCGGCCAGGCCGCCCAGGACTTCTACAAGTCGACGGACAAGCAAAGGGAGGCCCGACGCGACCCCCTCATCAGACCCACGGAGGGAGGGCTGCCGGCTCTGGTCGCCTGGTACGTGGTCTACCCGATCCACTTCCTCTGCAAGAAGACGATGCCCGACTGCCGGCAGGAGCAGTACCGCAACTGGTACCCCTTCACGTTCCTCATCTCGATGGTGTGGATCTCGTTCTACTCCTACTTCATGGTGTGGATGATCACCGTGATCGGGTCCACGCTGGCCATACCGGACACCGTGATGGGACTGACGTTTGTGGCCGCTGGCGTGTCCGTCCCGGATGCCCTAAGCTCAATAGCCGTTATCAAAGAGGGCTTCGGCGACATGGCCGTGTCAAATGCGATTGGCTCGAATGTCTTTGATATACTAGTGTGCTTAGGTCTTCCCTGGTTCATTCAGACGGCCATCATAAAGCCCGGCTCGCACGTCAACGTTATATCCAAGGGTATGTACTTCCCACTTCCGATCCTGCTTGCGTGTCCTCCCAACTCGTAGTGCTCGTCGTGTGTGGTGTGTGGTGTGCCTGGCATGAGTGTCCTAGCCGTTCTCTAGCTGCAGTAGCTGCACTCCCGATCCTGATCTTCAAGTCTAATCCCTGAGCTCGTTTTCTCTTTCTTTCTCTCGACTTCCCCCTATCTTTTTTCGCCTTTCATCGATTTGCAGGACTAGCCTACTCCACGCTGTCACTCTTCTCCACCGTGGTCTTTTTGATCCTGTCGACGCACCTGAACGGCTGGAAGCTCGACAAGCGGCTGGGCATCATCCTGATGGTCTGGTACCTTTTCTTCATCACGCTGGCGTCGCTCTACGAATTGAATGTCTTCGGCTACATGAACCCACCCGAGTGTCCCAGTGAGTATGCTCCAAGGATTCTTAAGCTCCCTTTCTGACTGGACACTTCCGTTTCAGGCACTTACTAAGTTACCGAGGACGTCAGCAACGCACTTATGCTTTCATTACCAGCACCAAATACCAAATACATACGTGTAGCGTTGTTCATAGCCACAGCTAGAAACAAACCGAAACCACTGCAAAAAGTCGTAGGAGGAGCGATTAGGAGTAATATTTTCCTAACGTTGATTAGAGGGCAAATTTAATACTCAAAGCGCGTTTCACATGGATTTTTACATTGCACCAGAAGAAATAGGAGGCGATAAACCAAAAAAAAAAAACATTTAAATGTACATGTATACTATATTTACTAAAGTATATACTTAAATGGTATCTAGGCGGTTAACAAACAATGTAAGGGTGATTCTTTCTAAACTGAGATACTCTTTTTCTTTGCCGGTAGTCACTACCATTTTTATTAGGATTTTCCAGAATTTGCTGTTGATAGCCGGTGACCATCATTATCTTCACTATTTGTAAAGATCAAATAAAATTAAAGATTAATGTGCTTAGAAAGAAAGCCTATAATTTGGAAAATTTGTCAATTGCTCATACTATTTTTATATATACCAAAAAGACAAAGTCTTTACTTGCTCAAACTTTTAAAAACTTTATTTTCCTGATTCTGGATTCGCAACATATACCACTAACTGTGTTTTTGTGATCTCTCACTTAAAATGCAAAGATTTGTTTTTTTAATTTTATTTGTCCTTTGCAACCTCATAACAAAACTTACTTGGCATAATAGGAATACAAGCAACTCAATGATAGAGCACAAGAAAGTGTATATGTAAAGTTATAACTTTCCAAAGAATTTCTTTTCAAACCAATTGTATTTACTTCTTGCCTCATTAAACGGTAAACCAACCACTAACGGGTTTTCATTTGATCAATAAAAAATTGGGAAAGTACTTGAAAATCTAAAGAACTAGAGAAAACAAATTAAATGTTCGTAAAAAATTTTATGAAGTTTCTCACTTCAGAAAGAATTATCATATGTAATAAACGACAAAATAATATTATGGAAAAATAATAACTGTAGATAGGGAGACAAATGTATGTAATTAAAAACAATGAAAACAGCAAAAAAAAGCATTTGTTGCTATAATTGTTGTTGTACAAAAAACAAAGCAAAAATCCTACACCACAATCAGATTTATTTCCGATCATTAATTCATTTCAGTTGCATTTACAGTGGCGTAGACAGTAACTCGTTCAGGAAGGGCCTCTCTGAAATTTTTATTTCTGTTTTCCCATGCATACAATTTAATGAAAAGAGCTTTTGTTTTAAATAATTTTAGTCTGATTTCCTAAAATTTCATCTATTGGAAGGGTATCTGCTTACGTCACTGTGCATACATACGTGTATATACTTTTGAATCACATCGTATTTATAGCCCTAATTTAAACGAATTCTGTAGGGAAGCTCTGCTTATACAGACATACAAAAGTCGTGGAATTACACTCCAGATAGGTTTTGACCAAGAGCACGAATTTTTCGACCAGAATGTAAGGAGCTATGAGCTGTGGAACAAGAACAACGAATTATGTTAAATTTTGTAAAAGAAGCTATGATTTTTATTCAAAATAACACGAGCAAAATCTTAATGAACTTATTTATTGTTTCAACTTTTTCAAAACAAACAATTATTTAAAACAGCACACCAAAAACGTCCTGAGATTTGTAAGGATACCAATTAACTACGAAGTGCAAACAAAAATTTAGAAATTTATCATGACGGCAATTACTTGTGTCAATTTTCTATTGTAAATAACATCCAGGTTAAAAATATAAAATATTTTATGGAACGCAAATGTCAATTTAAGCTGAAACTCTATTCAAAACAAACCCTGCACCCGTTCCAGGCTTAAAGAAAATTTTGGAAAACCAACTTGATGTTCTTAAACTTTTTTTAATGGTTTCAACGAATTATTTTAGGGTAATTTCAAAGATGTCATTCTGGTTATTTTCGTCATTTATGTTAGGACACCTCCTTTTTCCTGAAAAACCGGTTATGCTTGATTTTTAACGGAAAAATGAAACTTGTACACAAAAAGTACGCTTTAAATTTCTGCTACTTGACTCTGATTGGGCGTTTCAAGGCACACGTAATATATCGTTAGCAGGTTGGCAAAATGCAATTACACTCTAGCCATTCCAGCTTCTAAGCTAGGTCTTTTCCCAGGTGACTTATCTCATTAGCGGGAACGATTTCCGGGATAGTGACGATGACCCTGGGGGACAGAAACAGACCTTAGCTAAAAGCTGGGTCTAAGACAAATAGTATATATCCAGTACATACACCGAGTTACACACATATGGCATATTGACGGTAATCATACTTATGTAGTGAGCACTGCTATATGGAAGCGCTCAAATTTTAGTCAAATACTTACAAAAATATTTATACATATATACAAGTTCAGATACAAGGATAACGCTTAATTATTTTCGAAGGGATGCAAGTAAGACCATGTAACGGACTTAAATAATTTATGTAAGTCAACTTCCAAAAACAAATCAATAAAAAGCTAAGCATAGAAAGCTGTATTTGAAATAACTGTAGTGCTACTTTCCGGTATTATAAGTTACCGTTATCCATTATCAATTTTTTTGTCTGTCTTTAATTTAAAAACCACGCGGAAGGCACTCAAGTCCCAATTTTTCTAAGATTTTACAATTCGCTTGGTAATAAAAATTTTTCCATGCGTTGTAGATTTGAGGAATTTAGTATTTTTATTTGGACAAAAAAAAATTTAATTTATTTTTTTAAATTTTAAAATAAAATTTTAATTGTATAGTATATATTGTGTGAAACCACGTATGTTCGTTATTTCAAAGATGTGTAGTTCAAAGAACGTAGTTTCTTAAGTATCTGAATAAGAATACAAATGAGTTGTGTCATTATTGTAAATACTAGTTTCAATAATGTTTTTTAAGAATATATCATTAAATCATGACAATAAATTAGCGGAGTTACTATGTTTGTTAAATTCGAATTCAGAATCGATTATTATGAGAATCAGGAGTTTTTGGTTGATGGAAGGTGGCACTACAAATATTTTGAACAGATGCATACAAACTTACAATAAACATTAATCAAAATCAATGTTACACATTATATCGTATGAACAATCGCCCGTCGAAAACACCCACTTACTTAAAAACTAACTACTTCTTTAACTGGTTAACACGAGTGGGTTGTTCTTCTAGGCACAACCCAAGTACAAGGTTCTTCCCTACTCGCCCCAAAAGTTTTTCAAAACAGGCCGCATTAAATCTGTAACCTTCAAAGTACTTGACATTCCATTACAGTACAATATACACAGAGAAAAACTAGTTTAAAAAGTTATGTGTTTGTATTAACACCTTTAATTAGTATTTCGTTTAAAATATTTAATAAAGATTAACTGTTAAACATGTCGTTGCTATTCGATTAAAATTATTTTTAAAGTCATCCTTAATCCTTAATAAAATAAAGTCAATATATATTTACTTTTTACTGTATCTAATGCAAAATTGCACATATAAAAGATATATATACAATTACGCAAGCCACTTAATTTATTAAAGAGGATCTAGATAACTTGAAGTTTAAGAGCAGGGGTAGACACAAATCCCTCAATTGAAAACTTTCCCTAACAACATGCATAATGTACAATAATTGTTACATAAACTTACATATTTAAAACTAAAACATGCTATACCAAAACAATACAATAAATGTTTACGTCTGAGATTTGTGTTAATTAGTCGTAATCGTTTGCAAAAACTATATTAAAACCTACGGAACTAAATTCTGAAGTGCGTTTAAAAATTAACTTCGAGGCGACAACTTATATCTTTTGGTGACATCACGAAAACACGAAAAACTATTACTAATATACAAAACTGTTGTTGTTATGTTTACTCTAATAATGAATTCCGGAAATAAACGCATGATAATAGACAAACCAAACAGGCGGTTATACTGTCGTGTTATACCAAAGTTCTCTATGGTAAGCATAAAACTGGGGTAAAACATTCATCAGTTTTTAAGACCTTCAATTTTTTTCAAAAAGTCATCTTGGTTTCAAGATTTTGGGCTAGGATATTGGAGTTGAACATATAGATTCTGGTAATGAATGGGCAGCGCAATTTTATCGCACATTCACAAGCTCTGTGGCACAAACATTTTTGTATTACCAACCTGAGATGTTTTGAAATAAAATTAATATTGCTAATTGCAGAATAGGGGTATTTCAAAGTTAGTTAACTCTACTGTTTTTAAAACATCGCCATTTAAATAGACTAAAAGGCGGACACGCCCACAAGGCTAGTGGGTGTTAGAGATTGGCGTGACAAAAACAATTTGCTGCACATTCACATAAAATTTAATAAACCTATGCTGCATACGAATAACTAGATCTAGATGTTCAATCTCAATATTTCGGATATTATAGTTCACGATATCTCGCTATTTATACCCACTCTTTTCTTAATCCTGATCAAGAATAAATGTTATATATGGGATCGCAAATGCTTGTGTTCTACCTGTTAATTACTCTTCAAAAAGTACAGTTAAACAAATTAAGTTTTTTTCGATTAAAAATTATAAAACAAGAAAGGAAGCTAACTTCGGCGAGCCAAAATACCCTTGCAGCCATAAATAGTCAAATATGTGGAACAAAATACATAAAAGTTTAACAACATCGAACCTGTGGCAATTTCATACCCTTGCAGAGGGTATTATAATTTCAGTCAGAAGTTTGCAAACCAGTGAAGGAGACACCTTAAATATCTCCTATATTTTAGTCCTAATTCCGTTCTTAAAAAACAACAATGTTACTTTTTTTCGTTAATTCGGTACAGTTTTTTAATCTTTCTTTTAGCAGCTATGTATATAGTTGTCCGATTTTTATAAATTTTTTTCCCCCGATTAAAGGGTAGTTAAAAACTCGATATTACAAAAAAATATTAGGCTAAACAATATCGAAACTTTGACGATTTTTCTATTACTTATCTATTGTTCCTATGACAGCTACATGATATTCACTATATTGTTTTATCGATCTGTACTTTGGCAGGCATATGGTATAATATGTAGATTTAAAAAAAAAAAATTTTAATAAATTTTAGTTAAAAAACTTGATATTCCAAAAATTATGCTTTTGTGGTTTGCGTTTTAAACTGCTGTGTTGCTGATACTATAATTTCTTATTAAATTTCAAGGGTATAAAAAGTAATTGTAAAAACGAAATTGATTTCTGGGATTTTAGTCGAATGATTTATGTTTTATCTTGGTAAGTATTAAGGACTGAATATTTGATGTGTTTAGCTCTAAACTACTTACAACTGAAAAAAAACTAAAAGACCTGAAAATGTTAAACATAAACTCAGTTACATTTCAAGTTACAGAAACAGTTACAAAATACATTTTAAGACCAGTTAAAAACTATATTGAACTCAATTAAAAACTAAATATGTGCAGAATTTTGAATGTTTAATCCAAAAAAACCGTCAAATATCTAAGCGCGTAAAAATTCTGCAAAAGAAAAAAGAAAGAAAAGAGTCTTCCAAAAACTTAAAATATAAATATGTTTACTAATCTAGGTGTGCCGTGTTTCCTTTTTTATTTTAAATAGGGTAAAAATGAGCACACAAAAATTCTTTTAAAAAACTTCAGATATAACTGCCAAATTCCCCGTCACTTTTACATTCATCGCTTGGAAGAATCATCAACACAAGGGCGGCCAACTGAATCAGTGGGTATTGCTTACGCTCGTACCCGAAGTGCCACGCTCTTGCCCACCTGGCAAGCCCAGCTGCTAAGCACCGCGCACGCACCAAAGCTCTCTCCCACACTCTCTCGCCCCTTCCAGCCATCCAGCCATCCAGCTTTCAGCGCCACCCGAATAATCGTTACGCATACACAGCCGCCGAGCGAAAAGTGGGGGAAGTGGGGAAGCTTTCCAACGCTCCAACCGGCGTCAGTCTGTTGTCTTCCGCTCATTCGTTAACTCACTGCCAAAGTGGTAGCAAGAGAGAGTGGCTCCGACTCGAGATACACAGTTCTAGGTGCGTGTGTGTGCGCTGCTACCTGTTCTTTTGTTTGCTGTGTGTGCCTCCCCGATAAGGCCCTTGTCAATATTTTATCAAAATCGCAGACGAATTATATAACCCCGTGAACTATTGAATACATAATCGCCAAAAACGGCTTCCGACCAAATCTACTTTCCTGTATATGCAATATGTATGTGTACATAGTATAACTGAATGTTTGCTCATGCCCACATACGTAATACGTATGTACACACATACATATGCGCGGTGATACTTGTTTACCAGCGATAAGGTGTCGCAGTTAGGTCGCCAGCATCGGGCTGATAAGAACCAGCGAAGTGGAGCTTGCAAAGCACAAAACCCGATTCAGTTTCGGAACCCCACTCCAAGCGGTCGATTCCATTCATTCTGATAACACTTTTCACAGGCAAACCACGATCGCCCAATCATGAGCCCCCTCCCCCGAGTCAACATCGACCAGCCCAAATATGACCAGAATTCGTACCTAGGCAGAGCCAAGCACTTCTTCCTGCTGACCAACCCGCTCAACGTGTTGGCCTCCGCCGCCAAACTGGAGGAGGCCCGCCAAATCGTGCTGAAGTATCGGGCCGGTAAGGACGAAATACTGTACAATCAGTCAATTGCCTAATCCAACTCCAACCACCCAAGGCAAGGATGTGCCGGAGTGCAAGACCATCGACGACGTGTGGCGGGCCAAGTACCTGTACGATTCGGCCTTCCATCCGGAGACGGGCGAGAAGCAAATAGTCATTGGGCGCATGGCTGCGCAGATGCCCATGAACACATTCATTACCGGCGGTGAGTTCGGCAGTTCGGTTGTTTTTGGGGCTCAATTGGGACCGTTTGAACTATCTGCTTCCGCCCTGCTGCTGCTTAATTCGAGCACAATAACAGCGAGAACAATTTCCAGGCATGATGGCCTTCTACAAGAGCACGAGCGCCGTTGTCTTCTGGCAGTGGTGTAATCAGACGTTCAACGCGATCGTTAACTACACGAACCGATCGGGAACCTCGCCGATCAGCCAACCGTAGGTACCGATCCGTAGCAGCAGTTGCCCTTACTACTAAGTTCATCCCGCCTAGGCAACTGCTTACCTCGTACTGCCTGGCGACCAGCGGAGCCCTGGTCACGGCCTTGTCGCTCAACCGGGCCGTGAAGAACATGAACCCGCTCCTGGGCCGCCTGGTGCCTCTTGTGGCGGTGGGAGCGGCCAACTGCATCAACATCCCCTGCATGCGAATGCAGTAAGTAGACCGATTTATTAGCAAGTATTATCAGAAATGCTGTAGAAATGGACCGGGATAGGTAGATAATATTTTTACTGAAACTTCTCATTTCCCACTCACTTTGGCCTGTGTAATCTGCAGATTAAAGTAGAGCAGTCCGAATCTATATACCCTTGCCCATCTGCCTGTCTGCCGGCAACTCCAAGCTTATATACCCTTGCAGGCTTAAAATATGTCGAACAAAATACATAACGGCTAATAAAATCGGAGCTAAGACATTTTTTTGACAGCTATACGATATAGTCGTCAGATTTTGATGAACTTCAATTCGAAATTCAAGAGTCAGTAAAAAACTCTATATAAAATCTGTTTTCTCGAATCAATGGTTTTAAAAAATGTCATATTTTAAAAATCCTGCTCGTGGGATGAAAAAAAACGACTTTATCATTTTTTTCCCCCATGATTAATATATATATGGCAGCTATATTACATAGTTATCCGATTTTGAAAAAATGGAATTCTAAATTCAATAGTAGTTCAAAAAATGCCATCTGGAATAAATCAATTCGATCTGATCAAAAACAACAGCGTGAGAATTTTTTTTATTCTCTCGTATGGGAGCTATCTGATATAGTCGCCCGATCCGGCCCTTTCTAACTTATAGAGAGACAGGAGGACAGACGGACAGACGTACAGACGTTTTTTTTATTCAGATTATATTTATATAATCTTGATATTTATATCAAGACTATATTTACCTTATGTGGTCGGGGGTGTGTCCTTCACTGCGTTGCAAACTTCTGACTGAGATTATAATACCCTTTACTCTGGAAGGGTATAAAAGGAGACAACTCAACTCTATGAACGAATTTTTTTCTAACATCCTTAAATTTAACTTTATATGTATTTATTTACATATATTTTTATATGTATTTAATAAGCGTTTATAGGTATCCTAATAAGAAAGTATGTATAAGAAACGTAGTTAATGACAAACACAAAATCTGTATTTAATATATGTATGTCCGTAACCGATTTTTAAGTAGTTTAAAATTGTTGTTAATTTCATATTTTGTAACCGTTAGTTGGAAATCCTTATACTTTTTACAGTAACCTTGTAGTCCGAACATACGCTCATCATTCTATATATAAAAATTAATACTTATTTTCAAAAGTTACTTCTTAAAAAAGAGTATAAAGAAAACGGTAATCAAAAATGTCGCACAAATAAAAATATCCACATATATTTTTCAGAGAGCTGCAAAACGGAGTGGTACTACTGGATGAGAACAACAACGAAATGGGCATATCAAAAAAGGCAGCCGTCGTGGGTATCTCAGCCGTTATCCTGAGTCGAATCGCCATGGCCATCCCGGGAATGAGTAAGGGCACGCAGCACTCCCAAAAACAACCGGGGTCTTACGATTTTTACCTTTCATTTCAGCCCTCACGCCGATGCTTATGAACACACTAGAGAAGCGAGGATTCCTGGCCAAATACCCCCCGCTCCAATGCCCCCATCCAAACGCTCTTCTGCGGCTTCGTGCTGATCTTCGCCACGCCCCTGGGCTGTGCCTTCTTTAAGCAGCGGGCGGGCATCAAGGTGGACAGCCTGGAGACGGAGGTGCGTGACAGCATCAAAAAGAAACGCCCAGATCTGGACACCGTGTGGTTCAACAAGGGCCTGTGAGCCCGTCTGCAACTTACGAGCTTAAACAAGACAATATTGCTTGGTTGAGTCGCCTATTTATTTACTCACTTTGCATTTAATAGAATTTTGCCTATTAAGTTTTGTTTTAAATACTCATGAGATTATTCCTTTACAAAGCGAGACATCAGGGCATTCAATTATACAGCGTATTTGGTAGTGATTGTGTACAAGTAAAAGAAACCAAAAATAAATTCTGTTAACTGTTAAATTTGAATTGAGTTTCCAAACCGCGCTTCAAGTAAATGCCAACTCGCGTCAGGGCTGTTGACTATCGTTATCGACTATCTGGCGACGTCGGGCACAATCGTGGCTCGCGCATATCTAATTGCTGGTCGACTCAGCTCAGGCTCGGTTTTGTTTTTATTTAATTAAACTATAATTTAAATAGCTGTAAATAGCATATTTTGTTCAAAGTCGCTTTACAGAACCTATATCCATTAGTTAATAACCTTTTCAAAGCCGAAGAAAATCGAAGCGCGTTTTTCCAGGCCTTTTAATTTTGTGGAAAGAAATCGTAATTAAGGTGTGGTTAGATGTTTGTCTAAGCAAATCATCAACTAGGCTAGCTCTTGTCAAATACTATTGGGACGACTTCTTTAGTTATTGTCGATTTAAATTATTACAACTAAAGCTGTGCAGTGATGCTATTCAAGTGTTTTATTAAATAAAGTACGGTTACAGCTTCGATGCGGCTCACGACCACGCCTAAAACCACACACACACACACACACATACAAATACGTTGTCCAACACGCAATGGCTTACTAAATCTAACAAATTTGATTGACCAGTGATCGCCAGAATTGTTTACTTCGTACATATTTGTTTATTCCACTAGTCGATAAAAATAAACAAGAACATTTATTCGTTCTTCTGATTTTAGAAACAATCGAGTCCGTAGAAAAATGTGCCTTTAGTCTGCTTGGAGTCGATACCTGCAGAAGTGCCCACGCCATTCAGAGAAAAGAATATGTTACCAAAAATTGGCCTCCTGGCCGGACTTCTGGTGCTCCACGCAATTTGCCTAGCCACCGCCCAGTTGCCTGGGGGGACCTGCCTTCGGGCCAAGTGGATCCGGGACAACCCGTGCAGCAGCCACAAAGCTATCAGCCCAGCTACAACAAAGATTATTCGCCGCGGTACAACCCGCTATACACTGGGCAACAGCCGAGTCCGGAAACCAACCAGTACGAAAATCCCCTTCTCGACGGCCAAAGTCCTAACACCTATAAAGGGTACTACGATGGCCGGGTGGGATCTGGAGGCCTTGGCGGCAACGTGGTTGGCCCTGGCAACAACTTGGGCGGACTCGGTCCCCAGTACGATCCCTTCAACAGAAACAACATTGGCACAGCGGGGGTAAGCTACCGCGACGCCTATAGCGACGAGGACAACTTCTGCCCGGAGCACTGGGTCTCGTTTAGACAAACGTGCTACCGCTTCATTCGTTCGCCCAAACGCAACTGGGCCGAGGCCAAGAAGATCTGCAAGGCATACAACGCCGATTTGCTGAACGTGGACAATATTGAGAAACACGCGTTTATACTCAAAAACCTCATATTGCAAAACCAACGACAGAACCGATTCTTTATATCTGCCCGACAGACCGGCCCACTGAACTGGGTCAACGATGACAACACCCAGCTGGTGCAAATCGAGGATTCATTTTCAATGGATGAGAACGTGCCCTTGGAAAACGAGGACCTGCACGACAACAGATTCCTTGTTCAGAACGACCTTAACAACCGAAACCTCAACAATCCGAATCAGTTTTACAACTCCCTGCCAGGCAGCGTTAATCAGCGCAATCAAAATAACCTCCGCGGCTTCATAGGCATGTTGATTGTAGCGGCCCTCAAAAATGAATAGTTACCTAACCTTTCTCTCCCGCAGGTCCCAACCAGCCGTATGGCGACAATGGATATGTGCGCGATCGCGTTGTTTACGCCTTCTCCAAGAAAAGGGATCGCTGGATGTTTATGCCGGCGTACGAAATTGAGCTGAATCTTTTCATCTGCGAGTCTAAGGTTCTGTACAGCCCAGATAATGTCAACATAAAGTTAGACGACAAGCGTCCCTATTACTATGGACTGGATGTAACAGACATGGAACGCATACCCCGGGGACCCTATTTCGTAAAGCAGCCGAACGACACAATATTCGACGTAAACAAAAACCGTCTGATCAACGATGTAACTCTCAGCTGCTTGGCCGGCGGTTATCCCACGCCCTCGTACAACTGGTACCGCGAAGTGTACGTGAACGACACACTCGAGTACCAGAAGATCGATCCCCTGGCGCAGGATCGATACACCATATCGGGGGGGAACCTGATCATTTACGAGCCCAAACAGGCACTAGACCAGGGCGCTTACCATTGCGTGGCAGAAAACAAATTTGGCCGCATTCGGTCGGAAAGCGCGCACTTGAATTTCGGATTCATCATGGAATTCAACCTGAAACGCTCGGCTGAGACGAGTGAAATGAACTGGGGCAAATCGATATTCTGCGACCCACCGCAACACTATCCCGATGTTCGCTATTACTGGGCCCGCGACTATTTCCCCAATTTTGTGGAGGAGGACCAACGTGTTTTCGTCTCGCGTGACGGTGCTCTATATTTCTCGTTTATAGAAACCGTGGACAGGGCCAACTACTCCTGCACCGTGCAAACCCTTGTTTCGGACACCGGTCGCAATGGGCCATTTTTCCCGCTACGTGTGACGCCCAACAGCAATTATCAAGCACTTATATTTGCTAATACATTTCCGAAAGTCTTCCCAGAGGCGCCGGTGGCTGGTGATGAGATCCGGCTAGAGTGCATGGCTTTTGGTTACCCCATTCCGTCGTATAACTGGACGCGACAAGGCCTTCCTCTACAACGCAACGCGTACACAATGAACTATGGGCGCGTGTTGATCATCCAGAACGCGACAACTAACGACAACGGCGAGTACTCCTGTACCATCACCAATCCCCGCAAGACGCTGACAAAGAGCATATATATCAACATACAAATGCGGCCACAGTTCACCATTCCACTTAAAGACATGATCAAAGACTACAACAGCGACGTCACTTTTATATGCGAGGCATTCGCTATTCCTGACGCGAATTACACGTGGTACAAAAACGCAGAACGACTCGACCCCGCGACCATTAACCGGGACCGCTACATAATCCAAGACAATGTGCTCACCATTAAGTTCTTGGAAAAGGATAAGGACGAAGCAATGTACCAGTGCGGAGCCCAAAATCAACTGAAAACGTCATTCTCCTCAGCGCAGCTACGGGTGTTGTCTATGAAACCGTCTTTCAAAAAGCACCCCCTTGAGTCCGAGGTCTACGCTGTCTACAACGGCAACACCACAATTGTCTGCAACCCAGAGGCCGCTCCACGCCCAAAGTTCCAATGGAAGAAAGACGGTCAGGTTTTAGGCTCCGGTGGCCACCGGCGAATTCTGCCTAGCGGGACCTTGACAATTGCACCCACGTCACGCGACGATGAGGGAATTTACACTTGCATCGCATCAAACCAGGCCGGCACTGACGAATCTCATGCCCGCGTTATTGTTTTACGTAAGAAAGAAATTTATTTTTGCCAATGTTTTCAACTATCATGAGTTTAATTATTTGCAGAGGAAATCCGTTTCATTGAAACACCTCCGCAGCGCATAGTTGCAAAAGAACACGACTTAATCTTCTTGCATTGCGAAGCCGCATTCGATGAACTTCTGGATATTGCATATGTTTGGAAGCAAAATGGCGAAATCTTAAAGAACAACCATGACGGCACCGGACGTATTGTAAGTTTAATTATACCAAACCTGTGCTGCTGACCGCCACAATACCAAATATCTGCTTTACAGATTGTCGACTGGAACAGATTGACAGTGCATAACACCACAATGCGTGATGCCGGTGACTACGAGTGTGTGGTCAAGTCGGCGGTCAACGAGATAAGCAGCAAAACCAGCGTGTCTATTGAGGGAGCCCCAGGTGCTCCAGGCGGCGTTCAAGTCATACAGATTAGTAAGACAAAGGCCATCATTGAATGGGTCGATGGAGCGAACAACGGACGAGCAATCCGCTACTACAACATACTAGGCCGAACCAACTGGAACCGGACATGGGTTAATGTTTCCACTCACGTGCAGGCGCGAGAGGTGGATCGCTACACGTCGCGCCAGCAAGCAGAGGTGGTAAATCTAACTCCCTGGTCGGCCTACGAGTTCAGTGTGACCGCCGTAAACGATCTGGGAATTGGCACGCCTTCCGCCCCGTCGCCAATCTACAGCACATACGAGGACAAGCCCTACATTGCCCCGAGGAACGTGGGTGGCGGCGGCGGAAAAATCGGTGACCTAACGATTACTTGGGATCCGCTTTTGCCGCAAGAGCAGCACAGCCACGGCATACACTACAGGGTGTTTTGGAAACTAAAGGGCGCCATTGAATGGGCATCGGATGAAATTAGAAAACAGAAGAATATGGGCGTGGCAGTGGTTAATATTCCACTTAACAACTACTATACGGAGTACGAAGTCAAGGTGCAGGCCATCAACAACATTGGGAAGGGACCCGAAAGTGAAATTTCGGTCATCCACTCCGCCGAGGATATGCCGCAGGTTGCTCCCCAGAAGCCCATCGCGCTCGCCTACAACTCAACCTGCTTCAATGTCACCTGGCAGCCGATTGACATGTCACGTGAGAACATTCGTGGCAAACTCATTGGCCACAGGGTAAGGATGCCGGTCTACTTTTCATTACATATTAAAAAAATTTCTGCTTTAGTTGAAGTACTGGAAGACTACGCACCAGGAAGAAGATTCTGTTTACTACCTGTCACGTACCACAAGAAATTGGGCTTTGATCGTTGGTTTACAACCTGATACATACTACTTCGTCAAGGTCATGGCGTACAATGCGGCTGGCGAAGGACCCGAAAGTGAACGCTTTGAAGGTACGTTACGAAGACTTGAAAAAAAAAGAACTTTAAAAAACCTATACTCTTTTAATTTAATTTTTGTCAGAGCGCACATATCGAAAGGCGCCGCAGAAACCACCGTCTTCAGTCCACGTGTATGGAATAAACCCGTCGACGGTACGAGTTGTCTGGCGCTACGTGTCCCCATCCCAGGACGAGGAACCAGTTGAGGGTTATAAGGTAAGTCACTTGAACCAACCAGCTAAAACTTAACTAAATATCAACGTCCCACAATCTTTAGGTTCGCATTTGGGAAACGGACCAGAATATGATCACAGCCAACAACACCATAGTGCCGGTTGGACAAAAACTCGAGTCCTACATTAATACCCTCACGCCCGGAAAGAGCTACAATATGCGAGTCCTCGCCTTCAGCAACGGAGGAGATGGCCGAATGTCGAGCCCTACGTTGCGCTTCCAAATGGGCAAAACGACGCGCAATGCTGCAAATACCCGACACGGCCACAATATCAACACGGCGCTTGTCTTGAGCACATTGCTACTCATCACCACTTTTTTCTACACAAACCACTGAATGCAGCACAAATCAAGATGCATAAATTTAGGCAGTAAGAATATATTCTATACTAAGAAGTGACCTTATATAATAGTAAGAAGTGCAGCTGTAAAACAAAAACATTCCGTTCGTGCTCCTTTTTAAGCTCCCTAACTCATGTAAATGCAATTCCGTCCATTTTCTAGAATTTTTTAAAACAAATAAATTTGTATCTTTCCAAAAATATATGTTATTAGGGGATTTAAAAGTATGTATTTATTTAAAAACAATATCCGCTTAGCTTAGTTGGGAAAAAAGAACACGGTCTCGCAAAATAGATTATCATCATCATCATTTTGTGGCACCTTGTATCTGTCAGTCAGGACCTCGAATGCGCAGTTCTTCTTTTTATACCCTTGAGGGATTAGAGTTTTGGACAGACCATTGCAACGTATTGCCACCCTGTAAAATGAGTAGCCATGTCGGTCTCAGTTTAAAAACTGATTTTATGTTTTCTATCCGTATTCGTGTTTATGTATTCATTATTATATATCCACATCAAATTGGAAGATCTTTTATATTCTAGAAATAAATTCAATCAAAATTTAATGAATATGCAAAATAAAAATCTTATTCACGCAAATTGGCGAGAGAAGGTTCATATGGTCAGTAGGGTATAAAAGTAGCCACTATATTTTGAAACCAAAATTGTCTTCATTTAGGGCAGCCAAACAACATACATACATATAAATTAAATTTTATATTTTAATATATTTAAAGTAAAAACTAAAATGTTTTTAAGGTATTAGTTAAGCTCCATATTCCAAAAATTATGCTTGTCTGATAAAAAAAACAATATTGTCATTTTTTTTCCGTTAATTCTATATAGATTTTGAAGAGATATATGAACAAACGTCGAAAAAATTGGAAATTTTATAGAAAAGTCGTTGTTTATACATAGCTTCGATGTGGTTTAGCCTCTGTATGTATTTGGTTCGACATATTTGATGGCTGCAAGGGTATATAAGCTTCGGTTTGCCGAATTACTAAATTATTTAAAGGACCTATTCGGATAATAACATAACTAATGATTAAACCTTTACGAACTTCACATCCTTTATTTAAAATTTCTAAGAATGCTTTAGTAGATTTACCAGCTCCAATTAATATTTTTTCTTGATATATATATTTTTCGATCTTTCCTACAGCAGCTATATAATGTAGTTGTCCGATTTTAATGAAATTTAATTTGAAATTCGTTGGTAGTTAAATTCTGAAATGATTTTCATATTTTCTTTTATTTAATTCTCAGTCTTGAATTATTTTTAAGCTCAGATAAATGTACCTAAATTAAAATAGGTACTTCCTTGCTAGGGAATAAACACAAGTTCACTCCAATGGATATAAATAAAATTTGTGAATAAGAATATAAATAAACTATTAGCCATTCCTCAAAACCTCAAATGGGTTTGTTTCTATTTTATAATAATTTTTAGGGTTGAAACTAATAGTTAAGTAAGACCGTCTCCAGTAACATATTTTAATGCAATAGATTTCGATCTTTGCTTAAACTAGATGCTTGCGATTTATTGTGAGTGACATTCAAAAAATGTTTTAAATTTTTGATGTACCATTGATCTAAGATCGACACCAATCGTCTTCAGATTATTTGCTGTTAATCGATAGATAACGCGACAAAACGATACGCAGCCCTATAAAGTATGGCTGCAACTCTTTAATTTCGGGAAATTCCTGGGCACACCGATAGTATCGAATAATCGTCAAGTTTGTTTCAGCTCTACCAGCAAAAGCCTAAAGCTGAGTATATGCAAACATGGTTTTATAACACACATGTTCTCAGGACATCTACAAGTTAAACTATCGATTCGCCTAAGCACACGCCCTTCCGTGAAGAAATCCGGTAGCTAGGTGAGCATTATGGCCAAGGCGAACGGCTGGAACGGAGTGCAGGTGAACGGGAGCTGCGCCCCCATATGCTCCTCGAAGTACTCGCGCAGCACTGAACTGCGACGCGTCGAGGACAACGACATCTACCGGCTGGCAAAAATCCTAGACGAGAACGCCTGCTGGCGCAAACTCATGTCGATAATACCCAAGGGCATGGATGTGCAGGCCTGCAGCGCCGCCGGGGGCCTTAATTTTCCGGTGGCCATGAGAAATGGATTCAAGTACACGTCGCAGGACGTATTTCAGATCGACGAGGCTGCCAATCGGCTGTCCCCCGACCAGAGCAAGTCCCAGATGATGATCGACGAGTGGAAGACCTCCGGTAAACTCAACGAACGACCCACTGTGGGTGTTTTACTCCAGCTGCTGGTGCAAGCGGAGCTCTTCAGCGCGGCGGACTTTGTTGCTCTGAACTTTCTAAATGGTGAGTCCGTCTGTCTCTTCGTCGTGCTAAAATGTTAACCTGTGGCTGCCTTAGAATCTACACCTGATCGGCCGGCAGAGGGCCCCGCAGCACCTATAAGCCTGGACGAGGACATGGATGTGGACAACGAGGGCCTGAGTCCCAGCTTCCAGCCGACCACTGCCACCCTTGGGACTCCCCAGGGCAGCGTTGGCCTAAACTTGGACACCTTCGAAAAACACATGGTGGCGCGAGACAAGAGTGTACCGCAGCCATCCAGGGAGGCCAGTCCTGTATTCCCACTCGGACCCACTACAAGTTCCAGCGCAGCTAGCACAGCTGGCAACGTAGGTGCTCCGCCGTTGGCGGCCACCCCAAACATTCCCAATCTGACAATTCTCAATCTCAACGAACAAATGCAGGAACGCCTGCAGCCGCGTCCGCAGAACATTCCCAATCTGTCCATACTTCATGGCGATTCAACGACAACGGCGTCGACTTCCTTGGCCAATTCAAGCAGCCGAGCCACTTCCGCAGAAGCGCCAAACATACCGCGGATCACGCTTTTAATTGACAACTCTGTCGAGAAGGATCCCCATTCAATTCAAGCTTTAGAGAAAGCTGCAAAGGCCACGACGCCTACAGTGAACACAAACAATTTACCTATGATAAGCGCTTTAAATATAAATAATGACAATGGGGAGACCTCTCACCCAGATAGCAACAGCACCACAAGCAGCTTAAGCAACGATGAAGACGATAATGATGATGATGATGATGAAGAGGGTGAAGGAGAGTACGCGGATGCCTCCCTGCCAAATACAAGCAACTCGGAGCAGCAGAATTCAAACAATGACTCCAGCCTGACAACAGTCACTGGTACGAGCGGTGATAACAGCTTCGAAATGACCAACGACTCCAGCTCGACCTCAAACGATGATTATGCTTGCAACATTCCGAACTTGAGTGAACTGCAGCAGTAGATAAAAGCGATGCCCATCTACGGATATGTTGTCCACGATCCAGACATTCCGTTAGCCACTTTGGATTAAGTTATAATTTTATAACCCCGCATGTATTTATACGGTTGCCGATATCGAGAGATGAGAGATGGAGATGAAGACCTTTTTAAAGTATGCATATTGTGTAAGGTCCAACTAGAATCTAAGATTCAGGGCAAGCTTTCGAGGTACTATTGATTCGTTGTCCATATCACGGCTACTGACACAGTCCATGACAAGTACGGCAATATTAAATATTTCCGTTTCAAGAAAGCCATATGTATGTAACCAAATAACCAATTCTAAACGATTTTGTATGTCTTACAAAATACTCTTTTATTTTCTAGTATAAATATACATTAACGAAAAATGGTTTTCAGTGACGGCTTTTTTATTTCGTTATGGTTAAGGTATTCTAGGGCTAGAAGTACATTGTGGGGTAAAAATATAAATAAATGTTGCAGTGGGGCAGTTGTTAAAGCTATCAAGATAGATAATATCTATATAGATATATGATGTATATGTATATGTATAATAATGTCAAATGTCATATACATATATGATATAATATTCCGATATTTATAAAAATAACTTTTTAATATCATATTATCGTAAAATTATATACATACATACTGTATTTGTCAAAATACAAAAAGTAGTCTTGATCTTGCCTGTTGTCCACATGAACGTAGAAATCTCAGGAGCATGATTTTATTTTTAGGTGAACATGCCAACCAAAAGTCTTAATCCTAAAAATACGTGTATATTTTAAAACACCTTTTACCCCATATTTTTGTTTAGTATCACCATCTGAGTCAGTTGGGCTGCCCCAGGACGGCCGGCATCGGTCGATCATACAGCTACGAAGGGGACTAGTTATCTTTAAAAATGTATAACATTAAAAAAAAGAAAGACTTGCCGAAGCTTACATACCCTTACAGTTAGAAATTAAGTGTATTAAACGACTAGACACATCACAAATCTCTAGTTTTAAAACGTTGTTCCTATTGTTAGTTCGACCCTTTATTAAAAGGTGTACTTTACCGTTCTTAATTTTAATGGCAGCTATATTATACAGTAGTCCAATCTTTTTATAAAAACTTTTTAGCATTTGTTGTGGTAATGCATAAAGGCAAGAATGGTTAACGACATTGAAATTTTGAAAATTTTTGAGTAGCTAAATATATAACATAGCCTTCCGGTTAATTAATTTTGCAATTCAATTCAAATATCATTTTGTTTTGCTACTATTTATTATACTCTTTATAATACCCTCTTATATTTTCAGTCAGAAGTTTTCAACGCAGTGAAGGAGACACCTCAGACCACATAAAGTTTATATATTCTTGATCAGCATCAGGATCAGAATCGAAATACGTCTGAACGTCTGTCCGTCTTTCAGTCTTTATAAGTTGAAACAGGACAGATCGGGCGACTATATAGGATAGCTCTCATAGGAGAGATTGAAAAAAAAATCTCACTCCATTGTTTTTGACCATAACGACTTTATTTCTTCCAGATGGTGTTTTTTACCTACGACCGAATTTCGAATTAGGTTTTTATCAAAATCAGATAACTATATCATATAGCTGCCAAAGGAAATATAGAAAAATATATAAATAATAATGGCAAAAAATATAATGACGTAGTTTTTATATTCCACGAGCAGGAATTAAACCCTTGAACCAAGAAAAAAAAATTCATTAAAATCAGACAACTTTATCATATAGCTGCCATAGGAAAGATCGTAAAATCTACTCAGACAATCAAGATTTTTGGAATTTAGAGTTTTTTACGACTCTTGAATTTCGAATTAAATTGTATAAAAATCGGCCGTCTTATCATATATAGCTGTTATATAAACAACGTCGAAAATATGTAAAATTAATGTAAAATTCGTCGACATTTTCGATGTCTGCAAGGGTATATACGCTTCGGCTTACCGAAGCTAGCTTCCTTTCATGTTTTATATAGATTTTTCTTTCTTATGGCATCTATACAATATAGTCTTCGTATTTCCACGATATTCATTTCGTAACTCAAGGGTCGTTAAAAAATGTCATCTGCCAAAAATTGTGCATGTATAATAAAACACCTAAACATTTTATTTTTATCAATATATATACATAGTTTTTAAATACTCCTTTATTTAAAAAAAAAAATATTTTTTATTGTATATTATACAGCTGCCATTAAAAAATTAAACAAAAATGGGAATCTCATTTAAAATTCAATGTTTATCCCACGTTATAATTGACATCAAACAAACAATAAAAACATTCTCCAAAGATTCAAAATTATTTCGAACTTTGAACGTTTTTTCTTGATCTTACACAAACTTTGTTTTTGAGCTAACCTAACAGTAATAAAAATATAATTGATTTCATAATTTTTTCTTCTAGCAATTAGAGCTTTAAGAAAATTATGCTTGTTAACTTATTAAAAATTGTAAAATCTCAGATCCCTATAAAAAGAAATTAAAATCCGACGAACATAGGAGTATATTGTGAGATCTACTTTTAAAATCGATAGTTGACTTTAGAACAGCGATTGTAACAAAACATCGGCGGTGGCAGGTTCCCCTTTTATCGATACTATCGATGGTCTGTCTGCTGTTGCAACAACAACAACAGCAGCACAAAAAGAATAACAACAGCGGCCAAATCTTTATTGGGCACCTAGGTCAACTTGTTTACTTAAATTTTACCAAAATTATTCGCAACATGGACGAGTCGGAACTGCTATTTAACCTGTTCTACTTCCTGCTGTGCATGGTCATTATCTACCCACCGGAGGAGTTCCAACGCCTGGGCTTTACAATTGAGCAGTTGTTCGCTCGGTTTCTGGGCGAGGAGTACCTCGATTTTGTGGGCTACCACCTGCGTCGTACCTCGCTGAACCTTTTCGTGCACTCCTGCCTGCCGTTTTCCTACTTTCTCATCCATAGGCTTAAGTTCTCCGTCTTCGCCACCCAGGAGCCTCTTGAGGACTCGGACCTCGACCCGGACTTCCCAATGCCCCAAGAGGCGGTGGCATTTAAAACGCTTACGTGGAAAACCGCCCAGAGGTTCAGTGTGCTTGCGGTTTTAGCCGTGCCCGCCCTCATCTTCAACTGGCATCAGCAGAACTGGCGCCGACACCCAATTTGCAAAACGCTCTCTAAGTATTCGAACTCGCCGGGAAGCTATGGTGCCGTGGCCAGCGATATTGGCACCGAGTTCCGACGACCGGAAATCTACAAAAAGAAACTCAACTCAATTAGCACTGTGATTGCCACCCAGAACTGGATTATCAAGACTACCATGTACAATGTCCACTTCGCCCATCAGAGCAACACCTCGCTCAGCGTTGCTAAAGTGAGTTAACTACAATCTTCGATGTGTGGTGTTAGCTTAAATATCTACCCTGTAGGCGGAAACGTACAATATATCGCATCATGACCAGAACGACACTCTGCAGATGATTAGCATAATTGTGCGGCCGATGAGGCAGGGCGTGAGCGACTTTCACATACGAATAAATGCCTTGGAGTTTAGGAACCTCGAGGACCGCGTGCGACGTCCCATCGCCATTCCCTCCAACATCCAGTTTCACCGCAACGTGATCGACCGTTTTGTGGATGTGTTTAAGACGCAGGTCGCTCTTAATCCTGTTTTTCAGGCAGATGCCACTACGGATAAGTGCTTCGCTTGCATGCTAAACGAACCAAACACCAAGATCCACAAGCAGTGTGCCGACCTAGATCGCAATGGCGCTCCTCTTGCCGAGGGGGCGTGCTGCTCTAACTGCTACTGCCGGCCCATGTGGTGCGTAGAGTGCCTTGCGCGGTGGTTCGCTGCTCGCCAAACAGACGTGGATCGCGAGGTGTGGTTGGAGCAGAAGTGCACCTGCCCCATGTGCAGGGCCAAGTTTTGTGTGCTTGATGTCAGCTACATCAGACCACAAGTCGACCCAAGAGCCCCTACTCAGTACCGCGGATCGGAAGATGAGGCTGGTGAAGCCACGTGATTTACGACTGTTAAATTTAATTAAACGACTTTTAAATCGAACCTGGTTCTTTATTGGTCTGATTTATATATAATCATTATCACTACAATAAGACGTAAGATTCATAGCTACGAACTTAAAATATGCATACTAATTAGTGCAATTATCACGTTTTAATACTTTACCAATGTAAGCAAGCTAATGTACAGTATATACTATTATGACTTAAGTACAATTGATCTAAGCAAGAAAAGGGTCTTGTGCTAAATATGCCTCACTTAACATTAAATCAAGTTGAATCAAGAGCCGTCAAGTGAACTTGTCTTCCCAGCGCTTCGTAGTCAATCGCTGTGCGAATGTCCTATTTATGTATGTCTTTCCGCTTCCCTCTCTTTCTTGTCCTCTCAATTTGATAAAATAAAGCGTCATGCTAAGTTATATACATAATCATGATAAATGGGTATGTGTACATTATAAGGAGAATACATAGTAGTAGTAGTAGCCTATAAATTCGTTTCGTAAAAACTCTTATAGCTTTCCACTTGGACCCTATGGCTTCTTGCCTGAGTACCTGCGGTCGTCATCAATCCTGTCGTAGAAGGGCCGGCGGTTTTAGTCGAGTTGCAACTTGAGACCTACAACAGAAGATGTTGTACATTTTAAAAACGTGTATTAATCAGACACACGTGTAGTTTATATATAAAGTATTGCAAAGCTGATATTCATTAACACCAAATTCAAATTGGACTTGCATGACTATTTCATTCTATCAACGCATTTACATACGTAACTCAATAAGATCTGTAAATGGGCAATACAAGGAGTGCTTTAAAACTTATTTTCGAAGTACATAGCTAGAAGGCTTGAAAACCCTATTTTAGGCTATCCTCATTGCCAACTGACCACATCATTTATGTGTACTTTTGCTTCTCGGCGTCACCTGCTTTTGGCTTTAATGTGGCTCCTGGGTATAGTATGTATGTATGTATAGTATGAAGTTTCCAAGGAGGTGTGTTTTTTGTTTTTGGGTGAACAAGCTAAGCAAAGCTCGCAAGTATAAACATACACGTAAATATATACATACATACATATATACATATGTATGCACAAATATGGGTACATAGTATATTGATCTTCCAGACGACTAAAACGCTTTGTTATTGCGCTTGCTTTTGTTTACTTTCTGTACTTTCGGTTCGCAATTTATTTTTCATTTTGGCTTTTGATAAACTTGTTTCGCAAAAAGAACAAAACCAAAAGGAAGCTCTACGTTTTGAAATGCGTTTTATACATTTTTTTTATGGAGCCTTTGTCTTAAGCTATTTTAAAATATACCGCTTTTACTGATTTTTCGCCATTTTACGTCTAATCTGTTTTAACGTGAACAAGCTAAAAGTTCCTTTTACAATCTAATCTAATCATACATATATGAGGGGTTTCTTTACATATAAATCTGTGCAAAATTTTTCCTACAAGGCCAAAGTACAGGAACAACAGTTTTGATTGAAATTTCACCCTTGGGACTTTTAAACAACCTTTTGGCTATTCATCTGTTGCTAATGCTGACCAAGACTATATCGGTATGTGCATTGCAGGAAGGGGAAATAGTTAGTAGCATAAAAAAGAAAGTCCTGTTTACTGGCTTAATTATACGACAAGGGAACCATGTTCACATATTGTTTGTATTTTCGATGACAAATGTATGTAACTAGAATAAGTTTAATATTATCCCAACAAAACCCACTTCCGTTCTGCTAATAGGCGTTTCCCACCTTGCCACGATCAATACCCCAAACCAAACTATAAATTGTGCAGATTGCCATCGTAGATAGCTCATAGAAATCGCTCACAAATCACGAACCTAAATTGTAGTTCGCAATTACTATACTACTGCTTACTAGTATTTGTTAGATAGTCCGATGCGATAATGACAATTTGCAAAACCAGAGCTAGGCACCTTTTCAATGTCCTTCGGAGATCCTGCGTCAAAGAGCTTGCCGTCGACCGCATCCCGTTTCTTATTCTTCGACCGGAAGCGTCCAGATCGCGAGATGGAGAAGTTGCGCCACTGGTGGCCGTACTCGCACCGCGTTTCCTCCTCGCTAATCACACTGTCCAGGTAGTGGATCGTCGGCTCGTGGGCGGCTGACACTGCGTTGCTCATGACTGCCAGTGCTGATTGCTAATGGTGATTCGAGTGAGCTTGGATGCGACCTCTTCCGATACTGCCTGATAACGCCGGCCACTGCCGATGGCCGATAGCCGAACCCGCACTTCCACTGCTGCTATTAGCACAGACCTCTTTGTTTGGGCTGCGTTCGTGGCCGCTCGTAGTTCCCGTGGAGCGTGTTGTGTGTGACTGCGGCCAAGTTCCCGGCTCCGTTGCCACCAACCGAACCGAAATGACAGTCACCCGACGATTCCCGCCACAGCGCTTCGTCACAAAGAACAATCGCAGCCCCTGGAGGCGCAGCGGCGAAGAGCGAGGTCAGCGAAACTCTTTCCAGACCGTGTGATTTTGCTCCTGAAGGCCCGAACAGGTGAGCCAGGCCCACACAACCGCAACCGCTTGCCAAACACACACACACACCTGTATGTGTGCACACAAGTGCGAGCGTATGGCCATCAGTGCTGGCAGATACACCTGTTGAAGCTGTTGATACGTTCGCCAAGGTGAACCCTAATAAGTAAGACACATAATTGCCGAAGAGAAATTATCTTTCCTAGACTCGAATAAACTTTAAACAGTCTTTTTAAGTTAGATATATTAACAGTTACAACAAATAATAAAATATATGTTGAATACTGTGATTTGAGCTTATTCTTCTCAAACCTAAAGGCATTGACAGATGCCATATGTACGTTCAATAAATATTAAAAAGTTTTTCAATTTAAGGTAATTTATTTTTCCCATAAGTTCATGCCTAAATACATAGAAAGGAAAATCTGTAAACGGACGAGTGTTAGCCTGAAAGTACATAAGAATCATAGGGTAAAACGTTTTGAGAACTTTTAATTCTATCTACATAGAAAGTAAAAAAAGTTGTTAAATGTTTTACAAAATTAGTAACGTTTTTCACAAGCACTGTAATTAGTTGCTCAACTTATTTTAGACTATAGTAAATTTTTTGAAAAAATCGCAACTAGCTTTGGCTTAATCGCCCAAAAGCTAAAACGGCATCACAGACCGCCGGCAGATTTCGGTTGGTATATGACAAGTTGGTGGTGTGCGTTGGTGAACAAACTTTGTCAATCTTTTCAATACCCTGACCAAAATCGCAATGTAAAGAAAACATAAAGTAGTTTCCCTGTTTTTCATTACACTTGCCTTTGGTTTTTTTTTTAATCAACAAACTCCTTTAGTTTCAATAACGGCCACATATTTAAAATGCCAACGTGTTTTACGCACATTTTCTGGAAAAATGTGTTGATGTTAAGGGCATCGGAAAGTCAATGCTGAGCAATGTTGATAATCATCGTATTTTAGCGTATCTTACTCTATACCTGTACTCCCAATGATAAGCGCAAATAGACAAAACAAACACATAAGTTGCTAACAATTATAAATGATTAGATCGCTTTTTGGAGCATTCACTTCGCACAGTTCTATAACAGTATATTTTGTCTTCGCTGCATAAGAACCAAACTGAAAATGTTTCGATGGGATGATTCGATAGATCGTTCCAAGCCAAGAAAACGCAAGCTTTGAACATTTATTTAATCCGGAAACTTGTGCCGATGCAGTTTCTCCTATTTTCTATTTTCGTTATCTTGAATTGCAGAAATTCAGCAGCGCAAAAGGCTAACGAGTTGACACCGGGGAACAAACAGTCCATATAACTCTGCCCTTTAGTGAATTTTGTGGTTATTACTCACCCACAGCCGAGGGTTTTGCTTTTATTTACATAGGCAACTTTATAATTTACAAAAAGGTTAACGTATAAATTCAAGTGTATGGAAGCATATTCATATATAAATCCATTATGTACTATGTCGATATTAAACCTACGCAAGGACATGGCGGATTTTGTTGTTAACAAAATATTTGCCAAGGCTAGTTGGCGTTTTGTTTGAATATACATTTATTTTCCGGCCATTACACATAGTGTACTTTAACAATAAATTTAGCTTGGTAACCTGCAGACACTGTCAGAATTTCAGCCACCAATAGGCAAAAAAGTGAGCGTGTGGTGTCTCCTGACATGTACAAGAGATAAAACAATTAACTTAAACAAAAGATAACTCGTAGAAAATAGTTGGCCCTACAAACTGGATTTGTAACCAACTCCTTCTACACAACGCTTCCGCCACTATCTCCCCGTTGGCGGGTTATCACTGCATCCATACGTTGTGGCGGTGGCACTGGTCTCTGTTGCGGCTGCTGATCTTGTCGAGCTGCTGGTGCGGCGTTGTTGTTGTTGCGGTGCATGAAGTTGCGAATGTTTTCCTCCGTATAATCGACGATCCGGCGCTTCTTACGGCGTCCGTACTGTTTCTGCTTTAAGTAAATCTTTAGGATTCCCTTTACAGTTATAAAGGTCAGACCACCAAGCAAAGTTCGATGCAGCGTGTTATCCACAGAGTCGAAGAGAATCCTGCCCACTATTGATGATATGGTGGGCAGCAGGAGTGCCCCACAAAAAACTCGCGTGGCCGACACGGGATCGGAAAGAGCAGGTGTGGCCGGATTGCTGGTGCTCTGCTGTTCATCTTCCTGGTTACTGTTTTTAAACAAGGGAATAAAATACTATAAGTTTAAAGGGCATTGTGCACTTACAGGTTCGGATAAATCAGGCTCACAAAGGGAAACTTTCGGACCACCGTCCCGCGGTTTCGAATCAGGCGCAAAAGGGCATCCTCCCAGCGAATCAAGCGACCTAGCACCAGCCCCACCGGAATTGCCGGCAGTCCTATAAGGAGGACAAGCGGATCACCGGCCTCCATTATGGACATGCCGTGCTCGTGGCCCACAATCTGTCGTTGAATTAGCTTAACTTGGCAATTTGTTTATTCTTTAGAGCGCTCTACCTGTAGGAATGTCACCGCTCCATACGTAACGGCTGTCCAGTAAAGGGAGCCCACAAAAAAGCCAGCCGCCAAAAAGGGACTCAGGCGCTTGATGAGATTGTCCATCGCTTCCAGGGCACCCCCGAACTTGCCCATCTGCGGGAACACAATGATGTACTCCGTTTGGCACTGCGGACAGGATACGGAGCGCAGGGCGTTGCCCTTCTGGGTCTTTTCATCGATCCAGCGGTAGAGGCAGCTTTGGTGCACCCACTTGGTGGTGCCACGGCACTGGCAGGGCTTGACCCACGCCGCCAAGCGGTTGTCCTCGTCGGTGGCAAAGCAGATCCAGCAGCAGCGTTCCGACTCCGCCCCATCCCCACCGACCTGCACCGCTGTTGAGGTGGAGGCGTCTGTAGGCGCTTTGTCCACTTGCGCAGGTTGCACAGTCAGCGTGGTGTGATCCTCCCCAGCTGCAGTTGCAGCTGCGGGAGCCCCACTGTCTGCGGGGGGCGCTGCAGTTTCGTCGGCCATTTCGCTGAAATCGTCACACCATGTACTATTTATTTTAATCGGCTGCTCTTGACACCTTCTTACTTTGCTCTCGCTCTGGTTGCTGTGCGTTGCTTCCGCCTTTTTCGGCTAAGGCTTTTGCTTTTACTTCTGTACTGAACGCACCTTAATTTTATTTCTATTTGTGGTGGCGCAAGGAAAATAAAACGAAACTAAAAAAGTGATATATTCTGCAGTGCTCATTCGATGAATTTTTGGTGAGGCCAGAGTTCACTTGGTATTTATACTTGCGAATCCATACTTTTTTATTGATCCGGCAGCACTTCCAAAATTGGGCTTAAAAAAAATTTTTAGGAAGGGGGACTCCTGAAACTGATAAAAGGTTTTGAACTATAAAAAAATACCCGTTTCGATATACTTAAAAATAGACTATACGCTTACATATGGTCAAAACTGATTGAAATTAAAACTGGCCGATATTTTCTTCCAAAGTAAAATAATCGTGCTTTCCAAGACAGTAGAACAAAAAATCCGTGTTATGTTGCGCGCTATTTCATTTACAGTAGATTATCCGAACATCGATTATCCGAACATCGATTATCTGAACATCGATTATCCGAACATCGATTATCCGAACATCCGATTATCCGAACATCCGATTATCCGAACATCCGATTATCCGAACATCCGATTATCCGGACTCATTCAAAATCATTTGATCTATAACAAGTCATTTCCAACCAAAATTTTAAATTACATAGGTATTATGTAATTCATTATCTATCGTTATATCTCGTTTTTTATATATCGTATTATCTAAGTATAACCCATTACATAATAAAAGATTATTAAAACTTAGGGGAGGGTGGTCCCATACCGACCGGTCGTACCATACCGACCCCCCATGTTTCTCAGAGATGGCGATGCTAGCCGAATTGTCGGTAACTTCAGTGAAAAGCTGTTATAACACAGACATTTTGGAGATAGATAGCCACTTTGACTTATTTTGTTTCACTGCAATTTTTCCGTTTGTTTTGTTTCAACGCCTGTGACATTTATTTTTGAGCTTTACTGAACTTGAGCTTAAATTTTTTTTCTCCGCATAAAAATCGGAGAGTAAATTTTTCTGATCGTTGATAGTCCTAGCTTTCACTCACATAATTAGAATTACATCGCTCTTTGCGTCTTTAGTTAATGCCGAGCAGTTAATCAGAAAAGGTCGTGGTGGTCCGAAACCGACCGCTAGGTGATGGTCCGAAACCGACCCCCATTTATTGGCAGCTTAATATGTCATAGCGTATTTTTGAGGGAAAATATGAAAAAGTAAACAAGATTCAGTAAAGAAAAGTAACAGAAACAGCAAAAAGATCAGAAGAAAGCGAAGAGACAGTCATCAACGAGCGGCTTTCGAAAAACAACGCGAAAACAACGCGAAAACTTACTATGAGAAAGAGGACAACTCAGACTTCATCAATTGACTACAGTGCCCTTTATTTCATACATTAATTTTTATTTTCTGGAAAGAACCTTCAATATATTTCTTAATAAACGTCAAAATCATTAAATTCTATTTTATGTTATTAAATTTTTCTGTTAAGAAATAGGGGGTCGGTTTCGGACCACTACTTTTGAGTACGACCAAAAAGTAGAGTTTTATATTTGCCTGAATATCTAACGCTTCAAAGCACCTACGCACTAACTAATCATTTAGATGTATAGTAAACTGATCCCTCTACATAGTAAATTTTTGAACTGAACTGAAAAATTGATTTTTCTCACCTTTATCGCTTTTGCCTTTTAGGGGGTCGGTATGGGACCACCCTCCCCTAAATATTATTTGATAAGCTTTGAAATCGGTTATCCGGATTTTCGATTATACGGAATACCTCTGGTTTTAATTGATCCGGGTAATCGGCGGGATTCTACTGTATGTACATTTCAAACGACACAACTGGATAGAATGCTATAATTTTAAACCGTTTTTAAAGAAATTATTTTTGGTCGAACCCCCCGTCAAACTAAATTCAAAAATTTGTTGATCGGAGGCCCCCAAAATTTTTTTTTTTTGCAATCGTCCCTGGTGATGATGATCACTGGCCAGAGTTTTCTCTACGTTGTTAACTGAAATATTATATACTAACCTAGGAAATCAAATCTTTTAAACATCTTTTACGTTAGCATCTTTAGCATAATGATAATAAATTTGACTAAATCATGAAAGAAAATAAATAATTTATCATTTCACTTTTGTTAAAGTGATCACCATTATCAAATTTCACTTAGAGACTTAAAAAGGTTCTGCTTTTGAAACGCCTTTATCAAAGATTTGGATAATAGCACCTGATTCATAAATCAATCTTGTAAAATGTCATATAAAAATAGACAAAACACTGTGAAATCTACATTGCATTTATTGCGACTATGCTTATGTTTAATAATTTTGCACACAGTACATAAAATTATAACAAGAATAGCCCAGTGAATTAGTGGCAAAGCACTTCGTTGACTAAGAGCGACCTCCGCCATGCACCAAACCTGCAACTAACTCCAGTTGATGTTAGTCCAGCTCGTTATTAACGTTCTGCCGTCTCTGCGGCGTGCCTTGCTCTTCAACTTCATCTTCGTCGAAGCCCGCCATTAAACGATTGAATATGTCCCCAAACATGCCGCCCAATCCGGTAGGCCCAGCATGGGCAGCTTCCGGTTGCTCGTCAAAGTAAATCACTCCGATCTTAGCCACGTACTTTAGGAACGATGTGTCGCGCTTCAGGGAGGGGTCATAAAGCTTGCGCAGAGCCCGAAACCCAGCTACAAGCTTAGCATCGATGAGGCGGAACAGGAAATACAGAAAGTTGACCAGCGGCTCCTTGTAGGGGAACTCGTGCTTGAGCAGCTTGGCGTGGCAGCGCGTGTACTCAGTGAATGTGTCCTCTGCGGTCTTGCGATCCTTCAGCGACAGCTGCTGGAGCACTGCCTGCACCAGAAACAAGTCTACCTCGCCCTGAAAGCCTCGGCTTTGGCTGATCTCCATCAGTACTCGGCCGCAGAGACTGCCGTCTTGGCAAAGCAGATAGTGGTGGCGAGCCGACTCAATGTTACCTTCGGTCCAGAACACGTGTGCAATTAACTTGTGCAGCACCGGGTGGCCGAACTGCCCATGCAAAGCCGTGCTCCACTTAATCGTCCGTTGCTGAAAAGAAAAACTTGTGCATGAGTAGTGCGCCAAGGCGCTAGTGAAAACTCAAACTCACGATCAAGGTTTCTCGCTCCACAGTAGCGGCATTGAGACCGCGGATTAAGGCTCCTAGGCGTGGCACCCACAGGAAGTTGTCGGTGTCCTCTGCCTGCGGTCCTCGCTTTTCCAACGTGTCTACCAGCAGGAGGCACAGGTCCGCCGCACTACTATCCTGCTCCTTGGCAATCAGCTGCTGGGCTCCGTCGAAGAGCAAATCCAAGCAGTCCTGGTACCGCTTTTGCGCTGTGTATCTAATCAAAGGGATAAGCCAGGTTTACACACTTTGTTGCACACTTTTTGGGAGTATCGTACCGAAAGTACAGCGTCCTGTACATCATATGCGCTTCGTAGAACTCTCCGCCGGCCAATGACTGCGACAACTTGGCAAGAACACGGCTTACGCCTCGCTGTCCGGAGGACACCGCACTGCTGCTGGCTACTGCACCTGACTCAGCGGTGGCCATTTCCCCGATTTGCTATGTTTTTGTAAACGCTAAAAAACGACCTTTCTCTCGATTTTGAAGCCTTATTTTATAAGTTCTTTATATTTACATATACACACATCTCGATGACTGGGTCTATCGAAACAAGATAATAATGTGTTTACACTGCCGCCAAATATTATTAACACATCGCTTCCAGATGCTATTTTTTTTCTTGCAGAGGATTTTAATCAAAAGCTTCGATCCCGTTTAGTATAATTGTTGTAGGTATCTACAGTTACAGGTTAAATAAATTTCATAATTATCGGACGACTTTACTTTACTTTACCCAGGAATTCACAAGCATTCTTATACTGGGATTGTATGGGGTCACACAAATCACATAAAATCATACTGTATTCTAATAAAAAACCGGTAACAAGTACATCAAAAGCTTTTAAATCTTCAATGCGTATGTTATAACAAGTAAACAAGCTGTTGCTGTTGGGGCCCCGTGTGAACAGGCTTTGGGATTTTAAATGATCTTGGGAAAGAAAAAGACAAAGAAAAAGGAGTTCCGTTGCCGGTTATTTTCTAAACTATATTTTCAATGGTATTTCTTTTTTTAAAACAAAAACTATACATAATATTGAATATACCTCAAAATATCGATATTTTTATTAAACAAATAGGCTGTGGTCAGGTTTTTGTTGTCATTGTAATTTGATTTAACATTAGTTATTTTCCCCTTCCCTACTTAATTAAAATTATCATAATATCATATCAAAAACCATTATCTTATTTTTGACATTTAGCCAACAACAACATAACGATTTTTTTATACAAATAACATCGATATATTTCGACTATCATATATAATCAACAACCCTAAAAAGCAGCTGAGAACTGACACCAGTTTGTGTAGCTATTTCTAAACAACCCAAACAAATGGACAGGGATCCGAAAGAAAGCGGCTCTGGAGCCGGAAACGACGACCCGGTCTGCAAAAGCGTTAGTCTCACAGCCGCCAGCAGGTTCTCCCCCAATCGTTGGGTAAAGCTGAATGTGGGTGGCCAGATATACACAACCACCATTGATACATTGGTGGGCAGGGAACCCGACTCTATGCTGGCTCGCATGTTTTTACAAGACGGCAGCATGATGCCAAGCGAGCGCGACGAGCAGGGAGCATTTCTGATTGACCGAAGTCCTCGGTATTTCGAGCCAATCATAAACTATCTGCGCCACGGCCAGTTCGTTTGCGATTCAAACATCAGTGTTCTAGGCGTCCTCGAAGAAGCCCGATTTTTTGGCATCTTCTCGCTAGTCACGCACTTGGAGGAGCGTCTGGGCCAGCAGGAGGCGCCTCTGGACGACAGACCACTGACGCGCAACGACGTTATCAAGGCTATCATTCAGACCTCGGTAATTACGGAGCTGCGTTTCCAGGGCGTGAATCTTTCTGGGGCTGATTTGCGAAAGCTGGACTTCCGCAACATTAACTTCAAGGTAGGCGAGGGTGAAACCTACAAAAGGTATACTGCAGTGGATTTGGCACTGCCAGTTTTCGCTACCGTTAACTCAAAAGGACCTATAAGGTCAAAATATCAAATATGTTTATACTTCACTAATCTTTCCTTTTTTGTCAGTACGCGAACATGTCGCATTGCAATTTGTCTCATACCAACCTTAACTATTGCTGCCTGGAACGAGCTGATCTTCAATTCGCAAATTTAGAGTGTGCCCAGCTGGTTTCAGTACGAGGACTTTGCGCTAACATGGTAAGAAGCATGGTCGAAACAATTGAACATCTGTGTTACTATTTGAATACCATTTAAAATTATTTAATACTTTTTTATTTATTCTTTTGTACAATTTGAAAAGTTACATTATACAATTTTATTGTGATTTGAACCAAAGTATCAAAAGCTATCCGGAAACAATTTAAGGATACAGGATACATCTCTAACGTCTCTACATAAATATTAGATCAATATCTCCCAGCGGGAAAAAACCTGTGGAAAATATGCTTCTTTCCTCTGCTTTCTTCATACAAGAAATGTGTGGAAAACCTCCTCTACCCCTTCCTTTTCTGCCTTCTCTCCTTGCCAAATACACGGGGGTGACACACAAAAGGCAGGGGTAGAGGAGGTTTTCCAGTGGATTTACAGCTGCTCAAAGCAGGACAAAATCCACTGGATTTTTCCCTTACCGCTGAACAAAAACCTCCTTCTTTCGGCAAAAACCCACCCCCGAAATCGGTCCGAAATCGTCTAACCCCTTCCCAACGCCTGCCAAAAGAAGTAGGTTTTCATCTATCCCTACCCCTACGCCTGCCAAAAGCAGTAGGTTTTCCACTGGTTTTTTCAGGACAAAAAAACCTACTTCCCACTTTCCCGCTGGGTATCTCTGACCGATGCGATACATGTAGTCGTGTCCATTCAAGATCGTCTCAAAATATTAACAAAATAGGGCGGTCATTTTTACCAAAATCTTGTTGCTATTGGCAGTGAAAGCTTGAAACAGACCTTTAAACAAACTTTTAAAATAATTTAAGTTTTTCTTACATCGGACGTAGGGTGACCAGATAGCTGAAGTGGAAAACACGGACACTTTTCTCGCCACATAATTTCAGGTGGTATTTGGAAAGTACCTTAAAAGCTGAAGAAGTTGGGAAGTTGGGATGATATATGTACCTATATTTTATAAAAATCGGACGACTATAGAGCTGGCATAATAATTAATCGTCGAAAATATACAAACTTATAAGAAAAATCGACATAGCTTCGATGTGGTTTAGCCTTTTGTATTTTGTTCGACATTTTTTGATGACTGCAAGGGTATACACATAAGCTTAAATAAAACCAGCACAAATACATAAAATTGGATATCAGATCTATTGATCGGAAAACGAGAAAAGGAAAGCACTACATCAAATTATTATTATTCCATAATTTACCATTTATGTTATGGCTAAAATATTTTAATATTTTCGTCCATTTCCTAATAAGTTCCGCATACCTAATCTTTCAGGAAGGTGCAAATTTGCGAGGCTGTAATTTTGAGGATCCAACGGGGGTCCGCACCAATTTGGAGGGCGTCAATCTCAAAGGAGCGTGCCTGGAAAGCAGCAATATGGCAGGTGTGAACTTACGTGTGGCAAATTTGAAGAACGCAAATATGAAGAACTGTAATTTGCGGGCCGCAGGTATACAAACCAAAAACTATCTCCTTTATTTACAGAGTTTATTTACCAAAAATTTGATTTTTTTTTGCAGTTCTAGCCGGAGCAGATTTGGAGAAATGCAATCTTTCAGGGAGCGACTTGCAGGAAGCAAATTTGCGTGGGGCTAATTTAAAGGACGCAGAGTTAACTCTAATAATAAATGCACTGCACATGTCGCAAGCCATACGATGATTGAACCGTTTTGTTACATTGGGAGCACTATCTTATGCAAAAAAAATGTATCATCTTGGCTCCAAATAATTAAAAATAATTAGTATAAGGTGAACTGTTGTAAATACTTTAAATATCAGCAATAATTTTAAAAATAAACAGTATTAGGATTTAATTTATAATAAGGTCTTACTTATTTAAATACAGACCAATCGGTTGAGAAATTAAACTAAGTAATTGATTATTGAAGACCCCAAACGTCAATGTTCTGAAAATGATTGGAATACAAGTTCTTTGGGGTCCTGACTACAAGTTGCAAGCAAAAACTATAACAAGAATAACTATCATTAACAAAAAAAGTAACCAATATCAAATGAATTTATGGAGTTATCTTTTATTTTACGTATTAAAAGTGTGTATCGGTTTATTTATGAAGATACTAATAAGGTTTTCGAACTTTTATCATCCAAATTTTCATATGGTTAAATACTTTAGAACTAAATACCAAATATGAGCTTTATGGTAAAATTATCATTCTTTTTATACTAACTGAGCAATATAATATCACAGACGCATAATTAATAGTCCAAGGAATCGTACCGATAACGATAATTATAAAATGTGAAACAAAGTGCCCCACGGTTACCTGTCAACGGCCGAGCCTAGTCCCTTTCATTTGCGTTCGTTTTTTACCGAGACTGGTTGTGTTCAGAGTTTGTGAATTGTGTTAACTTTTTTGTTGGTTACGAATAAAGCACCATCTTCGAGCTCCCCATCGCTAAATTTCTTCGTGTAAGAAACATTTCCGTAGGAAAAACAGCTACCGAAGGCACCAACCGCGCTTTTCTTGGTCGGTGAAAAAAGTGGTCGAGGGGTGCAAAAACATCGCTTCCAGTATTTTCAAACGCACTGTCCCCGTCCCACCTCTAGTGTCAGAAACGTGGTTTGTTGGAAGCAAGACGAGAAGGTAGACGTTGCTCTGTGACTTGTGTGAATTCAGCTAAGGAAAATTGTTGAGCGGAGGAAAAGCAGCGACGGCTTGATACACAACTAAAGCGATACGATGGAAGATCAAGGCAACGCAGCTCCCGCCGCCGCAGCGGAGAATGGCGCAAACACCGCGCAGGAGGTGTCTTCGACAAGTAAGTTCCCCCGCCCCGCCCCGGCGCTTCCTCTGCTACGTTCCGTCGGCAAGAACGAAACGGAACCGAAAATTGCATATACCTGGCGCGAGTGTGAGAATGTTATCATAAATATTTTGCGCCGCGTTTCGCCAGTCTTTGCGTTCTGTGCATTTTTGCATTCGTGCATTCGCATTTGAAAAGGGATCAAGGGCACAACCGCAGCTGCTTCCCGCATTCCCTTTGCGGTTCGGCCATTTTACGAAGTGTAAAGCAGCAGAAAGTTGTCAAAATTCCGCCATATTTATTTCTAGGGGACTTTAGCTGTAAATAAGAGTTGCCAAAACGCCAAAAGCCCAAAAGATTTGCGGGACATGCCCGCTTTTTCTTGTCGGTCGGCGATCCGGTGTGTTGTTGACATTAATTACGTCATCTTTGCGCGCATTCTGCCCACAATTACTATTGCGCCCGCAAATAGTGCGATATGAATCATTTTCGGCTGCTCTTGGCCGATTTCGAGTGATTCTGGGCACTCCGCTCCTCCCTTACGCCGTTGCACACCAGCACACGGCACTGCTCACATGCATACATATTAATTGAGAAGTTCGCGTTTTGATGCGCTCATCGCCGAGAAATGTTTGCTCGTGCGTGTGTGTGCGTGCCGGAGCGTTGCCAACTTATTGGTCATGCGTCAATATCGGTATTTGAATTCTTCGCAGCGAGCTCTTTTTACAACCAAATAGGTTAGCATGGAAGGGGTGGAATAAATTGACACTTGCCATTGGGGAATATTACAGATTCCTTCTTTTTCAACAATCGCATAGCTTTGCTTTCTAATTCGTAGAGGTGGCAACTCTGCCAACTGTTTTCTATGCAGATTTTTGTTATTGATCACAGGCGGCCGGTGTTTGGTTTGGCTAATTTTACATCTGATTGCTGGGCGTGAAAACCGGTTTATCAGCAGCGGTATCACCTTTAGTCCAGTAAATAACTGGCGTGATAACACTCGTCTATTATGGACGATAAGGGCCATTGCTTGGTTTGCGCCATTCAGCACATTCGACAAGCACACTTCGAATATGCATGATCATTCATGCTTTTATAGTCCCTACCATTTTGTTGCCTAAGCAATATGCTAAACAATGTACAACAAAAGTTTGAAAAGCGAATATACGGAACCTCACCCATATCCCTTGGCTGCACTAATTGCAACACTATTTTTCCCACCTACAGCTCAGCCCATAGAGCCCACAAAACGCGCGCTTCGCGTTCAAACTTGGAAGAAGATCCAGGAGGGCAAGGTTGGCATTGGATTCAACAACATCTTCAACCGGATCCCAGGGTTCGTGGATGCCGATAAGGCTGCTGCATTGCTAATCAACGAGGACGAGTTCAAGAAAGCACGTAAGTTTCTGCATCAGCCTTATTCTATACTGTCACTTATCGCGCGCTCTCCTTCGCATTGCAGAGCACATCAAGGTAAACATCGACCGCGCCTTGCACGACTTCAAGGAACAGGCGTTGCTGGCCGACAAGTCTGTTTACTTGCCCAGTACTCGAGACTCCTCTGCGCTGTGCCTCAAGGTTGATGTGCCGGCCGATGCCACCGAGGAGCAGAAGAAAGATGCTCTGCGCGTCCAGGATATCCAGAAGTTCCGTACTGAAATCGGACTGGATAGCGGTTTGAAGCTGGATATCGTAGTAATTGGATCCGTCGTGGTGTCTCGCGATGGCTACCGCATTGGACGCGGAAATGGATTCGCCGATCTGGACATCGGACTCCTCGTAGAGCTGGGAGCCATCACACCGGAAACAGTTATTGCCACGATCGTGCATGATCTGCAGGTGGTGGACTCACTACCCTTGAATTTGTTCCAGAAGTATGACACTCCAGTTGACATCATTGTAACACCCTCTGAAGTGATCCGCGTGGCCAAGCGCTTGCCCCGACCCAGTGGAGTTTTTTGGGAGCTTCTTTCCGAGCGCCGCCTGAAAATTTTGCCTGTGCTGCAGCAGCTTAAGGAACGGGAGGAGAAGGCTGGAAAATCGATATCGTTGAAGGAGGAGGATACCGACGTAGAGCAGCATCAAAACAACCGACGCCGTCGTGGGCCCGTGCGTCGTCGCTTCCAACGAGGAAACCCAGGACGCACCACCTCACAGACTGACAACGAACAGCAAGGCGTAAGTTTAACTGACGCAGAGCCAAGAACGTTTAAGTAACGCCTTTGTTAACGCCCAAAATACAGCAGGAGACAACGCAGAAACGTACTCCGCGCCGCAAAGGTCGGTTCGTCACTCGCCGCAGACGCACAACCAAGGTTAGTTGCTGAAGTTCCAATTAAAGCAGTTTGGAATCATAATGTTCATTGCAGTCTGAAGGCGATCAGTCTGGAGTTGAAGGAGGTGCTAAGAGTGAGGATCGTAAGTTCGAAGAGGCTGGCACTGGAGAGCGTCGTCCGAAAAAGAACAAGAATCGCGGTCCTCGTGATTTTTGCATTAAGTTGACGAACTTGACCCGGGACATACGCGTCAAGGACTTAAAATCAGAACTCCGCAAACGTGAATGCAATCCGATGTCGATAACTTGGAAGGGTATGTCGGCAAAATCTGGTTTAAAAGTATTCAGCTAACTTTTTCCTTGCGGTAGGTCACTTTGGAAAGTGCTTCCTGCACTTCGGAAACCGCAACGGCACACCCAGTACCCAGGACGACGTGGACAAGGTATTGAAGTCTCTCAACGATCTCTCGCTAACCATTACCACCGGTGGCGAGACTGCCCCAGCTGCCGCTGCAGGAGCTGAGGGCGATGCCGCCGTAAAAACTGAGCCAGCTGAGTCTGCGGCGCCTGTGCAGACCAAGACCATTAATGTCAATGTCGAGCTGTTCAAGTTTGGCGCCAAGAAGAGTGCCAGCTCTACTGGTGCCAACGCCAGTGCAGGCGAAGACGGAAACGCCGCCGGCGGTGCGCAGAACGGAGGAGAGGCCGGCGCTGTGGCTGGCGGCGAAGGAGGTGGTGCACGCGTGGAGTCGGTCGACACTACCACAGTATAGTATGACTTCGCGCTTAGCGCAGCCACTGAACGGTCGCGGCGGACTCCCGCCAGCAGCGCAACGTTTGGAGTTCAACGAAAAAAAGTAACATTTTGTTTAGAAAAAATCGAAAAATATCAAACAAATAATGAATAGAAAGCGAACGAACTCCAGACAAAAACACAAAAGTACACTCAACATACACACTCACGAAAAACACACAGACAGTTACACTTGCATACACTGAAGATCATGTTTTGCAGCTTGTAGTTTCTTCTTCTCCTTCATTATTCTAACAAACATGAAGAACAAACGCAAATTTTTCTAACGAAAACACAAACCATTGACGCTTCTTCTAAACAATTGCATTTGTTTTTGCCTAAGAAAAACAAAACGAAAACTCGTTAAACATTATAAGGTTTTCAAGTTAATTGAAATGATTGCAGAAATACTCGTTCCACAAATGCAGAGTGGAACATCATTTCTTCCAAATAATCCTTTACTAACTTCTTGTGACTTGTTACAATTCTGAGTCAGGACACACTTTCATAAATTTTCATCTCAACTTTTACACCCACACTTACTAAGATCGCTTTTACCGTCTCTATTAAGCAGTTGAGCTGCTTATAGGGTAGGCAGTTGTGGGCGGCGTTAAAGTAATATTCAAAAATGTAATAATCGAAAAGCCCAAATAAATGCAAAACATCGTGAACACGATAAGTGAATTAACAAACTATTAACATGTTGCATTTTCGCTGAGAGAATTATATAAAGAAGATAATTGTAATTTGGTTAGTGTTTCCCTACTTTCACCGCAAACACCAATACCTTTAAATATATATTTTAGCAAAAGATCAACACATACGTGAAAACAACAATTATACAATTCAGAACATAATTTACTCTTTTTTTATACAAAGAAAAGGCATTACAAAAAATGTGAAACATGAATGAAATATAACTTGAAATAAAAAATTTAAAAAAAATTGAAAAATACAAAATTAGTCATTTTCCCGTTTATTTCATCATGGGAGCAACTACCAATATGTACAAAGGAGTTTAAACCTATCAAATTGAAATACCCTAATATATAAAAGTTATACTAAGTTTATATACAAGTACAAATAGTGAAATTCAGCGGAGTTCGAAAAATAGGTTCTGGCTTTGTTGATGGATGGCTAACAAGACATCGTTGGGTTAGTGGGCCTGGAATTTTGTGCGCTTTGAAACCTGTTGCTAAATCGTGTTGCTAGGGTGCTGCTCTGGGGTTTCGGAACCAGCGTTGCCAGTTTAGCTTGTTTATAAGCTAGATTTTTAATAAAATAAGCTAGAATAAGCTAAAATTTTCCAGTTTTAAATGCTATTTTGATGTTATGTTAAATCTGCGGTTATACACTTTGGAACTGGAAAATTTTAGCTTATTCTAGCTTATTTTGTTAAAAATCTAGCTTATAAACAAGCTAAACTGGCAACGCTGTTCGGAATCGAACCCGCCTCGGGTATTACTTCCGAATGGGGCTCGCTGCCAAATCCGACATGCCTGCTGATTCTCGGAACTGTGGCGAAGGAGTTCGATCTATGAACTCTATGCTGTCGGTTTTCGACTGGGCAGCAGAAGATGTCGCGCAGTCTGCTGCCTGCACGATGGAAGCGGCGGGTTTCTCTTGTATGGGCGCCAGGCTGTTAACAATGGAGTTGGCCATGGCCAGTTCCAGCTCGCGCTGCCAGTCGTTCTCCTTTTGCTCCATGGCCTTGCGCCTCAGCTCTTTGTATCGGTTGTATACGATGAATTCTTTGACCAGCGCTGTCTCGGGATCGCTGTCGCGCTGCGCGGACCGCTGTTTGGCCAGGCGCTTCTTCTTTTTGTGGAGGGGCCGCGTCTCCACAATCATTTCCTCTAGCTCCAGGCAGGGATCGCAGTTGAGATGGTCTTCAGGGGGCTTATAGATCGGCGTTGTTTTCTTTTCGAGCACCTTCTGGAAGTCTATGTTGCGCAGCAGAGGGGTCTGGTGCAGTTCCTGCTTTGTGCTAATCCTGGCGCCTGGGTACGGCGACAGTAACTGCAAGAATTAAAAGTATCAAGACTAAATTTACAATTCCTCCAAGGAGGCCTCGTCTACCCACCTTCTGCAGCAGATCGACGAAGTTGTTGCTCCAGTAGCGTGGATAATGCACGGGCGTGTTTAGTATATTTTTAATTTCAGCTAAGGGCGTATTTGAGTGCACCACGAAGGGTCGGATGTTTCCCCGCATCTCGTAGGCCACGACGCCGAGAGACCACCAGTCCACCGGATAGCTATAACCGGCTGAAAGTAAGTGTAGCAGTCAAGAAGCAGCAATGAGGACTGTCCTGTTTGCCAGGACCTCTAATTGAGTCTCTACCGGACCAACTCGTCTATCCACTTACCCACTTCGTCCAGGGCACAAAGAAACACCTCGGGCGCCATGTAAGGCTTCGTCCCTGACATGCTGCAGGCCAAGGCATCCTTCTGCAACCTCGTTGCAATATTAAAATCAGTCAAATGGGCATGTCCTAAAGAGAATTTGTTAGAAGATCCTTTAAGAACATCTTATCAAGATAGTGATTGTAAAATATTTCATTTTGCTTTTAAACGGAGTACCAGTGGTTTCCACTGTTGCGCCTTAAGGGGGGTGCATCCGAATGTGTCATGCAATCATCAAGTATAAGCATTTTTTATGAACTGATATAAAAAATCTCGATTAGTTCTCCACAAAACTTATTTCCAAACAGGAATTTATATTTTTTTTTGATTTAATATGTATTCTTGAGAAATCTCTATACATTATTTAGAGATTTTGGAATGTCGGTCTAAAAAACATGACACTTTACAGCTCAAATCGAAATATGTATGTGTATTTCATAATCCAATTTTTACTCATTTTGTTACTCAGTTTTGAGGAGCAAGAGACCAAAAATAATAACAAAACAAGAAAGGAAGCTAGCTTCGGCAAGCCGAAGCTTAAATACCCTTGCAGTCATCAAATATTTCAAACAGAATACACAAAGCCTAAACAACATCGAAGCAACGACAACTTTTCTATTAATTTTTCATATTTTTCAATATTGTTCATATGTCAGCTATATGATATAGTCGTCCGATTTTGCTGAAATTTTATTTGTTATTCAAGAGTCGTTAGAAAACTCTATATTCCAAAAATCATGATTTTCTGATGAGAAATAAGGATGTTATCATTTTATTTCCGTTAATTCTATATAGATTTTTCGATCTTTCCTATAGCAGCTATATGATATAGTTGTCCGATTTTTATGAAATTTTTTTTATGAACCAAGGCTAGTTAAAAAACTTGATACTCAAAAAATCATTGTCGTGTGATGAAAAACAATGACGTAATCAATTAATTTCCTTTAATTCTATATATATTTTTTGATCTCTCCCATGGCAGCTATATGATAGAGTTATCCGATTTCGATAAAATTTAACCCGAAACTCAATAGTAACTAGAAAACGCCATGTGGAAGAAATCAAGTCGATCTGATTAAAAACAACGGCGTTAAAATGTTGTATTTCAATCTCTTGTATGGGAGCTATCCTATATAGTCGCCCGATCCGGGCCGTTCCGACTTATATACTGCGTGCAATAACTACACACCTTTTGGGAAAGTTTCAGCAAGATAGCTTTAAAACTGAGAGACTAGTTTGGGCAGAAACGGACAGGAGGACAGACGGACAGACAGACAGACGGACAGACGGACAGACGGACAGACGTACAGACGTATTTCGATTCAGATGGTGATACTGATCAAGAATATATATACTTTAAGGGGTCTAAGGTGTCTCCTTCACTGCGTTGCAAACTTCTGGCCAAAATTATAATACCCTTTGCTCTGCAAGGGTATAACAATAAATGAAGTTATTTATATAATATAATTATCCGATTTTAATAAAATTGAATTCATAATTCAGGAGTGGTTAGAAAACTCTATATGCCAAAAATCATGATTTTTTGGTTAAAAACAACGACAGCAAGATAGCTTTAAAACTGAGAGACTAGTTTGCGTAGAAACAGACAGGAAGACAGACGGACAGACGTATTTCAATTCAGATCGTGATGCTGATCAAGAATATATATACTTTATATATATATATTACATGTCACTGCGATGCAAACTTCTGACTGAAGTTATAAAACTCTTTGCTCAGCAAGGGTATAGAAATGGCGATTTTGATACGCCAATCTGTTGGTGCAAACTTACCGGCATCGTCCAATAGAATGTTGTCGGGCTTGATGTCCCTGTGGACCACTCGTTGCGTTTGCAAGTACTCCAGTGCACTGCCCAGCTCGCACACTAATAAGGCCACACTCTGCTCGGAGAACTCCACCTGTGGGAGGGAATGGGGAGGTCGGATACGGAGAAGGCACAAGTAGCGGAGGAACTTACTCGGTTCTGTAAATGATATCTTAGGTCGCCGCCAGTCAACAGGTCGCAGACCATAAATAAATCCTCCTCGTCTGTGGAAGACGAGAAATAGAGGTACATAAGTGCTCTGCGGCCCAGGCTTCAAAAGAAATGCTCAGAGTTAATTTGCATTTTGATTGGCAATCAGCAACAGCTTCAGCATCAGGCAGTCAGGAAAGTCAGGAAAGTCAAGGAGGAGAGGAGCGATAGAGAAGCGCCAGAAGCCGCTAAGCTGCCAGAGCTTTGGCAAAGGTAGCACCACCGACCTGTTTTCATGTGCCTGTGCAGGTATACTCGTATGTACATAGATATATATGGGCATTTTCCTATTGAATCCTTCAAAAAGTAAAAGGGCTGGCTAACTGCCTTCAAAATGTTTCTGATAAGGTGCTTTTTATTTTAGCCACCAACTTACTCGAACAAGGAGATCGGTAAAACAAAATGAAACACACCAATTACCTTCGAAGAGGATAATTAGATTCATATTTAAAGGTTTTTAAAACAATGATTTCTTGGCCCGTTGGTTTTTATTCCGCTGAAATTTTCATATTCGATTGCATTGTGTTTCTGGATACTTACCCTGGAAGGAAAACCACAGGTTGACGAGGAACGGATGCTCCAATGAGGACAGCAATTCCACCTCCTTAATGACCCCGCCAAGAGCTCCGCGCAGCTCGCAGGCAGAGCGACTCACGTACTTCATTGCGTACAGGATGCCGCTGTCTCGCTTTTGAACAATGCAAACCTGCAAAAAGAATCTTGTACAGTCAAGGGTTTCCCCTAAACTTTCTAAACTCTGATCCTACCTTTCCAAAACTGCCCTTGCCTATGGCGCGAAGTATTTGGAAGTGGTCAAAATTGACTGTAATAAGAGAAGAAGCGACGTTAGTGGCGATGCGATTGGGTGATTCGGGCCCAGATCACGAAACACAGTCCGATTTCCGACTTAAGAATCGTTTATTTCACTCGGCTGCACACACACCCGACAAATTCCGACTCGAGTAGCCTTTTGGGAGCGCACAGTTCCGGAAAAGCGATTTTGGTAAAATTTCCCTTAATTGAAGTCCTTGTCGCGGGCTGAGAAAAAACGGAGGCAGGACGTCCAGGTGCAGCAGGCGCAGATTGGGAAACCTGTGCCCGACCAGCGCCTCGAAGTGATCCCTGTCCAGGTAGCTGATCCTTAGCTCAAGCAGCTGCTGGCAAGTGCTCGTCAAGAGGAACTCGAAATCGCCTCCATGCAGCGGCTCCTGAAGGAGGTTCAGCGAAATCCTTGTCAGCCCATGTCCCCAGATGCTGGCCAGAATGGGACGACAGCGCTCGTAGCTCTGCAGCATAGCAATCTGGTCGGGCAGATCTAAAAGCTCCAATATCCTCCACAGGCATAGGTCGTCTAGCAACTCCATTGCCGTGTGTTTGCCTCGGGTGTGTGTGCGACGGAAATTTTACCAGTAGAAGCTGTGCCCCCCAGGGCTACTTTGTGGAAAACTCATTTCCATTTCCATTTGGTCTAATACCACCTATTACGGAATCTAAGCGATTTTATCTTTATAATATTACATTAGACGAAGTAATTATTCTGAAGTATACCGAATTTTACCAAGTACCAATTTAAACAACCCTAAACAACATTTTTTCAATGGAACTAAACCAGATGTATTTATGCCAACTCATGCATCATAAAAAATGAATGAGTTTTAAATTAAAAAAAAGAGTTATTATAAAGCTTACGTACTTCATAAATTTTCTAAAACAATTTAAATGAAAAACAATAAAGGCAGCTAGCTTCGGCTTGTAAAAACTTGCAGTTAAAACTTAAGTAGCATAGATTGTCGGAACCGCCGGATCGGACCTTTATATCGATTTTCTATAAAATGTCTTTCTAATGGTCAAAAAACAAGTAAGGAAGCTAGCTTCGGCAACAACTATTTTTTATATCCTTGCAGAGCAGAAGGGTATTATTTATTTCTTGTTTTTTTCTCACCGTCGTCATCGGCGAGCAGATTCGCGTCGGATCTGCTCGATGTGTTGGCGCCCATGGTGTCATCAATGGGTCCAAGTCGTGGGCGTGAAGTCGTCGTCCAATTGTTATTGAGCCTTAGGGTCGCCGTGGATATTGGTTCGTCGTTACTTTCTGGTATAGATGGACGAAGTGTAGGTAATTGAATAAAAAAGGAAGAGAACAATAGTATAACTTTAGACAATCAATAATTAATACATAATTATATTATATAATTTTAGAAAAAGATACTTTGTTTCATAAATTCAGATAAATCTGGCAAACCTTTTCGCCGGGGAACCGATAATAAAAGAAACTGCAACAAACTATATCTTCTACAGGGATTATTTTGTTACTCCTACTAGCCTTAGCTCTGATCATGCTTTTTGGCATCACGTCACCCTGAGCAATTGGGATTCTGTCTAACTAACGACTTACGAGTTTATATACATAGATGTCACCGATCACATTTATTTTGTAAGCATCCGATCTGCACCAAAGAAAACACACCCGTCCCGGCCCTCAACTGATCGCAGACGCTGAAGCATGGGCGACAAAGATTACATAGACATTCGAGCCAAGGGCTTAGGCCGCGATGCTACAGTCTCCTTGCGCCAGAACGAACTCATCCGAAACCTCCGCGCCTTGGTGGCCGTGCGCTTTGAAGAGGCCATTCCTCGGATCGTCCTGGTCTTCGCTGGCCAGGTGCTGAGCGATGTGGGCACCATCGACAGCAAGGGTATCGTCTCCGGGGTCACGGTGCATGTGGTTCTTCGTACGGGCGAGCCTGGTCGTCCCTTTCCGACACCGAGCTCGGTTCCCAACACCACTCCACTGGCGGGCGACCGTCCGATGAGGATGCTCAACTCGGCCAGCATTGCCTACCTGCTGGACGAGCCTAACGTACTGCGCAGCCTGTTGCAGGCAGATCCGCGGATCCGGAACCTCCTTGAGGAAAATGCCGCTATGCGCCACTACCTCAACAGCGACCAGAACCTACGAGAGATGCTCTCGATGGCCTTCAGTCCCGCAAAGCAGGAGCTGGGTCGCCGACGCGACCTCTACCTATCGCGCATGGAGTTCGTGCCCGGCGGATACAAGCTGCTGGGTCGCCTTAACTACTGCATGCTCCAGGCCTACGAGGATAACGTGGCCATGTCCTTTCAGCAAGTCTCACGCGGCGGTTCGAGGTGCTCGAATCCGCAACAGGGTGTTGAAAACCGGGAGCCTCTTCCGAACCCCTGGAGTCGTCCGCACATCGCTTGCACTCCCGACTGCTCGAACTACTCCACTGTCGACCTCGAGAGGATGGGCGTTTTGGCTAGACAAGTCCTCGCAGTTAGGATCCCCGTGACCCGGAGCAGTTCCCACGGCTGCCAGCAAAGCCGCCAAAAGCAGCCGACCTCTACTGCCACTCAGATTAGGCGTGGAAGCCTCCGCTCGCGCAAGGAGGCTCGTCCCGAACAGTGGTGCCAGGACCAATTGGAGCAGCTGGTCCAGAGGGGCTACAGGAACCAAGCTCGCAACAAACGCGCGCTCCTGATCTCCCTGGGCAACGTGGATAGCGCTGTCAGGCTACTAGACCACTGGAACCGGTCTGTCGAGGAGGAGTAGGCTCCATTTCTACTATTTTTGTTGGGTTTCATTATTGCCCAAATGTCCGTGACTTTGCATCCCGATTAGGGACTTCACAAAATGCAACTAAATACAGAAAGATCCGACTATTCGGACCTGAGAGGACAGACTTTCCTGATCATGGTGGTGGGTTCTTATACCCTTGCCAGAATCGCAAGGACTTTGATTTTCGGCTACCTTCTAGGTGTTAAAGTTTCCAAAACATTCGTACATTTCTGGGTTGAATAACGATGCTTTATGGAGTCGCATGTCCTACCTTCTACCCGTTACAAACTTTTCAAAAAAATATTATAGTATCCTTTTAACAAGCAGCGGGACAAAAAGTGTCCTGGCTGGTGTTTTCATAGTTTAAGCACAGTTTATTTTATTTGTTCTTTGCCGAAGAAGGATTTCTGTGATTTGATTGATTTTGCTGTCACATGTTTTGACAATGTCTTAATATCTTGGTTGTCGATACTTGACAGATATTTGATTTGTATAAGCCTATGCTTCGGCTTGCCGAAGCTAGCCTCCTTTCTTGTTGTGAAATAATATATATTTTTTCTTCCGCCGATTACAAAAATCTTTCCATAGTCAACCTTATAGCAAGTATCTAGCTATTGCACATTATAGGCGAATGATTTATTTTATCTTCTAGTTTCAGATTTTTTATCTCATTATTTACGCGCTTTTAAGGATATTTACGCTTTTCCTATTTTGGTAGGAAGGGCTGCACAGTAACCCCACAGGCTTCATAACGGCATTTTGCCTCGTAAACGTCCAAATTTTATAGCAATTTCTGTTAACGGTTTGAGAGTTCAAAGAACAAATACATAAAGTACGGTGCTGTTTTCTTGTTATCGTCCTTTTTATGATAAGAATTTTGATGGGCCATCATTCCATTATCGGTTTGTAGTATTACTCTCATAAGTACGGATGCATTTGTTTTTTCTGTTTATTAACTTTTTTTCGGCAAGGCATAATAAATTTCGGCTATATTAATATCACAATTTATCAGTCATAAAGAACTTATTTTCTGTAAAGTTCTACACAAAGTCATCACTCTTTTTAATTTGGGCTGGGTGATTTTAACTTTACGAAATGATTGCAATACAGTAACGGACACACTTCCGACCTGATAAGAAAAATTGTCGATGATGTTGGAAAACTGCATAATGAGAAGTGTATTGTTTCTAAAAATATCCAATGCTGTGTACCAGGTGGGATGTAAACACTATAAAGCTGACATTTCAGTATTTGAAATTTTACTAAGGACAGCAGAAATTTGCATTGCGGGAGGTCTTGTTGTCTTTTTGGGATATCAATTTATTGGGATTTAATCATGTTGCTTATTTTAAGGTTGTTCATGAATGAATTCAAAACAGACTGAACGAAAAAAACCTTTAACCGATTGGATTCACTTTTCAACTGAATTAATTGCCAGCCAAACGGTTTTGGCAGTTTGGCTGTGCGAAGTCCTGATTCTCCGCCCAATCATCGTCAAAACGGACAGATGACATCATTTTATTTTGTGGCGCAGGGGAAAAATCTATAATTTGGAGCGACCCGATGGAGCCGGGACTCATGTTTATGGGCGCACAGTTGAGTTAACGCGGGCTTATTTAATTTATGTATATCCAGGACTTGTAAGCAAACTCTTGTAACGTCTCAATGTGCTCAGCTGCTTTGCATAATCCAAATCAAAATGTGAGTTGGTGTCGTATTAGCATAGATAAGTCATTGGTGAAATAGCGTGTAAGTGCTGCGGCGGGAGCAGGACGAAGGAGACCCTGAACCCACCCCAAAACACTTGAGGAATCAAGTTGACAGCTAAATTGAATGTGACCAAACTGAAATAGGGTTCATTGACATCTTTTGTCCGTTTTTTCATTGGCTTTTTCGTTGTGGCAGCAAAAGCAATGGTGGACACACACTCCAGCTTTGCTGGCTGGCTGTCGGGGCCCAAAATAACTGCAGCGGCGACAGGGTATTATCGTAACACTCTTGGGGAGACCTGGGGTGCTTAAGCACAAGAGGTTACCACTTCGCTTCCTTTGAATTTATCGATTGGCGTCACTCGCAGCCGAGATGTTGTTTCTACCTATGCGTGCACGCTCGCTGGCTCATTTAAATTGGACTCGCAGAATGGTCCAAGAGCTGGCTCATAACACGCCAAGACGTTTCTGACACAACCTCCTCCTCCCGCCCCATACGTTTTCGGTGTACACTTTGCGCGTGTATTTAGGTTGCCCTGTACCTGTGTCGCTGGAGTGGGATGCCAAATTGTTGCTATTGCCTCTTTGATCCCTCGATGGATGTACACATACATATGTATGTATGCGACTGGCGATGGCGAGAACCCAGCGGGAAAGTGGGAAGGAGGTTTTTAGAGTACTTGAAAACCTGCTTCTTTTAGCAGGCGTAGGGGTAGGAGTAGAAAATTTCGGACCGCTAAATGGGGTGGGTTTCTGAATATGACCTTAAGTTACAACGAAGTTGTGACTAATTATTGTCTTTCTTCATAATATGCACGGTCACATCAGTATAAAATGTCGTGCAAAATGTGTCAAAAGTGAAAAAAAGTTAAGTTTATTCTAAAAAACAAGATAAAGGTAAGTTATAACATAAATATTTTTGTTTGTATATCCTTATTTCAGCGTTACGGATATGGTGAACATAAGCATTTTTACGAAAACTAAATATTAGCCGCCAGAGGCGGTTGTCAAGTAAGTAAGTAAGTTTTTTATTTAAATTTATTTTCAATTTCACAAGAACAAACAAATGTTTCTTTTCATAAAATTTGTAATAGATTCGACATCAAAGATTCTGGCCCATACATATGTCAATATTAATGGCAAATCTGAACGTGCGCAAGCGGACATTTCGATTTCGTCATTTGAAGAACTCGGCCACTTGGACTCCGATGCCGAAGCCAATCCAGAAGCATTTGTAAGTACTCACTACATTTTTAAAAAATTTCAATAGCCATGCTTGTTACTATGTAATTACATTTTTTTTAAATTCATATAATAATTTCTCCAACGTACTGTATGGTAAGTATACTTGTTTTTCAAAATTTATCTATTTTTCCCAGTACTTTTTATATATTTTTTGATTTTTATTAATATGTTATATATTAATATATTATGGTTTTTATTTTCAGAGTCACTCAGAAACGACAATTACAGTCTTCGCCAATATCAAGATGATCTGCGTTCATCGTTCACTGAGGCAAAAAATATAATATACAAAAATACTTATCACAAAGGTCCTTGGACTGTATATAGATTAATAAATGCATATACCAAATTAAAAAGTATTGTTTTTTACATGTGGAAATTCTGTAAAGCGGGAAGGCCAAAACCCAGTGGATTTTGGCCTGCATTCAGCAGCCGTAGGTCCAGTGGATTTTGCCCTGCAATCAGCAGCCGTAGGTCCAGTGGATTTTGCCCTGCAATCAGCAGGCGTAGGTCCACTGGATTTTGCCCTGCTTTCAGCAGCCAGAGCATCCACAGGTTTTTGGCCTGCAAACCTCCTTTACGCCTTCCTTTTGTGTGTCACCCCCGTGTATTTTGAAAGGAGAGACGGCAAAAATGTAAGGGGTGAAGGAGGTTTTTGCCCTTCCGCTTGTATGAAGAAACCACTGAAAAATAGCATATTTTCCACATCTTTTTTCCCGCTGGGAAGTCACGCGATTGTCACAATAACACTCACACACATAAATGCAATGGCTACAGTTACCGTTAGCTGTGCCGTTACCACTGCCGTCGGCAATTATTTACGTTTTCGGTGCTTCGCGTGCGTTAACCCGTTTCAGCCGTCGAACCTCCGTTTCCTGCCGCTGCGGGAGAGCGAATGTAACTGTTTTGTTTACTCCCATGCGCTCAGCTCTGCTGCTCTGCTGCAAACAGCACTCTGCGGGAGAGATTTGCGCAGGCGCGGGGCCTGCAGAGCAGCATAGGACGGACCAAATCGCTGCCAAGCCTTATGAATGAATGCCAATTAGCCAAGCTGGCTAGCTACTCTTTATTACTTTCGCTGCGATTATGATTGCTATGGCCCTTTAACGTAGCCTACTTTTCAGGGCGCCGAGGAGGCGCATCAACTTAAGCGTAAATTGATAGCGCACATGTGTATTTCGCCAGGTACCGGATCCATCCATCACGCTGATGGATGAGCAGACATCCGGTTGGGGCTTCGGTTCAGCCTGGCAGTTTTGCGACTTCCCTCCTCTTTAAAGCCTCAAATGTTGAGCCATTCGTTTAAAAGGCTCAACACAAGGATGGGGTTGTGCCTTTTGCAAAGGTTAATCTTAGACGCCTGCGGCGCTCGCTAGCCGTAACGGAAAATAAAATGGTGCAAAAATACTTTATCGTACTTTTTGTAAATATAAGGAATTATATAATTCAAAGAAGCACTCCTAAAAAATCAATCCTAACGCCCGGTATTTATAATACCATAACAGGTTGTTAGAATCTATTTAAAATATGTCAGGGCAGACAATTAGAATGGTATCCCACAATGGGAAAAACACAGGCAATAAACAGCGGACACTGCTAGCCAAAATCAAGCTAACCAGTTTTATGACCCTGTTGTTATTACGCTGTCACCCACAACCCGCATTTTGTTCTTGGCTTTGGCGCTCGACACGAGGTGCCAAAGGTTATCATAACATATGCAATAATAATCCACTGCCATTTGCCCCAACAGCAAAGACCACAAAATACGTCATAAACTTTTATAATAAAGCCGAAATGTGGCCGCAGAAATGGCCGGCGGCCCTCGTGTTTTTGCTGCCTTCAAACGTTTATTGTTTTTCCCAGCCTTATTTCCATCCCATCAATATCTATGTTTGTATATATGTACATATGCACATCCATGAAGGCTTTTGTCGGCCCGCGTCGGACTGATATCCATTTTAACTCATTTTGCCATTAGGAAAAGGTAGTGGTGTTTGTTTGCCGGGTGTCGGGTGCAGATTGCTTTCATAGTTTCTAGGTCAACTGTCTCCGAAGTTAGAAGAAAAATACTATTTAAATAGGAGAAAAAAAGAGGAAAATGCTTGTGATATGTTAAAGTGTATGCCTTTTAATGATTGCGTTTGAATATTGATTAAGGGGTCACTTCTAAGCCCTGAAAAAAAACTCCCAAAAATACCTTCACACAAAATGCTGACACACAAAAACTGGTATACATATATAGATTTGGTGCACCTTAATCTAAAACCAAGCTGTTATATGAGAGGCTGAAATTATAAAGAAACAAGAATGGAATCTTATATCGAATTTCATAATACATTTTTTATGTTTCACCACCATTATGATATTGATACACAAATATTTTGGAGATTTCTCTTAAACTAGAACTTATAATTTTAAAGTGAATCGGATTTTCAAGTAAGAGTTAATGATATGCAATGCTCTAAATCAAGATTATTTGAAATTGTAAGTGGAAGGGGAGCCAAATACTGTACGCTAGTGTTCCTGCAATTCCATAATTGCTCAATGATAAATTTAACCTGCCAGAATAAAGTGGTGCCGAGCGGACAGGGATTTCCTCGCATGACCAAACTTCAAAAGGCCGGGCTCGCTAGATCCTACTTTTAACCACTGAGTAAATCCGTTTAAAATGCTAATTTCCTTTTTGGTGGGAGGATTCCCAAAAACAATATCCTGTTTTGGGCTAAGCAAATGACAAGATGCACCGCAGACCAACAACATTTCATTTGACGACGGGAAATGAGTTTTTCATTTCGTTTTCTTCCGTTTTTTTTTACAACAATTGTCGCGTGTCATTAGCCCTAAGGACAAAACCAACACTTGGAAGGAACACTTTTTGTTCCACGAGTTTGCAAGAGCGGCTGTTCATTAGGTCAACTGAACTTTACATAAAAAATAACTTAATAAGCCAATATGCATGAAATCATAAAAATCCACAAGTTAATAAATATGTATATAGAATTAAATATTCCAATCCATGGTCATCAGACGATGCGACTAAGCCGTGAGTGCCTGTTTGCTCTATGAAACTTTAGGAGCTTAAATATTGGGATCGAAACTTTATTCAAAAGGTATAACTCCTTCTTTTAAGCTTACCAATTTCGAAGGTCTGCGGCAGCTATAATTGTATTAGTACAGTATTAGGTTTACAGCAACGGAAAAAGTTTTCAAAAATTTGGTACTCCCATTGAAACTAAGCATCAGATCTGATACCAAATGTCTGATTGTCTGATTTCTTATTTTCCATTCAACGGGTAAGTAAAAGAAACATAAGCAAAAAAACTGTTTAAATTCTAAATAATATAATATTTTGGTTGCACTCAGAATATACAATGACTGTTCTTATTTCCCGTCATTAAAGCTGGAAAAAACCAATGAAAAACGCGCTCATTTGGCTTTGTTCAATAATGTATACATTAAATATACATACATATAGTGCTAGTGCTTCCGTCTGCCACATCCATTTCAACAAATATACCAAGTCACCCCGATTACTCTACAGGAAACGGGTAAAATAAAGTTATATATTTTAAGAGTTTGTGATTCAGTCAACGAATAGCAGATTGCAATTTACTTATTGCGAAGAAATTTAGTTTGTAATTTAAGAGTCATTAAAAAACGCTATATTCCAAAACTCTTGCTTTTATGATAAAAACCAGAAAGGAAGCTAGCTTTCATCAAATATGCCAAACAAAATACCTAACGGCTAAACAAGACCCAAGTTATGTCGATTTTCCATTAAGTTCCTTTATGTTCGACTATTCATATGACAGCTATATGATATTGTCGTCCGATTTTTATGAAATTTAATTGAAAATTCAAAAGTCATTAGAAAACTATATATTCCAAAAAGTATGCCTGTCTGATAAAAGCAACGATGCAGAGGATATTATAATTGCAGTCAGAAGTTTGACACATCAGACGGCGTAAAGTTATACACTGACGAGCAAAACTGTAACACGATTTCATTGTTTCAACTTCAAAGGTCTGTAACTTTTTTTCTAATGCACGGATTTTGAAGATCTTAGTAGTTTTGTAACCGCTAGCGGTTTGTCACTCATTCCTTGGTGACTGGATCGTGGGATCTCTAGTCCAATACTAAGAGCGCCCATCTAACTCGAAGCGATTAACTTTTGTTTCATCCGACCATATAACCTTGAAAACAAAAGTATTTTGGAATTGTTTGCTTTTTAAGGCACTGGTAGCAATGACTTACAGTATCCCAATTCGCTATCAAGCACGGTGGCGGTTCCATCATGGTTTGGGGGTGCATTAATTTAAATGGAGTTGGTTCCTTGTTATTAATCGATGGAATAATCCGAAAAGAGCAATATCTATCCATTTTACAAGAAAATCTTCCAAAGGAATTTTGGAAAGTTGGTTCTTTCTGCCGAAAACTGCGTTTTTCAGCAAGACAACGACCCCAGGCACACGTCCATATTGGTAAAAAATTGGATTTCAAAACAGAAATTTCATTCTCTGAAGTGGCGACTACAATCTCCCGACATGAATCCAACAGAAAACTTGTGGAGTCATGTGAAATCGCAGCTGGAGAAATATGCAGTTCCTCCGAGTGGAATGAAGGAGTTGTGAGAGCGGCAACAGGGCGTATGGAATGATATTCCCCCGGAAATGGTACGACGGTATACCCAAAATATGCCCAGGCGCATAGAAGAGCTAAAAAAGTCCAAGGGGATGTGAACTCACTATTAAAAAATCATTAATAAAAAGATTTCTTAAAAAAATAACCAGAGTGCAAAACTGTAACTGTTGAATGATACCGTAATTTTCTTAACTCATTCGATATTTATTGAAAAGGGCGAATTTTTGTGAAAATCTACTTTTTAAACTTTTTCCCTCGTCTTGAAAACTAAAATTTATCCGCGGCAAATTGTTGAACTGTATCCAACGCAGGTGGCTCAATTTTATTATTAGGATATTTTTATTAGGATCGGGCGGACGACTATATCATATTTTATTCTTAATTCCACAGACAAATGTAACTCATAAAAATCATTCGTGTAAATGAAAAAATAACGAGGTAATAGTTTTTATTCCGATCATTTTTATAAAAAGTATATGGTATATACAAAATTTTGGAAACATTTTTTTAAACTTTTAGAAAATTCTCAGTTGAAAAATTCTGGTTGAGAATGCAGCTCCACATAAAGACTCTAAGATCATTTTTAAATTGCCAGGGTAATGTCCATATACCCTATTTTTAGTGACTAAGAAAAATTTAACATGAGTGAAGTTTTTCGAGTATGTCTTTCTTGCTTTGTTGTAAAAATTTATTTATTTGCAAGAATACCAGTATTATCAATGCGTATCCCCACGTTAACTCTTGTTAATTAATTCGTTTATGCACAGAATATTTGGGCCATTAATAGATCTGGTCCTCGTGTGCCAAGAATATCTGATTGTTAAATTTCTGTTGAGTTGACCGAAATAAAACCCTTCTCTTCAAGAGAATTACTTTCATTACTTAAGGGGTTACATGGGTTTCACGGTTTCAAAAAAATCGATTTTTTTTTTGTCTTATTAAATTCTATAACATTTCTAGAATACTGTCCTAAATTTTCAAGTTGATCCGAGTAATAGTCTCGGAGATACAGCCTTGAGAAGGTGGACGCTTGAGACCACTTTTATTGTCTCTTAAAACTTTAAACGCGTTTTTCTCAAAACTATGTTTTCAAAGTCGGTTGTCAAAATTTCTCGCAAACTACTCAACCGATCTTAATGAAATTTTACACAAGTATTCGAGATATCATTTACAAGGTATTGAACGAAGGATTTTTTTTTTTTTTCAACTACAACTTTTTAAAAAAAAAAAATGTAGAGAAATTTTTATCGAAATTTGCATTTTTTTGTAAAAACGTCTGCCAAAAATCCAATTTTCATTTTTTTTTTTTTTCCTTCGTCCAATACCTAGTTTATTGTCTATACTGAAACACGTTTTTTTTATTTTCACTTTGGATGATCCTGAAAGAAGTTCTGCTGACAACGCGGAGGCACCTTTTTTCCGAGGGACTGCCGGAAATGGCGTCGTAATGGCCGACATTTTGATATTTTTTTTTTGAAAATTTCACAAAATCTTTATTAAATATGTATCTTTTAAATAATAAAAAGTTTCATTGAAATATTTCATTTTTTATATGCAAAAAAAATGTTTGAAAAAAGGCCGTTTTTTACCCGAGGAAACCCATGTAACCCCTTAACCCAATGATTGATTAAATATACAAGATCAGAGTTATTTTATTTCTCTGAAACTAGCAAGGATTTATTATCAAGTAAAAAAGATACTAAAAAACAATTTGTTACTGCGTCCAAACACACTTTCCTTATGGCTCTTATTTTACAAATATTTTTGCAGTGTTCTTCGGCAGTTAATTTTTATAAACATAAGAAGATTGTTTGACCTCAGTTGGTTTTAACTAAATAATCGAGGAAATAGGTAACAGCAGACAACGATTTTAAAGTCATTGCATGTTTTTTTAATTAAAAAAGCAAAACAAGCCTATCTGATAGTTTTTAGGCTATATGTTGAAGATTTCATAATAGCTTTAGATAAAGCATTTGTGGTTGCTATTGTTGCTTTTCAAAAATTACCGAGTAAATTAAAATTACGTACAAAATATGCTCTTTACAAACTAATATCAAAGTTTAGTTATCAACAGTTTAATTCGTGGCCGACGCATGCTGCATGCGCGTTCCTTGCTCTCAAAATACATAATTAATTTATATGTATGATTTTTTATGTATTTGATTTTTTATTATTGTAGTGGTGGCTGTTTTTTTTTTTTCAGTTCCATTGGTTTGGTGGTTAGACAGATTGTTACAAAGCTTTCATGATTGGATTTATCTATTTATATGGATCTTCTGCTAACTTACGTGCAAAAATGACTTTGTATGCATTATGCGATTATCACAATTCCATTTTCTTTTCAATTTGTTGTTTTGTATTTAGCTTTCATTCTCGGTTATTAGAATTATTCTAGTGTATATTGCAATAGTTCTATTGCTTGCAATGCATAGCTCTGTCAACTATTTTACGATAAATTATCAATCATAATCAGGCTTTTCAGTTATACAGCTAGAAACTTCGGGGATTGGTCTAAAATTATGCAAAGGTTGTAAGAGTTGTAAGAGGATACTTGTAACAAACTTCAAATTTTCAGAAAAATTAAATTAAAGAAGTTCGACAGGTTTCTGCCAAAATGTCACATTTGACTGTGGTCCTGTGGCAAAGAAACTGGAGTTGATTGTGCCTCCTGAGCAGGTGCAGCTCCTGATGGCTTGCCAACATTTAACTTTGCCTTTACTTTAAGCAACAAAGCTTCAAAGGAATCCTCCTCCTGTACTTTCGGTGTTGGTGTCTCCTTGGGAAACACATATGAGTGATAATTGTTAATACCAGCATTGTCTGAAATCGGGAATTTGGAAGTTAAAAACATGGCGTTATGGTTATGAGAAATTACCTACCCAAGTCAGCGTACGAGGCGCGACAGAAAGCGCGTCTCCCACCGAAGCTGATGTCATACATGTTAATTTGCGAGTCCCTAGGACTCGTGTCGATGGCCGTGAAAGCGTCCTGCGCCCTTTCGTACGTAACAAATCCGTACTTCATTCTGTAATAAAAATTATTATGAATTGAAGTTGTTAACCTTTTTTGCAGGCGTTTGCTTCTTACCCATTTTCTTTGTAATGTATTGTTATCTGCTTTATGTTTCCATAGGGTAAAAATTTACGCCGCAGCAGTTCCTTGGTAGTCTCCTGCTCAATGCGACCGACGTAAACAATTCGCCGCTCCTCTACGGCCGGTTGCGATACGTTGCGATCCATAAATCCGCGTCGATTGTTGTTATTGGAACAGGTATTGTTGCCGTAGCGCGTGTCAGATTTTGAGCGCGAACGCGAGCGACGCAGATTGCGATGCGGACTGCGACTGCGATTGCGATCACTGTTCTCAGAGCCGGAACAAGAGGAAGACACGCTGGCCCGCTTTTGGTTTTTGGAACGTCTCTTGTTATAGCTAGTGCGGCGTTGTCTGCGCTCATATTTGCCTGCCTCTGAGTATGATGAAGAGCTAACAGAACTCCGATGACGATGTGTGCTGCGAGAAGAATAGCCACCGTTTCCAATACTGCTTCCCCCGCAAGTGACTGCTGCATCCAGGCTGCGCAGCTGCTCGATTGAATCGGATCGTGAGCGTGATCTGTACGACACCGAGCTGCCACAGTCCGAGTCTGATGAACCACTTGAAGAACTAGACTCATTCGAGCCCGAACCATGGTTTCGTCGCTTGCGGTAAGTCCGTCGCGTTCGCTCTCGAGACTGTCGGTTGGGCGGCAGCGTCAAAAGTGGAAATTCGGGTTGCAAATCAGTTTGGGTAGCAGCGCTGACCAGAGTTTTGCGCATTCGATCTTTGGGCAAGTGCATAATGACCATGTCCTCGCCATGCTGAACATTTTTTTCGGACGAGCCTTTAGGTTGTGCATTGCTCGGAATCGTCGCGAGTGTAGTGCTACTGGTTTGTCTTACGACCTCGCTTTGTATGCTCGCTATAAGAGAGTTGCTTATGTTCTTGTTGCCATCTTGGCCGTTCGAGATGTTGTACAGCAAAACCGATGACTTTAAAAGAGATCGAGGAGAAGCTTTGCTTAGTTGATTCGGCGGTATCGTTATGTCTGTGTTGCAACTAGCTGAAACAATAATAATCTCCTCATAGTCCGGGTGGATTTTGTTGCTGGGAGGACGAACCACCGCCGTAGTTGGATCCTCAGATTCCATGCAGTAGGTGTCCTTGACAATGTCCTTGAGTGGCGGCAACTTTGTTACACGTGGCACTTTCGCTGTTACCCGGGAGTCGATGATCTTTAACTGTTGAGCCCGCTTCATTTCAATCATGCGCAGCACTTTGTTCTTTGCCACGGTTATGGGATCCAGGGGCACTGTGGCCGTTTCTTTGCTGGGGCACTTCAGGCTGTTCACAATATTGGCTATGGCAGCCTTCTGAGGCGATGGCGTAGGCTTGAGAACTGGGGAAGGAGAGGTGAATTTGCTAGCATCTTCAAGCTTCGCCTGCTTCGGGGGAGTCGGCTTTGTTTTTGCGTTGCAAACGCCGCCAGAACGTCGTTGTTTGTACTCTTCTAGATTGAGCTTTCGCTTTGGGGCCGTAATCGGCGCTGGAGTCTGTGTAATTGCGGCAGATGGTGTTGGCGAATGTATTTCTGCCGCATTTGCCGATATCGCGGCTTCTCTCTCCTGCTTCAAAAGCGCTAGGTTTTTGCCACCCAAGCCTAGACCCTTACATGGATTTCTGTTCGATGTCGGCTGCTTGCTGCTGATTAGCTTCGACACCTCCTTTACTTTTTTAGTTGCCATCTTGGGTGGCTTGGGCAATGAGGAAGCTCCAACCTTACGTTTGAGAAAATCGCACTGTTTTTTATTAGGCACCAGGCAAATGTTGGCCGGCTTCGGTTTATTCAAAGCGGTTGGCTGGGTTTCCAACTGCGCCTGCTTATTCTGTGTGCAACAAAATATAAATTTAATAATGATTTTCTTTAGTTAATTTATTTTGTTACCTCTTTAACATTGGACACAGATTTCTTCGTGGACTTGGGACACCAGGAAGGGTCGGCCTTTACATTGTCCACGTAGCGCAAGTCATTGGTAGCTTGGCCTGCTTCTGTGAGCTGACCTGTTAACCATTCAGTTTCATCCACATCAATAACATCGACAGTTTCAACGTCGATTATCGAGTCCGAGTCATAATCAGAGTCCCGCGTCCTTGAGGAAAGTGCTTTGGGTTTTTGTGCAGTCATGGCCAAAGGAGGCGGAAGCACTAAGGAAGCCACGGTCGCAGTATCAGGTTTAGGTGGCTCCAGTGCTCGTAGAGACTCTTTTTGCGGCACGCGTTAAAATTATCCGCAAAATCGTCTTTGGTTATAAAGTCAGCTAAGTCAAAGTTATTCACATCGATATTAAGTCCGAATGCGTCTACTTCCGAGATTACGGTGTTAGTACTAAGCGTTCGATTTTTCCGCTCGCTAGAGCTTTGCAAAGTCGCGACAGCGGGCATAATTTGACCCTGCTCCTCGTCCTCGTTAATGTCGTATTCGTCCTCGTAGTCACTGGAGTGCGACTCATAGTCACCAATCGAGGAGCTGTCCGTGCGGGTGCGAAATGTGGAGACACTGTACTGGCTCTGTATGTCCTCCTCCTCTGTATGATCCCCTCCGTCGATGTCTTCCGTGTCATACTCGACTATAGCATTTATCTGGCGCTGCTGTTCGTAGGCTACCTCGACCTCGCTGTCCGTAATGGCCTGGTAGACCTGGGCATTTAGCACATTGGCATCCCGGTCGCCCAGTTCTTGCTCCACAAAGCCACTGTAGATCAGCTATTTAAAGAATCAATACCGATAGAAGTCTTGACCATTCAAATGCCTCTTGAGCCAAAACCTACCAGGTTCTTTCTGTTTTGCAGATCGTCTTCCCGGTTGTGACTGAGCAGTAACTCGTCTGTAGGCGCGATAGGCAGAATGCCGTCAAGAGTATCTGTCAGTTGTAGACTGCAAAATTATTGAATTAGTATTGGGCAGTTTCGCTAACGGAATTCACTTACTCATCGTTAGATGACCAAAAATTCGGCTCAGTTTCGTATTTTACGTAGTTTCCCTCGAAGGGATCTTCTTGGAACGCATTCAGCATTCGGGAATCCATTATGAGTTTTATTAAATACCGCAAAAACTGCAAATTTATAAAAACACATTAGCTTTTTTGTTTAAATGGAAATAAACACAAAGGAGTTTTGATTTGTTCATTAAAATATGTGATATGCATTCTTGCAAAAACCAAAAATCAAGGCTATTTTAATACAACATTTTAAAAATTTTTTAATTGGAAAACCAAACCTGCTTAGAAGGAAGAACGTAGTACGTCAGCGAACTTTAACAAACAAAATCGCCGAGAAGTTCCAAAAAATACATATGTATAAAAAAAATTAAATCGATTTTCTGATTTGAAGTGTTTAGATTGAAGATTTTTGAGTGTTTAGATTACGCGCCTTTCGACATCTCTTTTGCTGAAATTCGATACACAACTAAATTTCGAATTTCGGTTGGTACCCCAAAAAAGTTTGTCGAATTCCAAAGTGAGAGTTTCAGCTTAAGAATATTAATTGTATAACATTTTTCGAAAATCCCGGTTGTTGACGGACAAACATGTCTAAAAAGCATAATCACATATCATATATCGTTAAAAATTTTTCAAAACACAAAGTTCGCTGTCTGATCTAACTACTTCCAGTGTGTTTGTTTACATTTTTTATGCAGTTTTATGAATGAAAGTACGAACTTACGCTGCAAAAAAATAGAAATTCGCCGAAAAGTATGCATCACCAATAGAAAAAATTAATTTAATCCTCTTTAAATTAATAATAAATCCAAAAATATTAAATCAGTTGATCAAATATCTACATATCTATCTAATAGCTTGAGCAAACGTCAATCTTAAAAACTAAATATTATTTATTTTTATCGAAAAAAATGGAAATGGATGTCTTAATACCATTTTCATTTTTTCAAAACAAATTGTCTCTCAAAGTTCATTTAAAATGGCGGGTCTGAACTGTGTGCTCCAGTGATACTGATCTTGTACTTTAAAAGGATACGAAGCAGCCTAAGCTTGTTACCAACATATAAACAAACAAACAGACAAACAATATTGTCGCATATAACTGCTGTACAAAAACCTTTAATGGGGTAAGCAAAACTATTAGGAAAAGTGTTAAGGATGTATTTTTAAAATGTTTGCTTTTAAGGCTACCGACAATGCTCGTTTTTTAAGAAATTAATTTATTCTACAATTAACGAATATAAAATGATGAAGAGATTCAAAAAGTTTGGCAACGCCGTACGTCAATGTACAGCGTGGCAACTGTGTTTAAATAATTTTAAGTAAAAGGAAATAACCTAAACAAAAAACGCTTTTTAAAAAAAGTGGTTGAAAATAGACATATTAATATCACTACTTTCACTAAGAGAACTTTTGTACAAAGAATAATTATAATATTATTTTTACTGAGCCTAAATATACACACTCAATTATTCTTTTTTAACGAGATCAGTGAAATATATGTATACATATGTACATATAGTTTAAATGTCTTTAACGTTGGCTATAAGCGGCCTGAAATAGCTAAAGCAGCAACTCCGCGTGGCATGTTGGCATGCGGAGCTACATGCAGTTCCCCTTCCCCCCACCAACACCAATCAAGAGAGTGCACACCTGCGGCTCTTAAAAGTCCTGATGAGTGATTTGGGCTAACTTTAAGGGCTTAAATTCGATCTATGTGAATCGGAGTTAAGAAACATATTCATTTTGAAAAAGCACTGGCCGCCAACAATAACAAGCATGCGCACACACCAACGAGAGTAAGAAGAAGCAGGGCGCACATGTGTTGCCCCAACCACGTGTGTGTGAACCGCGTTTCGAGTGTGCGTAAATGCCGCCGCCTTGCCATGTGCTTTTTGCCTTTTGCGCTAGACAACAATCGAATTCAAATTAAATATGTGCGTCGTCTACCTCCACTATCATCTTTCAGATTTTTTTCGCATTTGTTTGGAAAGCTGCTTTCTAAGGAAGCTCTGTTGTGAACACAGACGAAATGCGAGGTGGACTTCAGGTCGAATTCGCGTTTAATCGCAATCGGGGGGCCCTTTAGGCGACTTTACCTTCTCAAATCGCACCTGTGGTGGCTCCGGACCACGCCTCCCAGAGATTTGGGGCTCTTGCTGGAGCGATTTGTTGTCAGGTTTGTCGCCGCAGTCTGTTTGCCCGTCTGCTTTAACCTCACATGTTGAGCGCCGCGTCTGCAGCACCAACACAAACACAGATTCCCCAATAGGGTTTTATTCGGCCGATTGCCAGCTGCACAGTTTAGGCGTCCCGTCTACTCGCAAATCACTCGCGAATTCAAACTTGGCTGTCGTCACTCCGGTGCACTTCTCTATCACTTTATCTCATGAGTTTGAGAACCGCACATTGCCCAAATTTGTTCACGTGGACTGGAGTGAGTCGATTCGCGGCGGCAGAGACAGTGTTACCAGAGCTTGTGGTCACTCATCACAATCCCAAAAATCCCTTGTACCAGAGTTGCCGGCTTAGCCTTTTTCAGTCTAGATCTAGCATATTTGAAAATGGAATAGCCAATTCAAACCCAAAAATACTAGTTTTGTGTAACAGAATTACAGTCCATCTTCATCAGACATAACTTTAAGTCAGATATGAAAAAACAGAAGGCAAGTCGTTTTAAATTTAAATAGACACATCCATGTAATTTTTAGAAAGCACGAGACAAAAAAAAAATTGACCGCAGTACTCAGATAGGTAAAATAAATAAAAATAATAATGTCGTCTTGCAAGCTTCCTAAAAGAACTGATGAACATTGGCCAGGCCTTGGCGCAAAAAAAAATATTTGAAAACGAAATTCAAAGCAACAAATCTATTAAAAATGCCTGCACCGATTAAGATCAAAAGACATCTATAATTATTTTTAAATAAAGACCAAACCTTCCTAAATATATATATATATATTTGGATTTTATTTAAAAATAAAAATGATAGAAAGCTTGTAATAGTCTCAACTGTAATGGAAAGCAAATTCAGGCATAAGGGGCTACAAGCCTTGCTCTGTTTAATCCTTTTTTGTATACCATCTTGTTTTAATTATTTGTGTAGATTTTATTCAAGAATTCGGTCAAGCAAACTAATTTTTCAAAAAACATTCCTTTTTAGTTCGGAGACATGTTATTTAGATTGATACAAAACAAAAGACAGGCGCCATTGGGAAATACACTACTGATTAGTAATAAGATTAGAACATGATTATTTTATTCGAAAGTACTTTTATGTGTTGCGGTCCGACGACCAACTCCATGTTAACTATCTGGCACAAGCATTGGATAGATGTAGTATATCGAGCGCACTAAGCTCTGCTCCAATAAAGTACACATCGGATAAAATGAGAACTAATTAAGATTATAGTGTTGCGTATATACGAAAATGCGGGACAACAAAGTTTATGCCACAAAGCTCAAGAGTCGTTTAACGGCGCTTAACACTGGTCCATTCGCCATCATCGCCGGCTTTGTTTTCTGAAAGATAACAGTTTAATTCAATTTGTTTTTTTTTTTTTAAATCTAGTTTTGAGGCTACGAACCCTTGTCCTGGGGTTGATCACGCTTGGTTGCGGGCTTTTCGTCGCGAGGTGCAGGAGCCGTACGCCAGTTACCACCGCCGCCGCCACTGGCAGCTTCTTTAGCTGGTCCACGCTGGTCGCCGCGCACATCGCGCACATCACGGTCGCGTCTTTCGCCAGCTGGGCGCCGGTTCTCGCGATCTCCCTGGCGAGGAGCATCGCGCCAGTTCCCGCCAGATTCGCGCTGGGGCTCTTCGGTGCGACGTGGTCCGTCATTGCGGCGGAATCCTCCACGATCATCGTCTCGCTCGCGGCGTGGTCCATCATCACGGTCACGGCGAGGTCCATCGTCCCTGTCTCGGCGAGGTCCGTCATTGCGGAAATCGCGATCGCGGTCTCCGCCACGACGCCACTTGTCATCCCGTGATTGCGGTGCGCCACCGTCCTTGGGCACAGCTGGACGCTGGGAATCTGGCTCTCGTCGCACACGCCACGAAGAGTCCGCTCCCTCGTCCTTGCGGTCACGGTCTCCTCCCCGCTCGATGCGATCACTACGCTCGATGCGTTCTCCTCCACGTTCGATGCGGTCCCCGCGCTCGATGCGTTCTCCTCCACGCTCGATGCGGTCCCCGCGCTCGATGCGATCTCCTCCACGTTCGATGCGGTCCCCTCCGCGCTCAATGCGGTCGCCTCCACGCTCAATGCGCTCGCCACCACGGTCGGTGCGATCGCTAGCTGTAGGCGCACCACGACGCCACTCTCCAGCTCCTCCAGCCGGTGCGGTGGGGCGGTCACCTCCACGGGGTCTCCAGGTTTCGCGCTCCTTCTCGTTGCGCTCGCGTTCACGCTCTTCCTTGATTTTGCGCTCGACCTCCCGTTGCTTTTCGTACTGGGCACGTCGCTTCTCGTCCTCTGCCTCACGTTCCAGACGGCGCGCCTCTGCTGCGGCGCGTTCCTCGGCAGCCTGCGCCAAGCGGATCTCCTCCTCCTTGCGGAGTCGCTCCTCTTCCTTTTCACGAATGAATGCCTGGCGGCGCTCCTCGCGACGACGTATGACGCGTTCGGCCAACCGTTTTTTGCGCTCAGCTTCCAGGGCAACTTCGAACTTCTTGAGCTTTTCGACGTACAGGGAAGCACGCTCCTTTTTGAGGGCCTCAAGGAATTCGTCCCGATCCGGGTACATGCGTTTGAGACGCTCCTGCTGGCTAACGGCGTCCTTTCGTTCGGCGATTGCATTTTCGATGCGCGTCTTCTCGGTAGCCTCCCAGAACTCCTTGTCCTTGACCTGTTTTTCGGCCAGGTACTTCTCGAAAAGTGGAATCTCCTCCAGACGCTTGGCACGCTCGAAATAGTCGATCTTCTTCTCTTGCGACTTGAGCTTCGACTGCAGTTCCTTGGCCTCGCGCTGCAGTTCCTCGCTCTCACGCTTAGCAATCTGCTCGGCATCCAACTTTTTGATGCCTTCCTCGTCCAGCTTAGAGAGCATCTTCTTACCATGGGCTGTCTGCGATATTTGCTGCACCTTCTCCTTGAGACTCTTCTCCCGGATGGCTTGGATTTCGTTCTGATGACGTTTACGTTCGCGCTCTTCCTGCTCCTGCTCGAGGCGCTTCTGCTCGGCCAGCTTGGCCTTGCGTGATTCTTCCTCCTGTCGCCGCGCCTCCTCCTCCTCACGCGCATTGTTCTGCTTTTCAATGTACTCCTTTCGGTCCTCGATGATTTTCTGCCGCTGAAGGATGCGCTGGTGCTCGCGGTCCTTGATCTCGTGGTAGTGGTGCACCATCTGGGTGCGCAGCTTGGCCCGTTGGTCTCGTTCCCTGTTCGGATAGACAATGGAAACGGCCCTCGTCAGCACGGTGGACATATTGACCAACTGGGAGCGGATCTGCTCGGAGGGCATGGACTGCAATGCGGGCCCATCCGGTCGGTACTCGCGTTGGCTTTCGGTCAGATCGGTGCCGAAGTAAATACTGTGCTTCTGGTGGTCGATACGGATCTGCATGTCGTTGTGGCGCACAGACTCCACCAACAGCTTCTCCAACTCGAAAATGTTACAGAAGCTGGCCAACTGCAACAGGCGCTCAAACTGGATGCTCTCATAGACCTGCGAGATCTGACGAATCAAACGCATAATGGTCACGTCCTTTAACGACTGAATGTACGGAGTAAGCAGAGTGTTCTCGGGTCCGCTCTCAATGACGTCCACAATGGACTGAATGCGCTTGCATAGGTTCAGTGGATTGAAGTCCACTTCCAGCCAGTTGTACAGGTTGCGGAAATCCTCCGAGACGAGTTGGGGAACATTTAGGCGCACCACTTCGCGAATAAGCGACACACGGGTGGGTGGTTGCGGCAGACCCAAGAGCACGGCCAGCTTCTGTGCCTTCTCCAGGGGGCTCTTATCCGCCTCGATGAAACGATCGAACTCCGGATGGGCTGAGGGAAGCGGAATAGAAAGGGTGGCCAAGAGGACGTGGGCAGCCATGCGCTGCAAGTCGTCCTTGGTCAAGTTCTTCTTTAGTTCACGCGTCAACTGGAAGAGCTTTAGCAAAGCTGCAGCGTGGAAGAGCTGGTTGCCCGCCTTGCTGAAGACCATTGCCAGTTTCTGGTAGTAGTTGGCCATCGTCTTAGGCACAGGCGTCTTCTTGGACAGGGCCATTAGACCGTGGATATCCTCGATTGCCTTGTAGGCCTCCTGCCACAGCTCCATCTGGATGGCCGAGTCGAGCAGGTATAACCTGGTGTCAAGGCAGAGCTGCTGCGTCTCCACCTTGTTGATGGAGACACCAGTGGTCTGGTTGCTGCTCTTGCAGATGTCCTCCAGGTGCTTGCGCAGCTTGTCGCACAGCCGCCGGAACTCGCTCTTGCGATTGTATTTGAGACAGAACTGGAAAGCCATCCGGGCGATGTCATGGTACAGTGCCTCGCAGTGGGTATTCACGCGGAGCAGCTCTAGACACTGGCAGTAGGACTCCCACAGAAACTTGACCCACGGCAACAGAATGGTGCGGTCAGAGCGGTCTTGTGCGTCCTCGCCGCACACGGCACTCATCAGGATGCTTTCCGGCGTGGCAATGTTGTCCAGGTCATCCAGCTCCAGCACGGCCACGGCTGCCGAGGACTGCGCCTGGGCGGCCTCCGTGTGCTCCTCGGCCATTTTCAGGTAGCCACGAATTACGTTTTCTAGCGAGTTGACGTTGACCAGCTGGAACATGTTCCGGTACTGGAAGAGTCCCTCTTTGGCGATATGGGACTTCTTGAGCTCCACGCACAGGTACAGGTACTTGAACATGAGCGGCTCGATGACCGTCTCCGAGTAGGCGTAGTTCCATCGCTTGTTCCGGAAAACTTCCTGCAGGGTGTCCAGCGCCCTTAGCGGCTTGCCCACCTCGATGAACTCTGTGGCGAAGAGAGAGAGAGCCGCGTTAAATCGGATTAAGAGAGCGGGCCGGTTCTCTTAGGCCACCACATGGAAAATTTTCATCACTCACCATTGGCCCTTTTCAGGGCATTTTCTGGTCGTTGGGTGTACCGAGCCATCTTCAACTGCTTAAATTACTTGCGGCGGCACTTGAAGTTGATTTTGTTAACAGGTCTGGACGGTTCTGAGACCTGAGCTGCTGAAAATTGTTAAAAATCTTCGGCTCGCCTACGTGTGGCCTGCGAGATTTATGCAAAATGGCCGAGTTGACGGCACGCAGGGCTGCAGCTCGCCACTGTGATCGATAGTACGGATTGGCAGCCGATAGTTGTTCTCGATAGTGCTGGCCGCATGACAACCCTGCCCGGTGTAAACAAACACACGCGGAACCTTTGGACATGGAAACCTGTTAAAAATTGGATAAATAATAATTACATCGAGCTGCATCATGACCAGCTGGAGAAAATACATATTGTGGTTCGCCCAGGAGCATGTGGACTTCCGAGTGCAAGAGTTTGATTCGATAGTTAAAATGTTCGGACTCCAAGTCCGGCGAATCACCGAACAGACATTGGTAAATTTTAAATCGAGTTTTAAAAACAAAATATTTCCGAGAGTTAAATTAACAATTTAAAATTAATTTTAAATGTTGAAGTTAAGAAAACATCATCTCTAGATTTTTATATAAAAAATATATCGTATTTGATTTAAGTTTAAATTCAAATCGAAGCAAACCTTTTAAACATGTAATAAATTTATTTATTTATTAAGTTTGGCATCAAGAAGAAACATTGATAGCGGAAAAATAATTTAATCTGAATGAAGTCTTCTTTCGAGCTTAACCAAAGGAAAATTGAAAAGCAAATATAATACTATTTTATTTATGTAAATAGTAAATTGGCAATTGCAGAAACCTTTTTGGCTGGTAGAATTCAGCGACTTGGAGTCTGCCCTGCAGTATGCATCCCGGTCCGTTTCACTGCGTGCAATGTTCGAGCTGTACGCCCACGCCACCAATCTGCCCGATTTCCACCACACACTTAAGAGCCACGTAGTCCGAAACCAGGATGCACTGGCGGAATGCTTTCGGCCAGACACTAGCTTCAAGATTACGGTGGAAACCTATAACAAGCATTTCAGTCAGCGCGAAAAGGTTGAAAAAATCGAATCTATGGACTATTTACCGATAGAGGGCCCGGTCGACCTTAAGAATCCCCAGGTCGAATGGTGGTACATCGAATTCTGGGGCCTGGATCCCACGGCTGTTCCACGCGAACCTGAGGACATTTTGTTTGGCCGGCTGATGGCATCTGGTCAGCGGCACCTGATTAAGGAACTCTCCCTAAAGCGAAGGAAGTTCATCGGCAATACCAGCATGGACGCCCAGCTCAGCCTGCTAATGGCCAACCAGGCGATGGTACGCGATGGCGACCTGGTATTTGACCCCTTTGTTGGCACCGGTTCGCTCCTGGTAAGCGCCGCAAAGTGGGGCGGCTATGTTTTGGGGGCGGACATAGACTACATGATGGTGCATGCACGCTGCCGACCGAGCCGCATAACGCAGAAAGTGCGCGAGAAGGACGAGAGCATCCGGAGCAACCTGAAGCAGTACGGATGCGCAGATCGCTACCTGGATATTGTTGTGGCGGACTTTTCCAACCCGTTGTGGCATCCACGAATTTTGTTCGACAGCATCATAACAGATCGTAGGTTGCGTATTTGAACCGCTGCTTGCGTTGCTAACCATCCAATGCTTTGACGTTTTTAGCTCCATACGGAATTCGCGAGGCCACAGAAAAGGTGGAGACTAAAAGCCGTGCGAAAGAAAACACCAAAACGGATGACATGGTGCACTATCCTTCCACCTCGCACTATTCCTTACAGAGTCTCTACGGCGACCTGCTGGAGTTCGCCGCAAGGCATTTGGTACCGGGAGGACGCCTCGTCTGCTGGTTACCCTTCCACCGCGATGACTACGATGAAAAGATGCTGCCAGAGCATCAGTATTTGAGCTTGGTGGCCAACTCTGAGCAGCCCTTGACAGGAAATACTGCCCGCCGCCTGCTCACTTACGAAAAGAGTGCAGAGTACTGTCCGCCAGATCGGTCGCTGGCCAGTGCAGCTGATATGCCCGCACTCCCGCAAAACTTCAGAGATCGATATTTCAACAATGCGCTGGAGTCACGCAAAGAACGTCGCATGCGAAAGGCCGAGCAGCGGGAACAGGGCCGTGTGGAGATGGAAGCGCGGGGAAAGGTTCCGACAGACGGACGCTCCAAAAAGTGTAACCTGAACAAGGCTCGTTTTGTATGATCATGTATTAAATGAGTTATTTGTTTTTTAAAATGGTTTTTAAAGCACTAGCTAGGTTGCCATCAGACTCGTGATCCTGAAGATGGCACTCGAAGACGCTAGCGAAGCTGCTAAGGAGCGCATCAGTGGCCTCCCCTATGGACACATGCCTACCGAGCTCCTTGCTAAGCGATGTCACTCCCTTGCCCTCGATCCCGCAGGGCACAATGTGCTCAAACCAATTCAAATCCGTGCAGCAATTAAGTCCAACGCCGTGTGTGGTGACGTAACGGGAGCCATGGACGCCGATGGCACAAATCTTGTGGTCACCCACCCAGATGCCTGTTTCCTTGGTGGTGGTGGCCGTGGAAATGCCTAGTCGGCGACAGGCCTCAATGACCATCCGCTCCAGCGTGGCCACGTACCAGCGCATGCTGGGTTTGAATTGGCGCAGGTGCAGGATGGGGTAGGCCACTAACTGGCCGGGGCCATGGAAAGTGATAAGCCCGCCGCGGTCTGTGCGATGGAAGTCTGCACCCAGTTGGCGCAGTCGAGCCTCGTCTGATGGCGTGTATTCCTTCGTTCGCAGGCCGACTGTGTACACAGGATCGTGTTCCTGAAGCACCAGGTAGTTGCGAAATTTTGAAGGCGGGTCCAATATCTGGGAAGCCTTCGCCAGGTGCTGCTGCAGTTGCAGTCCTGCCGCAAAGCTGTGGCGACCGGCCCGTACCACGGTTACCAGAGGCCTTAAAGCCATTTTCCACTTGTTTAATAACCATTTTTGCACGGTTTAAATTTAGTAGGGTTGTGAAGAAATATATCGATATTTTTTGCACCGTATTTGCATGTGATGTGCCGATTATTGCAGTCGTCTGGTGGCGGATTATTGCAAATACGGTCACTCAGATTCGAGTTTGTACTACCAATCGCATCTTCAAATGTTAATAAAAAAAAACGGTGCAAAATTTGCACTTTCCGCCAACGGATTTCGAAATTTTAGAAAAAAACACATCATTTGCATATTTTACTTTATTTTTTTAAGCTGTTTTTACCGTGGACCACACTTGTAAACAATTACCATTATTTCTTATTGATGCTTATTTTGAATATATATAAAAACTATAAAACATGTTTGCTTGTGGGAGATCGGTATTACCGCAAATATACAAACGTTTTATTTTTTGTTCTACAATTTTATAAATAATTCTACACTATTTCTAAAATTCTGAAAACCAGACGTCCTTCAGGGCGTTTGTAGTAAATGTTGAAATAAAAGCAGTTGCCGATATTGATTTGAATCGGAGCCTAGAATCCGCTTGTTCCATTTTAAAGCAGAATTTTACAAAAGTTAATACCGGCTAGGCTACAGGGGCCAAAGAGAAGTTTTACGATAAATTTTCAAAAACTTAACGGCTTACGGAACACCCTAAATAACCATTCTTATGTTTCCAGGGCTGGATACTTAGTTGGCTTTAACGATAAATTGATTTATATACCGGTTCGGTGAGCAGACTTGTTGCAAAAGAAAAATGGGACAGTGTATTTTATAATTTGTTACCTATTTTCCTTAATACATAATTAATAATAATAATAGCTGTGTGAATAGAGAGAAACCTTTAGTTTGTTTTAGAACCTGATAGCTTTTATCGATGTTTTGTTTACGATTGCGATTCGCCAATGACATTCACTGGTGCTCGCAATTGTGGTTGTAATTTCCCTCTTCTTCTTGCAACATTTGACGTTTGCAATAAGAAGATAAAAAAGCCTTACACACGCACGCTTCGGATATTATTTGAAGTTGACGAGTAATAGTGGCTTCCTAGCATATAGAAACGAAGCTTTTGCTGACCTCCTGGCCGTTTCGTTGCACTTTCCCCAGGCGGATGACACATTGGGCACTCATGAAATTCCAATAGAGGAGCGGAGTTGGTGCGTATAAAAGCACAGGCTCCATTGCAGGACATGACGACGCGTCAGGACGACGAGCTGGGGGGCGGTGGTGCAGAGCCTGCCCCCTTTCACGTCTTGCCTCACTCAGAGGAGGTTGCCACCTTCCTGGCCCACCAGCAACAGCAGCATCAGCATCAGCACCAACAGCAAAACCAAAACTACCTGATCCACCCGCAGCAGCACGGTCAGGCGCCTGGGCCTCTGATGTGGCAACCTCCACCGCACTTGGCTGCTCCCCAGTTTCCGTCACACCTTCAGCAGCAGCAGCCACAGCCGCACTTGTACAACGAGTATCTGTACAACCTGGCCTATTCCGGGCAGCCTGGCCAGCCGGAGACTTATTCGGTGCTGCCCGTGGGGCACGGCAACTTTCTCAAGGTGTACCACTGCCCAGAGAGCCCAGGCGGCGATGCCAGCGGCCCGCTTTTTACGCATATCAACATGGCCTCGCTGAACCCCCATCAACTGCAGCATCCCCAGGCGGCCCCGCCGACTCCGCCGCAGCCGACACCGCTCTACGAACTTTTTGCGACGAATCCTCTGAGTTTGCCGCAGGCTCAGGCTCAGCAACAAGAAGCCCAGCAGCGCCAGCCTCAGCCTCAGCAGGCGCAAACCCACACGCCCCAGGTCATACATTCGCCGAGCAGCGCCAACCTGCTGATCAATAATCTGGTAAACAACTGGTCGCCCAACCTGACTGGCGGAAGCTATATCCAGTTCGGGGACGAGGGCAACGAGAATGACGTCCAGCAGGCTGAGCCACCGCCAATCCAGCAGCAACCAGCAACCAAGTCAATCCTGCAGCAGCCGACGGAGCCAGTGACGCAACCCATAAGCTCACTGCCCGCGGCCTCCAAGCCCGAGAAGCTCCTGAAAACGGCTTTGGCCACTGCCACCGTCGCACCAACTGCCATTAACAAATCGAGCGTGGCGGTGCCTGGTCATCCCGAGGGCAAAAAACGCATCGTGGCCGAGGTGAAGCCCATGCCCATGTCGTACTCTGATGTGCTCAGCAAGGGCACAAAGTCGAGTGTGGAAGGCGGAGAGATGCGTGCGGCTAACGGTGGGGATTACAGTTCTCAACCGCAGCGGCGCCACGGTAAGGAGGATGGAAATGGAAATCGTGAGATGCGCACGGCGAAGCGGTCGCCGATGCACGATGCCAAGGAGATGGGATCATTGGGGAACAGTGTAGGTCATGCGCACGCCAGCCGAAACAAGAAGCGAGGCCAAGGCAACCAAGCTGCGCCGCTTAAACTGCAACCACCCCAGGCTCAGCCCCTTCAGCAATCTACTCCGCACACGCAGATCAAATCCAGCAAGCCGATCAATCCCGAAAAAAAGCGTCCCCTTCAGCCGAAGAACTTCAACAGCAACAGCAACAGCGTCAAGACTGCGGATCAAAAGACTGTCTTGGCATCGGTGCCCAGCAACATTAGCTTGCAGAACCACAGCAATGGCAGCAATTCAACTCCGGCCACCAATTCTAGCACGTCATCACGTAAATCAGGCGGTAACAAATCCAGCGCCAACGCTAGCCACTCGAATCACAGCGGAGTAGCCTCCAATCTAGGTAGCACCATCAACTACTCCAACAACAACAACAATGTTAGTTCCTCTTCGTCCAAGCGGTATTCCTCGTCGAATGTGAATCTTAACTCGAATAACAGTTCTGGCTACTCCTACTCCTCGAAGCGCAATCGCAGCAATGCCTACTCCTCCTCGTCCAACTCACCCACTCATGCCAATAACTTTGCAAGCAATCGAAACTACGAGCTGGCCAAACGTATTCTGCACACCTGGTGGATCTACACGCTGAAATTGCTAACCTGGCTATTCTATTTGGTCTACGATATCGTAGTGCTGGGCTTCAGTATGGCCTGTGAGCGGATGTCGCTGGCCTACGTGGCCGGATTGGCCTATGCGCGGCAGCTGCATAAGGAACTTAAACAGAACTCCGGCAAGCCGAGCATTTGGTGGCGAAGTTACTGGCGTCGGTTCGACGCCCGCTTTGCCAAGAACTCGCGCTGGGCCGTGTGGCGGCGATTCTACAAACGAAAACCTCCCGAACCCACGCAACAGTTCAAGACTGGCCGCCTGCCACAAACGGGCGAAGAGGCCATGTACTCGCTGCTGAATTGCAAGGGAAAGGATGCATACAGGTGAGGTTTAGCGATTTTTAACGACCCTGGACCATAATATTTTTTTATATATTCCAGCATACTTGGTGTCCCACCAGATAGCCCACAGGAACAGATCCGTAAGCATTACAAGAAGATTGCCGTGCTCGTACATCCCGATAAAAACAAACAGGCCGGTGCTGAGGAGGCTTTCAAGGTGCTTCAGCGCGCCTTCGAGTTAATCGGAGAACCGGTAAGGAATCGCCAATTCGGAGTTGTGAGCGCCTGATACAATTTCAAATTATATTTGGTAGGAGAATCGCCTCATTTATGACCAAAGTATCGCCGAGACTCTACACGCTGAGAAGGCGTGGACAGAGCTGCACGACCTGCTCTCCCAACTGCAAACCAAAATGGCCGAGGCAGCCAACACCATAAGGTGCGTATGACACAATCGAGCCCGAAACGGAGTCGCTAACCTTTCTGCTCATGGTTTCAACTACAGATGCAGCACCTGTGCCCAGCGGCATCCTCGCAAGCTAACCGAACGGCCCCATTATGCGGCGCGGGAGTGTGCCTCCTGTAAAATACGGCACTCTGCCAAAGATGTAAGTGCATATACTGAAAACCCGTAAACGGAATGATAATCAACTTTTCTGCCTTCGTGATAGGGCGACATTTGGGCCGAGACCAGCATGATGGGCTTGCGGTGGAAATACTTGGCGCTAATGGACGGCAAGGTCTATGATATAACCGAGTGGGCCAACTGCCAAAAAGGAGCTCTGTCACATTTGGAACCTAACTCGCACATGGTGCAGTATCGCATAGTGCGTGGGGCTCAGCAGCAACAACAACAACAGCAGCAGCAACAGCACCACCAGCAACCGCAGCAACCACATCACGACCGGGGAGCTCATCATCCAGGCGCGGGAGTCAGTGGTGTTAGGTATAAATCGATATTTATTCAATATCAGTAATACGAAAATGCATTTTAATTGAATGTTGTATTCCTTTAGCGAGGCTACATTGCACGAGTTCTTGGACAATTTGTACAGCGGCCAGCATCCGGGAGCTCCAAACGCATTCGCCGGAAATACGAGGCGGCGTACCCGACGCAACTAAGCAACTCGGAAATAGTTTTAAGTGTTTTAAAATCTCTTACATACAGTAATAATCCACCCAATGTGTCGCCGCCGGCTGCAGGGCCTAACTCACTCTGAAACAAAGCACGTATGCAAAAGAAACTGGGCACTCATATTCCCCATTTTAACTGCATTAACTTCAACACGTCTTTCATTCAGGTCCAATGTTGTTAAGCTTATGAGCCATATTAACCTGTCCAAGCTGTATAGTTCACATTTGCTATAAACGAGGTCGTGAAATAGTTTGACTTGACACATTGAACTGCATAATCGCCTACCTACTAGACTACATCTATGTTTTATCTTCTGTTTATGCCTCTATTTTACTACTTTCACGCCTAGCTCTTAGAAGAACTTTATTTTTAAGCTTTAAGTTTACTATCCCCCGTCAATTTCCAAGCGAATGCGATGGCACACATGTAAAATCTAACACATCCAAATAAAACAAAAATTAATGTTAATAAACAATATTAAACGCAAAAACCAGATTAAAGTTGTTTTAGCTCTAACCTTTTATTAAAGGTCTCCGAAAATGGTCAAAAAAGTGTGAGTTTTACATAAATCACTGCAAATAAGTCACGAAAGATAGTTCAGTTTAGTGTTTTTATTGAAAAAATGCTCCACTCCATTTTCACCTAATTTTCTACACATGTTTTTTGTTTTTGTATTTGTATAATAATAATTACATAGGTAATGTTTACATACTGCTCCACAAAAATGGCTATTACGACGCATACAAAACGTATTGCAATTGCATACCTATAGAACCTAAAGTGTGGGACTTACAGTCTACTTTGTTTTTTGATTCCAACAATTTACTGATTTTAATGCTCTGCTGAAGTGAATCGATCTTATGGTTATTCCTATTTGTGTTTACTTTTGTATTTAATATTGATGTGGGTATGCACCGTTATAAAGATCAAAAGATGCAAGTTCATCTCGCGATTTCGGATTTAGTTTAGCGGCATAATTTATTTGTAATAAATTAATGAAACTTTGTATGGGTAACTAGCCAAGATAGCCTGTGATTTGTTAATGTCTTCGTATTTTTTTTCTTCTTTGTATACTTTGAAACGTTTTACAAAAATTGTCGAATACTCGCGTTGCGTTTGTGGTTTTCTGGTTAGCGTAGATAGTTTTTGACTATTTCTGAATGACTTTTATTTTTAACAGTTATTGTGCCTAATTTTAAATTACATTTGCTTTTGCTCTATACATTTACAAAACTTGCCATCGGCTGCTGCTGTATTTGTTTACTTTAGTAATATATGTATATGCCCGTATATACATACACATACATCAATTAAATTCTAGGCTTAAATAGTTGAATTCCTTGCTCACACACAAACTTAGTGTTATAAACATTAGGTTTTGCTTTATATTTGCTGGGCTTCCGCGTTAATGTTATCGTTTAGTTGAAATCGTGGTTTGCGTATGCTGGTTTTTGTATTATACAATCCGCAGGGGTACTTATGATAAGTAAGCTTTGTACAACTAAAGTAGTTTAAAGAAAAAGAAGCAACAAAACAAATTTGAAGGAGTACGCTAGAGAATGGGCGCATTCGCAATGCCTATACATTTGCATATGCCTCAATATGTATGCGAGCATACTATTTGCATATTCCATGTTCGGGATGGTATGGTAACCCTAGTACGGATACTCCCCAAATGCCCATGCACGAGTGTCTTGCCTGGAATTCTCTCTGTGTTTGTGGGTGTGGGTGGTCTGCGATGTCGAGTAGTGGTAGTGAGTTGAAGTGAAGATGTGCATGCCGTGGAAATGACTCTGGGAGCTCCGCTCCTTTAGGAAGCTCCTGGCGCAGCCGGCCCTCTCTGTGTCCTCTAAGCCCTGTGCTGGCGGCGCCCCACCTTGCCCCGATATTATTTCGGCGTCTTCCGCTGCTTCAGCTCCTGCGAGGCGTCGTCCAGGAGCTTGGTGGCGTACCCGTTCGTCAGGAGCCCCCCGTTGGCGCCCTTGTGCGCACTGCCATTGGCCAGCTGCTTGTAGCCGTTGGCCCCACCACCATTCGCATGCCCGTTGGTCAATGGGGCCGTGCTCCCGTTGGCCTTCGAGACGGGCGTCGCGGACGATTCCATCTCCGTGGTCTGCGGCATGGCCAGGTCGTCGTGGGCGTTGATGCTCTTGCAGTAGCCATTGGGCTTGGCGTGTCCGTTGGCCAACGCTGCGTTCTTTTTCTGCAAGAGGAGCGGGTCAAAGTTGTCATTAGTATCATGTAACCCAAAAGCCCAATTTAGCTGAGCGATAATTATTTGTGTAATTAGCATCAACATTTGAGTCTATGCATGTACATTTGAATTGAGAATTCATTTTTATACAAATCGGAATAACTTGATGTTTTTAAATGTTTAGCATTCAGCAATTCGCATTTTCGTAAAGAAGATCTTTATTAATAAATGTAATTCCCAAACAGATGCGACTATTATACCATATCGCTACCAAAAGAAAAAAAATTAGAAAATAATACAAAATTCGACATAACTAAAGAAACGTTATCATATAGCTGCCATAGGAAAGATCGAACAATCTATATAGAATTAACGAAAATAAAATGATAACATCGTTGTTTTTCATCAAACAATAACGATTTTTGGAATATAGATTTTTTTAACGACTCTTGCATTTTGAATTAGATCATCAAAATCGGACTACTATATCATTTAGGTGTCATATGAACAAAAGTCGAAAATATTGAAAATTATATATTATTATATTTTGTTCGACATAATTGGTGACTGCAAGGGTATATAAGCTACCTTTCTTGTTTTTTGGGTATTCTGTTGTTTTCAAAGGGTTTTTTGATGACTCCTGGTGGGTTGAAAATCTATCATTTTAGTATTCGCCGTATCAGTTTAGAGCTTATAAGGCTTAAGATATTAATGCAAAACTATTTAAAGTCGCCAAGTCATAAAGCTTGCTAAAAATTCTTATCTTTTAAGTACAATTTTTGATCGTGTTTGTACTAAAGTCCAGTCGCATGAGTCAACAAAGTTTTATTCATGTTGATAAACATGTTTTGCTGATTCAAATGATTTTGGGTTTTAATTTTAAAATATTTTGAAACATGCTTTAGTATAAAAACCAAGAAAGGAAGCTACCCTTTTCTCCGCAAGGGTATAATGATTTCTGACAATTCTGACTGTAACGCTACCTGGAAGAGAAATCAATTGATGTAATTCCCCAGCTCAAATTCTACTTTGTAATCCTGGGTTCTTAATCGGAGTGTTCTTCTGACATGGTTCAACCATTTGTGGCTAGTTCAACTATTGTTTTGGCAAAGGAACTACGAGTTGATAGAACCGTCGTTTGCGTTTGGGCAGCACGTCTGATTCCCCAAACAGATATCGTCTAGCCCCAAGTGGGCCACCGTGGTGATTATGCAACCAGGTGCGTTTTGCCCACATCTGCCCAGCATATGTCTTAAAGTTGTATCTGTCCGCGAGTCTGTCTTTGTCTGCCTTCGCTGCCCCTGACTCTGAAGCCGTTTGGTATTGTCTTTCCGTTTAACTTTCACTCGCGCGGGGCGAAGCTCTGCGGATGCTGGGTGCCGAAACGAAGCCGGTTAGCGATATTTACCTCCGCTCAGTGCGAAGCCGAAGCCCCCAGTCCGACGCCCAAGTTCCCAGAGACCTACTTGACGAAATCTCGTTAATGAATTTGGACCACAGCATCTCGCGCATTTGTAATCGGCAGGCCGCAAGGTGCAGTGCAGGCCGTGATGATATAACCGCGTTTGCCTCACAGCAGAGAGCTACTCGGCTATTACTCGTATTCGTATTCGTATTCGTTTTCATTTTCATTAACACAGACCGGAATCTGGAACGCTGGTCGCGTCACACCGCCTTGGGCAACGTGGGAAGCTCGGGACTGAGTCCCAAGTTGATCATAGAGACTTTGCGGCTCTTTACCGATCTCGGCTGGCGATAAAAGGGCTATTAGGTCGCCTAATATGGGAAAGAGTGAGCAGCTCATTTTCCCGTTTCCCCAACTCTGAACTCCCATCTCCCGCTTCCCGGCGGACTCACCAGCATGCGGCTCCTGTAGGCTGCCTTGTAGAACTCGTTGAACAGGAAGAAGAACATGACGGCGTGCATGCCGATCCACCAGACGAAGGCCTTCGGGTAGTTGCAGTCGATGAAGAGCAGCTGGAAGGCGTGCACCATGATCAGGATGAACTGCACCATCTGCAGGGTGGTCAGGTACTTCTTCCACCAGAGGTACTTCTGGTACTGGGGGCCCATGGCCGAGAACATGTAGTAGGTGTACATCACGATGTGGACGAAGGTGTTCAGCAGTCCGAAGAATGTGCTATGGCCACCTAGGTGTAATTTCGATGGTCAGGACTGGACGTATGGACGGTCCACTGTGACTCACCTGGGGTGAACTTCACGCCGAACCAGACCGACATGGGCATGCAGCCGTGGTGGATGACATGCAGCGTGGTGACCTGGCTGGTCTTCTTGCGCAGCACGAAGAAAATCTGTGGAGCACAACGAGTTGACTTGCGAATGCATTGGCGAACGCAGACTTTTAACTCACCGTATCCATGAACTCTGTGAACTTCGAGAAGTAGTACCACCAGCAGGCATGGACCATCTGGTTCGGCAACACGAGGGAGAGAGAAAAGTGGTTGCATTAGCGCTATGGTGGTCATTTCTCCAGACTGAGCCTTTCGCCACCCTATCCCAATCCAAGGAATGACCATCTATAACGTGGTAAATAAACTAATCCTGGCCGAATCAGCATGAAGCGCCAGTCATTGAATATGGAATAGGGGGACGCACTTGCCGGTTCAACCGGCAACACTTCTTTCGCACTCATTTTCAAAGTTCTGTGAGTGCTGTATTAACAATAACCAAAATCATTCAAACACGTATGCAGACTCCTAGGCCTTGAGGAAACAGTGACAGAGATTCAGTTGGGTTACGGATAGCTTTCGAAACTGTCGAAACAGATCCGGGGTTCCACGGAACGGGGGAGAACATTCAGTTAAAAGAAGAGGTGAGGAGGTCATTTAGTTCGGATAGATTGGAGTGTTAGGTAGACGGAGCTTTGATCTCTGAGTTCGGATCAGTGACAGACAGAGTTATGTACGGGTTACACATGCTGGGATCTGAGTTGGCATCCAAGAGGGTTCGGTGTTAGCACTAAGCTAAGCTAAGGGTGTAAGCGACAGCCCTCAACCCCACCCACCACATGATTCTTATGACATAATGGCCCTCTCCATGGACACTACATATCTACAATATGAGTATGGAATTACTTAAAACTATTCGTGCACTCACACCAAAGTAAAAGTAATAAGACGTAACCAGAATGCTTATCGTTATTGTTATCATAATCGTTATCTTACTGCTCGTGGCGGTTAACACATACCCTTAACGTTCTAGGATTATTACTATAGTCGACTGGCTGACATCGGAAGCTATAATGTCCAGTTAGCCAACCGGAAATGCCTATCTGCAAATGTAGAGCACAAAAGATCACTTTATATCGTCGCTCGGCTCTGGGTTTCTGGTTGGTTGGTTTGTGGGAGATTGACATTGGCATTGGCATCGTCACCGGATCTTGGCTCTTGGCTCTTGGCGAGGGGAGTCCTTCAGAGAACTGCCCGTGGTAGTCGGCTATTTACACAGGTGCATCATGTTTGTCGGAGTGCGTGGTTAGTGTGAGTAGAACGGCACTTAGGTGGTATCAACTTAGGCCTAGGCGCGATATGTACGATTATTGAAGCGAATTAATCACCGGTCTTATCTGTAGCACTTGGGTTCTGGGCTAGCGTTTACATACAGGGACAGGACAGGACAGGCGTATTGCCCGTGGGCTCGTTAGGGACTTGTTTGGTATTAGTCAACATCTGGCAGCGACCTCCTGTGCCGCCGAGAGTTATTCATGTACCATGTACTAGTCAGAATAGGCAGTTAATACAATGGGAGCGACTACAAGGCTAGGCGAGGCGAGGCGAGACTGGTTAATGCCCAAAGCGATGGCTGGGTCAGTGGCCCAGTCAATAGCAGTACACTAGGATTAGGTTAAGCAGAAGCCGCGGGAACACCTCGGGTGCAGATTCAGAACGGCACGCGGGCAACCCTGCTCTGGGCTCTCGGCCAGAGTTCCCACCTGCACACACACTTTAACGGTACTCTAGCGCAGCGCGGCGCGGCACACTTACTCTCCGGGAGGTGGGACTATCTGAGTAGTCCACCGGCTGGCACCGGAAGCTGTACGAGCCCCACCAGCCGCCCATCAAGCACTGCAACAAAGACATTAGCGGCAAGAGAGTTAGATTGGTTCAAAAGCATCCTCCTCGGATCCGCCGGGCCACGGATCTATCCAGCGACGATGCCACGCGATGACTGCTGGAGCTGCTGGAAGTGGGGGAGTGGGGGGAGGGGATGGGGGGACGGGGAACTTACCTCGTAGAAGAGCCACGCGCTGAATACAACCTGTATGGCATTGTACAAGACTAGTGTGTTCTGCAGATGGAGCGGCTTTCGGTTTTCCATCAATCGCGGACCTAGCACCTGCAGATGGGAAATCGATTAAGTAGAACGTATTACTTTCGGAACGGTCTTCCAATGCTGCAGATCTCACTCACCTTGACCAGATAGACGTATGTGAGGCACACTGCCAGTGTGGGAAACGGTGACGACATCATGGGCCAGTCCTTTGTCCTAGAGTCTGCGGGGAGGAGGAGAGAAAAGGTGATTAGGAACGGCTGTTAACAGGCAGTTAAGAGCCATCTCCGAGATAAGCGAAAGCCGTGTTCTTATCGCCGGCACATCATTCCCATTGACCATGATCTGGTCCGCGTAATTCCCTCGCAACTCGGCAACAAACATGAAGATAAAATAGAGGTCTCCTTACGCATAATTACTGCCAATTTCAACCGTCGGTTCTTCGCTGTGTGTTATCCCTGGTTTCGAATTCCAGTCAGATATTATCTGTGTTCGTTTAATTTCCGAAAAAGTTTGTGCTACGTTATTATCAATGAAACCTTATACATACGAGCCTACTATATACAGATAACAATTCTGTGATTATACTGGTGATTGCGAATTCGAGGCGAGAAAAAAAAGAAATTAATTTTCTATCTAATTAAAATATCAAATAACTTATTTATAATCAGTTTAAGAAGGTCGCATGTTCCCAGCTCAAATTCTGGGCAATACAGTGACCCATTCGACGACTTGGCAGCAAACACACACGAAAATATACACACAGGTGCCTTCAAGGTGCCTTCAAAGTTGTTCACGTCCGAAAATACCTGATCACCAGTATATAAAGCTGGATTAGCGGATAAATCATGTTGAAATCATGTCGTGTTCTCACAGTCAACTTGAAATTGCTTGGCATTTGTCAAGCAGGCTTTTAAAAAGTAAGTAAATATATGCGAATATATGAACTATGATGCCGGGGAAAAGGTTTTCTCAGCACGTGAATAAAGTAATGACATTTCTAGAGAATCTAGTTAGCTGGAGAACGCAGCCTTCGGAGAGCCACTGCTTCTTGTTCCTCGTTTTTTAGAGGCGCTGCCAAACTCTCTTGACCAATTAGAGAACTGGTGTCAAAAATTATTTATTTATTTGCCGAACCCTCTGCCGTTTTCGGGGAGAAAAGTGGGAAGGCGAAGCGACATTGGATTGTTCCCCATGCTGCTGGCCACAGTCCACCAAAATCAAGGTTAGGCGAATTAGCAAATCCCCCGCCCCGCCCCGCGGCGTACTTACCACCATGTGAGTCTATGTATCTGCTTATGCTGTCGATGTATTTCATAATTAAGGCCATTGTGTTGCTGTGTAGTGTTGGTTTGGTGCCGACAGAGGAGTCCTTCTATCCTTGATTGCCCAGCAGTCGGTGCTCCTTGCTCCTTGTTGATTGTACAGTAGTTTGGTGGATAGAGTCTTGACGTTCAGGAATCGCGGCCTGTTCTGATCTGTTCTAATCTGATCTGATCTGATCTGATCTGGTCGGTTGAAAAGTTGGTTGGAATTTAGCGCATTTAATGCGGTGCCGAGCGGGTTTTCGAACTGAAAGAAGAGAGATAGCGGAGAATGTTTAGCAATTTGCTGTAATTCAGTATTCAGTAATATGCCTAGCACGTGATTTGTTCTCAGTTCGCTCGAGCGCCCAACCTAAAAGCCCTCAACATAGACACTCGGAGCGCGATCGTTCCATTTACGATATCGGCCGACCCTTATCGGCCCTCACTGAACACCCTTCCCTTCCCTTCCCCACAAGCCGCGCCAACCAGCCAGAAGAGTCGAAGTCGGAGAAACAGAAACAGAAACAGAAACGGAATGAGGTTAATAAACTAAAGCCAAAAGCTGCTCAGTCAGCATTTGATCGGCACATTTACATCTTGTTTATAATTGAACGTTCCCGTTCTGAGCGAGTGTCTCTTGGGTTGATTTACTTTCTGGCCCAGAGCGGGGTGCACACCCCTTATCGCAGGAACAGCTATCGCAAATCGATAAATTGGGCGAAAGCATTGGCCAAAACAGCGAGCCTCGGCCCTGGAGTATGTGGCGTATGAGTAATATCCGTGGAAATGTTTTCGCCGAAAAGTTCAAGGACGCCAGAGCGAGCACTTGGCACTCGGCAGTCTGTCTCTATATTCTTCTTTTCGATTTAATACTATACTATATATTTAATTACGATACTGAGGGTAATTATGTATTCAAGCTGCAGTATGCATCGCCATCTATTGCAGCCTTATGTGAAAAATCCGCGAATACTCAGTAATCAGTATTGAAGAATATTCCCCTACGAGCACGCACACTCGCTCCTCAGCAAAATGCGAAACAAAATTTCTCTCCCCATATCGAGTGTTTGGCTCCATGTGCACATTACTCATACGCCGCCTGGTACGTCACGCAATGTGGCGTAAATGCTTGGCCAAAAAGCTAGTTGGTATCCCCAACAAAAGGGCGCATAATTAAACCCCATCGCGCTCTACTCCAATCTCAACTGGGTGCGGCTGGGTGTGTGGAGTCGACTGACTGGAAGGCGTTGGCCGGCAGGAGCCACAGACACATCCTGGCTAAGGATGTGTAGCGCGGTTATAAGTCGCATTCAACTTCCGGTTTCAAGAAAATTGGCCAGCAGCCGGCCGACCAATCGACAAATAGCGCCCACTGAACATCCAAACTGCGATGGCGCTCAACCAGCAATGCCAGCGCGAGCCGAGAACCATTGTTTGCCCAGTTGATGGGCTCGGCAAGCAACAAGCGAAACAAGCAAACACCTTTGCCAAATAAACAACAAACAACAACAGCGGGAAGCGACAAGAAAGCAAATTAAGCCACTGCCACCGGAGAGTCGAACTAAAACTAATTCAAAGTCAAAACAAGGCGATGCAGCAAGAAGAAAATGCTGTCAACAACGAAAGCGGAGGAAACTGGCACGAGCTCGGTGGGCTGTGGGCGGTTAGGTGGCAGGCATATGGGGCGTGGCAATGGCCGGGATTTTCCCTACCCCCATCGAAAGGGGGGCTGACTGTGTGTGGTCGCCCACCTTCGCCGAAGAAGCGGCACTGAAAAGCGATGCCAGCAGCGACAGAGAGCCATGCCAAATATTGCTGTTTCATTGACCTCGTTTCGCCGTTTTCAGCTGCTTCTCGTCGACGTAAGCCCACACATGGAGCAACAATGCACCATGCCACATCCATCCCCCGTGGCCCATGCCCCATGCCCCATGCACAACTGCACTTGCAAGGCGACATCCAGCCTAGCAGCCGAGCAGTCGATGGCTAAAAGCCATCCCACCCCGAAGTTGGCCCATTCAGCAGTACGCCGCTAAACCGGCGTCAGCCCAGGCGCCACGTTGGCCCAAACCCATCACGTGATGCCGCCTAGGGTTTCTCTTGGCCTCTGTCCTCTGGCCTCTGGCCGTTCCCTCCGCTCCTGCGCAGAAGCGCAGCGCGATTCTTGAATGAAAAGGCGGCCACGAGAGGTGGCGCTCTCGACTCCCGGCCAAAATGGGGTACGAGGTAACGTGGGGTAGAACGGGGTGGCACGGGGTAGCACGGGGCAGGACGTGGTGGATCGGGGGACACAGGGTGTCTGGTGTCGCGTGACTCACCGACGCACCTCCGACTTCTTGGACGGGCCAAGAAAAGGCGCTTAATGCCCGCCCAACACGCCATGAATGACGCCGAAGAGGCGCGTGGCGCTTGCTAGTTGTCACTGTTGTTGACACAATAATTTTGGAGCGTGAAGGGGGACCCCCTTCAAAGGCAGGCTGAAAAGGTGTCGCTGGCTCTCCTCCATCGGCTATTGATTTTCGTACACACCGCTCGGCAGCAGTCGACCAGTCGGCCAAAAGACTGGCTTGACGGATTGGCCAAGCGAGGCTGGCAAGTGGGCACACGGGTAATTGATGCCGTGGCCAAGTGATGTTGACCCCAAGCTGTTGCCAACAAAAACGGGCTTTGACATTTGTTTATCGAACTTTTGATGGCAAGAGGATTGCCTCTCGAACCTGTCGCGTGTGGGCAATTGCATCAGGGCAGCCGATTCTTAAATGCCAATTCAAATTTAACGGCTTGTTCGGTTTGGCTTTATATGACAAAAACCCATTTGAATGCTCATTTGCAAGCCTCGAAATTAGCATTCCGATTAAGGGTTCAATCACTTTCCCGCGTTCAAAACGAAACGCGTCGAATATTTGCATATAATTAATTCCTAATTAATTATCAAATATACAACGTAAATTACAGGTCGTTGCGAAAGCCCTGGTCATCGACTGGACTGGCCGAAGTCAGTCGGTCAAGAGCTAGCCAGTTCCCAACAGGCCTGGCCACTCCGATAAAGAAATGGAGTTGCCATACTTTCTGGAGCGAAGGAGGCAGGAATTATCTTTCCACGACGTCGCAATACGAACGACTTTAACCCAGTCTCGTTCCCCAGTTTACCTGGCTTGCTGCACTTGACGGCTTTAAACTACTTTTCGGCACTTTGGCGATCGAGAAAATCGGTTTCTCCAGCGCGAGCGGTTAGTGCTCGGCAGTTATCACTGTACTGCTTTGCTGCAGAGCTGCGCCCACTGCTCCTCGGCAAACTGGGCCTGGCATTCCGGGCTAACACGACTTTTGAGCGTTTGGCTCCGAGATGACGATGAGTCCTGGCTTGGGAACTCGGCCACAGCTGGGATCGTTTGGACGCTTTCGGAGCTCGGCTTACGGCTTTCGGCTTTCGGATTCGCGACGAACGAGAGGCGGGAAGTGGGCGGCGGGCGGGACAGTGGCGAACCGTTGACGTCTACTGGCGGAGCACGACTAACTGGCTGCCGCACCGACTGACGAACTAAGGCCGCTGCCGCTGCCGCTCAGCCGCAGTCGCGGTTGCGGTTGCCGTCGTCGCCGCTGCCGCCGTCGCAGTCGACGCCCGCCGAGCCGAGCTTGCAAAGCGGGCAGAGGCGGAGGCGGAGGCGATGGCGAAGGCGCTGGTGCTGGTGGGCCACACGAATTAGTACGCGTTTCTTGCACAGATCTCATCTGCAATAAGATGCGGCGGCGGGATGACTCCAGTGGGTCCAGCTGCAGTTGGGATTCGCAGTGCGTTGGCCGCTGCTGCACCACTCCCTGCGGTTGGGAAACGGCGGTGGCGGTGGCGAAGAGCCGCCAACAGGTGGACGGACGCGCTGTCGCAAGAACGCCGCTCTGCCCGCTCCTCTGCCCGCCCCTCTGCGGAGTGAGGCAAGGGCCGCCGCTTGATCATGATCGATTTCAGTGGCAGGTGATGGCGCGCATACCAAATCAGAGCCCCGCACTTGTCGATCAATTAATTATTACGGCACTTCGCACATACACACACACACACACACACACACACACCGGGACGGACTGGGTTTTTTGTGGCTTTCGGGGTTTCTTTCACGTTTCACGTTTCTCTGTCGCTTTTTGTTTTTGGGACTTTTGCGCTCAAAATCGAATTCATGGTCAAACTGTTTACGAATGTGTGTCGCCAAAAAGAAGCCACAGCAGCAAGCCACCGCAGCAAGCCACCGCAGCAAGCGAGCGACAACAGGTTGACCTGATGAAATGGAAATTGAAACGCGTTTTGTGTTTTGACGCAATCGTTATTTTGGCCTTTGTTATTTATTGGGTCGCCCAGCGGAGAAGAATGCCATTTCATCATCTGTTTTCTAAGACAGCCCACACAGCCCGCCAAATATTCAAATGCACAGTCGAACCTCCGCATTCAAAGTTTCCCATTTTCCGACTCAAAAGGTTGTCACCTTTATGCCCCCACAATTCCAACATCCATAACTAAATTATCCAATTCACACAAAAAACTAACTTACTTTGCTTAAGTATATGAATAGTTTTTCGCTAATGTGTTTAAGTAAGTAAGGAAGTTTTTCAAAGATGGTTCTTCCTATTTGAATGACCACAGTAGTTTTCAAAAGTTGGCTCACATTTTGCAAAAGGGCCTAATAAATCAATACTTAAAAGGAGTGAATTCCGATCGAAAGGTAAACAAATTCAATAAAACAACAAAACAAAAAGCCCTTAAAACTGAATAGTTTTGGGAATACACAGGTAAACATCTTTTATCATTTTACTTTTGCGTTTCCCAATCAAATTCGCCCTTAAAATGAATTTGTATACTTAATTGTCCGCCAACTCATAGTGTTGGATCTAGTAGGTGGTTTAAGTTATGGCGTTATTATGTCGTTGCATGCATTTCAGATGGAAGGTGGTGGGGCGAAGGTGTTAGTGGGCGGGACGAGCGTTTCCGCTGAGCAGATTGATTCGAAAGCAGGCGGCAGCGGAGACTTGTTGAGGGGGTCGCTGAGACAACGGAGTGGAGCACACTTTCTCCGCCCCGCTCTGCACTTTCGCAACCGCTCTTCGCCGCAATACTCTCTTACGAGTAAGAGCGGGGGTGGAGAGAGCGAGAGCGGTTGCTTCTTTTGGGTGCGATTGCGAGCGGAATGTCTTGGAATTATGTCATATCTTTACACACATGCGTTACAACAACGTGACGGTGCTCGGATAGTCGGGCTTTTCGAGCCCAATAACTGGTAGTTTCTGTTCTGGCCGACTGGCTCCTAATCTGAGGCTGGTCCCTTATCACCCTTGATTAGTTGGCTGTCCGAAATCAGTCCGGGTCGCAGGTAACGGTCGAGGGGAAAAGGTGACTGATAACCGCAGGTGGCGCGGCGGGGCCGAGAACGAAAACGAGAACGGGAGAGTGAGTGGCAGATGGAGCGGAAGCGAGAGAAGGAGGGGGCACAGCACGATGTTTTCTATATTTTCAGCGCTGGCACTTGGGTCAATTAAAGTTGAAAAGCCGTGCAACGGGGCTAATTGAGCGCACGATGCCCCTCACATAAGCGAACGGTCGGGGGAAGGGGCGGTGCGCGGGGGTGCAGCATTAACTCATTCCGCCCGACACGGCTGATTTATCGAGGCGGGGGCGGTAGATAAACACTGCTAACTTTACGGGGCGGAAGGCGACTCTCGGCGACTGTTACGTGGTATCTGCAGCGCGCAACCGACGCGACACACAAGGACACTAGGAACTGCACGCACCGAGCACTCGGAAGGCAAAAGCCAGTAAATCGGAATAAACACTTTACTTTAAGTTCGATTTGCAGTGGTAGTTACTGGCAGCAGACTAGGAATTCGGTGTGGAAATCGCTCTGGCCCCAAAAGCGAACCAGACTAGGAGGTACAACAAAGCGAAATGCGAACCGTTTCTCTGACGAAGAGCGGCGACCCCCGCCAAAAGCCACACGCTGCCGAAGAGAGCGCAGAGAGCGTGCCAGAGAGAATCGGATACCAGCCGCAGTTATCTGTACATGGTGGATGGCAAGCGGCAAGAAGCAGACCGCCTGGGAAATGGCAAGGCGGGCAAGAAGAAGAGGCAGAATCACCCGGTGGCGCAGCGGTACCTTGTGTTGCGTCACGCGCTGGCAAACCGAAAAGCAACAACAACGCTCTCTTCTCTACCTTGGTATCCGCCAGATACATTGGTTAAATACCGGCTGCCACTCGTTTTCTCTTAAGTTGCTGATAACGAATGGGAGTACTCTCGCTGTGGTTCTCGCTCTTGCTTTCGTCGGCAGGGTTGCCATCTCACGCACCGTGCCGCGCCAGCTGCCGCCAAATAAGTAGCTGATGTGAGGCACGGCTCGAAAAGAACAACACTGGTGGCTACACGGGTAATCGTATCTACACAAATACTTGCATTATGTCATCGCGAGCGGAGAAGCCTCGGTTTCGGTTTCGGTTTTGGTTTCACACCCCCTCTCGCACTTTGTTGTCATTGCTTTGGGCTCGCGTATTGTTTTAGTTTTCGGGTTCCGCTCGCTCTCGATTTGTTTCAAGCCACCCCTCGACCACGAAAAACAGACACAGACACAGACGCGCCGCACCACCAACACAGGCGCACGCAAAAGGACACGGCCACCGTGTTTAGTTTGGCCCTCTGGTGTTTTGGTCCTGTCGTTTTCGCTGCTGCCAAGTGGCTTTCGCTCTTGCTCCTTTCCAGGGAAATGAACCGGAAACGATGTTACCCTTCAGCGTCGCACCCTTTTCCCTCCCCGCCCAGCGCACCATTAAACCTTGTTTTTACTATATTCAGCAAACAAAGTTTATCGCAGGAACTTGAACCCTTTGAGCCCAGCACTAGCAAGCCTAACAATTGGCTCTTAATTAACAGCCACTAACTAAACAACTGAATAATTTCCATCAGGTCCTCCAGCACAAACCAGTAATACTTTAACTGTTATTTATTACTGTTTATAACTGTTATTCATTAAATAGTTCGTAGGTGGTAGTTCTACAACTAAAGTTATGTTATTGGAACATTGATATTTATAAAAAAATTTAATTGCTCACTTTAAAATACCATATTTCGACAATTATAGACATATCAAAAAAATTGTATTATGTATTTGGTAAAATTCTTAGGCGGCCGTCCATAAACCTCGTAACGCTAATTTTTGGCTTTTTTGACCCCCTTCCCCCCCTATGTGACGCATTACATATACAAATTACAACCTCCTTACAACAAAGCATGACTCTCTAATGAACCCCCCACCCCCCTAGGAGCGTCACGAGGTTTATGGACGGCCCCTAGTATTTTTAATTTCATGGAAATTGTCGAATGAGAAATGCTTTCTAGAAAGATATAGTATATGACTAATAGATAAAAATTGGCAAAACAATCTACTGCGATATCATACAATTGACCAGAAATAACTTCTCAGAAATGGTGATTATTTGCCCTAGCAAAACACAGAATATTTGATTGTGCCAATTTTGCCCCTGCTTCAGACTCAACGGCTGGGAGCTGGCAAACTTGAAGCTTTCGGGCCGAAAAGCCGAAAGAGCTCCTCTACGTGCTTGGCTGCCCAAATCGCCGATGGCCAGCGCGCCTGCGCCCTTGACTCACTTGCGTTGGCCTGGCCAAAGCATGAGCAGAATACATATGGCGGGTGAGCAGCCGCTGACCATTGGAATTGGGGCCGCGGGTGGCGGCTGCTCCCCATTAGGACCCCGCCTACGCCCCCGGTTGTGCAAGGCTTTCGCTGACTCGCCAGCATCCGCGGGCCATAAGCTGAATTTAATGGCGATGCTGCTGGGGCAACCGTTGGAGTTGTGCAGGCGGCATCGCAACTTCGTTACAGCTACTTCACTGTGGCAACGCAGTAAGTCGGCAACTCTGGTTTTCGTTTACGAAACTTATTAATCGATTTATATGCGCCGGCACACGGGTAGGCGAAGCGACCCAAGTCCGCGAGACTTGACGCCACGCCACAGCACCTCCACCGCCAACGACTCGGGATTCGGGCCCGAGGTGGGATGTGGAATCGTCTTTGGGCCCCCGGTTAACCGATTCGCGATGTCACAAGTCGAAGGGCATGGACAATCGCCCCAAACGATAGGGTAGCCCCAAATGGTAGGGCCACCTTGTGTTTGTCAAGTGGGAATGTTGCTCCGCATTCGAGGTACTTTGGCAGCCGATCGATATCAAAGCAAAAAGTTGGTCTGTGTCAACTAGACAAAACGTCAATCCAACAAGGACGAAGTCCGATTTACTAAGTAATAACTTTTAAGCCTTTCAGCAAGCGCAGTTTAAAGAAGGGTTTTTAAAATCAATTGCTATTTACATTAATATGGTTTGTCCGAAATGCTACTTTATTTGGTGTAAAAAAAAATTTTTTTTAGGCTGCACCATCTCAAGTTTGCTGAGCGTTACCCATATTGCCACAGGTGTCTAAATCCTTTGTTTCTTCGATATTTAGGTTTTCAAACCATTGCAAAATTCACCAACGTA